AATATATGGATTAATCTGTTTTAAAAGCATAAATTTACTATGGTAATTTAGTTCAAGAGATGAAAGCTTCTAGTATGTTATTAAGAAGTGAAGACTTAAACTTTGAAAAATGTAAAACAAATGCTACTGAAATCATTAAATGTTAAATAACAATTATGATAACTGCTACAGTAGATACATATTTCTCATTATTAGTTACTAAAGAAGCCTCTATTGTTTTCTTATATGATGGTGAACCAGTTACTAAACCATTATAAAATAAAGCAGATCATTATTTATTCTATTTAACTGATTAAGAAACAGAAATATCTGTATTTTCAATCTCAGGTGAACTCAAAATATTATTATAACTCTTTAATTCACAACCTAAATTAGAAGAATTTCCAACTAATAATTAAGATTCTATATTGTAATCCTTAGATGATTCAAATGATATTGGTAGTTCAATCTTTATATCTGATGAATTTCTAGAGATTAATAATTGTAAATAGAATGGATGTTATATGGCTGTTACTTGTATAAAAGATTCAAAATATGATCCAAAAGGATAATATGTTATTACTAGATCATCAAGTTATACAATCTTATATCCATCTATTATATATTATGGTGAGGCTGAAAATTAAAAAATTAAGTATTTCAAAATATTCAATGTATCATTGGCATCTGGACTTATGGTAGTAGTGTCTCCCTTAAGTTCAGGCAGCTTAATAGTTTTAGCCAGTAGAAATGAAATGCCTACTTTAGATACTCATTAATTCAGTTCTAATACTATGTTAGGAGATTAATTAATCATACCTCCTAAAGAAAATTCATTAGATGCAGTTAATTATTAGTAAAATTAATTTTTTATTATTATAGTGTTGGTGTTTATGCATTTGATAATGTAAAATTTTCAATTTAAATAAATATTGGAAATCTTCATTTTTATCAAATCAAAAAAGGAATACCTATGAACTTTTTTGCGGAATACAATTCAGTTACCTATCTTAATTATTATCATGCATAAGACTCTGAATTTACTATATTATTTAGTTCTAATCTTGTTACATAATATAATAGAGCAAATGTTCATGTGTATACCTATAAAGATATGACTATGTAAGCAGATGCCATTCTAAAAGTTAAAGATGAGTAATTTATTTGATTATACTTTATAGACCTATGTGGAAAATGATTGATTTCTTCTTAACAATAAAAAAGGATATAAAATACTGTTCATCTTGTTATTATTTAATTAGCGTTGAGAATTTCAATGTAGACAATGATATTTCAATTACTATTTCTTTGGATAATGAATCAACTTAACTATTAGATAATGTTGAAATTACCAATCACATCTCATCTAATTAGCCTCACTATTATCACTATGTAGTAGAAGATGATTTTTATTTGAATACAACAATCTATGATGGAGATATTAAAATATTTGGAGGATACTTCAAAACTTTATAAGATATAGATAATCTCTTGCTTACTTTAGATGTAAATGAAGGTCTTACTGATAAAGATGGCAAAGTAATTGGATACTCTTATGCTGAAGGGTAATTCCCTAACAAAACTATTGAAATTAATAAAGACAATTCTGGTGAACATAAATATCTTTATAGATTCAAAATCATATCAAAATCCAGAGCTACTTATAAGATTGAATGTATCTAAAAATAATAAGCAATTGAACTTAAACTTGGAGAACCTCAAAGTCATTTACTAAATTCTACTCATACTGTACCATTCTATTTTGTAATTCCTGATAGATCCTATGAAAATTCAAATGAAGGATTTTATACATTAGATATTGAAACTTATGGTCATTCATAATCAAGAATCAGTGAGAAGACTTAACATCCTAATATAAAATTAACCTAAGATCTCTATAATAATCCAAATTTCTTAAGTGATTATCACAATTTATAAGATGTTCAATTCATTAGACATAATCAAACAGATTAAATAATGCATTTTGAATTTCCTAGTACTCCTGGATTATATTTCTTATAAATAAGTCCCAGAGAACCTTCAAATCTACCCTATACTGTTACCTTAGGTAATGATTTCTTGAATGTTTTGGCACCAAAACTATAAAGATTTGCATCTAATAAGATTGGATAATAAAGATTTTGGGAAATAAATTTACATTAACCTTCAAAAATTCTCATTCAAGCCTAATTATGTGGTGGAATTATAAGTGTATATGGAAGTGAAAATCTTGAGAATTTATAAAGAGGATCATATTCCTAAAAAATGGATTATAAACATAATAAATAAATAATTGGAACTATACCTATTTAAAATGCAGGTCCTTATTATTTAAGTACTAAAGCTATTAAGAGTATTATTCCTTAAAAGGATTATGTGGATTATATTCTAAAAGTGAATATTCTTTAACCTAGTAGTATAGTACCACATGAACATTTTGAACCTGGAGATGGAGGTGAATTTACAGCACATTATGATGGCGAAAATATTAGTGTATTTTTTAGTCCAATTTAAGTAACAGAAAAATCTAGTTCTGAATATAAAATCTAGAGTTTCTCATACAATTTTATTTACAAGTTATATAATTAAACAGATGAGGAAATTCCAATTTATCATTGTGATTCATCAATAAGCTTTCCTTCAATATCATTAAATAGAGAACCTCATTAATAAAAATAAGAATTGAGTCATTAATTTTATGTTGGTAAAAATTTTGAGAAAATATCTTTAAGTATTTTAGCTAAAGGTATATATATTAATAAATAATTAATTAGTCAGAATAAATACAAATAATTTTGAAGAAATAAGACTTTATTATTATTATGATACACTTACAATGAAAGTGGATAATATTATATTAAGATCAAATCCAAAAGTTTATAGAAGAGGAATAATATTTGGAATTATCACAGTTCTATTATTAGCAATTTTATATTTATATATAAGAAACAGACGATTAAAATAAATGTATTTATATTATATATAAATTAGAATAAAATTTGAATCTTCTGAATAAGGAATTCAACAATTAGTCAGATAAGAGTAATCAATTGAAATGAATTATGCAAATTTACGTTGATAAGTGTGATATATATATATATAATGATGAATTGTTAAATTTATTCATTCTGTTTATCTAGAACTTCCTATAATAATTTTAAGCTTAATATTAGGTTTGTATTAATAAACTTTTAATCCATTATTAATCAAAGTTCTCTTGTTTAATAAGAGTGATTATAAATATTGTATTTAGTAGTAAATTTTAAATAAGATTCTACACACTATAATAAGCGAGGAGAAGATTGATTATATTTTTATTATTTTCTCTTTATAAATTGAAATTAATGAGCCTTAGAGACTTCAACTATATAACGTTATCTGCATGCAAGTTTTGGGAAAATTAACTTAAAACTCCAAAAAAAGAAGAGGAATCTACAGTATGCAGTGTATAAAACCCACCTTAATCATCTATACTGGAAGTTTCAGCATAGAAGTGTGAGGAATACTTATTTGGTGGTGAAGAGAAAATTTAGTCTGTTGCTGAATCGATAGATGGTGATGAATAATAGATTGAAAAAGATAGATATCTAAAGGAGGATAGTTTCTCATAAATGTCTGAGAAAGAGTGTCGAAAAGAGAGTAGGAAGTGTAAATCAACTTCCACAAAGAGGAAAGGTTAGTTTTGAGTTTAATTGAAGGAAAGAAGAGGTTTTCAATTCAATAGAATCACCTTATTATGGAAAATATAAGGAAAGGTTCTAATTTTAATGAGATTGCACAGTAGATTCCAGGAAGCACTGTAAGTTTAATCAAAAGGTAGTTCATAAAAAAGCTTCGAGTTATAAATGAAGAGTCTGAAGATGGAGAGATTGTAAATACAATGATTCGGATACAAAGGTTATTAGAGTAAATGAATTTACTAAATATAGAGACCAGAGTATAGAGAGAGATCAAAAAATAAGAGAACTTAAGATACTGATTTCAAATATAGAGAATCATTTACACATAACAAAACAATTAATTCTATAGAAATACTTAACCTTATTTCAATAAGAGTGATGATCTTTCATACATTTCCAAAAATTTCTAATAAACTAAAACTAATTTATTCAAACAAAAGACTTAAATATTTAAGAGTCTTTATTAAAATTATATATTTCTTCTTTATTACTTTTCTCAAAGGTAATTTGTAATATTATATCACAACCAATTTTTCTAATTCCAATAATCGTTTATAATAGACTCTCTAGTATTTAGAATATTATTTACTAACTTTATAATTTATATCTATTCAATCCTTCATTAACTTATAATTATCATGAACTCTTTCTTATAATTTCCTATAAATGTATCTATAAGAAATAGTTACAATTCTCTTATATTTGTTATAGTATAATTATCATTAATTTATTCATTCAGATTAATAAGTTCTTCTTATCAAATTTAACATATAATAATTACTTCAGTTTTTTAATTTATTTCTCTAATTTTAATAAGAATCTTATAATTATTTAATTGATCTTATGTTTAATTTATTCATTACTGCAACTTTATTAGTAGTACTCATTTTTGTATTTTGTTTTTCATCTAAATTGATAAATTATTTGGATTTTTCATCATAGATATCAGGAGACTCATAAAATTAAACTATTCCAACTTTTTGTTTATATTTCAGAAACTGATTTGTTAATTTAAACTCCTTGGAGTAACTCAATTAAAAAAATATAACTTTTTAAGATTTTTATTGGTGAGTTTGATATTCTTTGGCAGATATAGACCTTTATTTTACAAAGATTGAGGATCGAAGTTTAATTTACATTATTGGATATAAATAATCTTATTAATTATTATATTTTATTATGATTCCTTTATACTCTAATTTTTCTCAACATATACCAAATTTTAGTAATTAGAGAATATTTATTATAATATATGACTACATAACGAATATTTATCTATTAAATTTAGAGGATTGTAAGTTAATTTCAATAAAGTAGTTAAACATTGTTATTTTAATTAAATCAAGTATTCCTGAGTTTCCGAATTTTTTGTAATTTGAATACAATGTCTTCCAATCCCAATTATTTGGGTAACTCTTACACTCTATCAGATTATAATGAAAGATTTCGGACTCTCAAATGTTAGTTAGCTTATGATTTGAAAAGTTAATCATAAGCTTTGTGATCAAATTTAGTTAATGGAGCAACTAACAATGGATCAAGTCTTCGATATAGTGCTGTACGTTTTCTTTCTAAAAATAAGCTTGGAGGTTAATAAATTGTTTATTTCCACTTCTCCATATTAATAATAATAATTCATATAAACATATATACATATATACAATAATTAATGATTTTATTTGAATTTTGAAATAAAATACTATATTCTTATTAATAATCAATTAAGATATATAATAATTATTTATAGAATATGTATATTTACTTATTGAATGTTAATAAATATATATATTTATTTTAAATATATAAGAATAGAATTGGAATATAAAGATTCTTAAAAACTATTGATATATATATTGAAATCAATCAAATATTTTAATGAGCACTTTTATTTCTTGTTATATTTCTTCTATGTCTTCTATGTCTTAATCTAACTAGTTCTTCTTCTTCCTCTTCACATATTTCTTGAACTTACAAGAATTATGGAGATTAGATTTCTAATTTTTATTCTTAATCTAATTCTCTAATTTCATCAAAATGAAATGAATAATTAAGCTATAATATAAATTCATCATACATTTGGATCACTTTTTTGATTACAAGATGTACTTCTAATCATACTGCTTTTACGAGAGGCTGGTTTTCGAATAGAATTGCGTATTTTCAGTACATTTGTAGGTGATATGAAACCAGGTGTTTTGGTGCCGTCATCTTAAAAAGAGTCAGTAAGAGGATCGAAGCAAGGTGAACTTTCAAAGTAATCTTATTTATCCCACATCTCTTTAAGAACCTAAGTAAATCTAGTAAATTCATCTTCTTTAGGTTACTAAGTAGATATCTAACCATAAAATTCAATCAATTGTTTTTTTGATTAAAGACTTGGATTGATGAGATTATGTTTTTCTTTGACATAATAGAATGCTTTTTCGTATTTCCAACCTCGACTAATGAGATAAGCAATTACAATAGTTGGTGCTCCTTACAACCCGTTATTACACACTACAAGTATTGATGATAATTTCAATCCATTCTAGATCAATTCACAAATATTTTAAAGTTGTTATGTAGATTTATCATCTTGTAAAAACACTTACTAAATACTAAGATAAATTAATTACATAGTATCGTGCAAAATCAGTGTAATGTTTTGAAGGACTCTTGTCTACACAAATAATAGTCCTTAAATTTCTAGATCGAAGAAGATTCAATTATTCAGCTTAATGGATATTTGACATGTATAAGGAATGAAATTTATCGCTGATTATGTGATAAACCTAAGCTGAATTCATTTTGATAATAATAAATTATGAACATTAATAACTAGTTACTAAAGATTGTTCAAGATGTATTAATTATACACTATCTATAGATTCAATTAACAATTAAGAGTGATTTTGATCTCAAACCTAATCTTGATGAATTGATCATAATATTAAGAGAATAAGTGACAATTCTGATTGAATTAGTACAACAACAAAAGAGTCTTGATTATGATTAATTAGAGAAAGCAGTTCAGAAGGCAGAAGCTGAAATTAGAAACCATATTAGAGTAATTAGCCACTACATACTATTTTAGGTCGAATAGTAAATGAAATTATTTTCAGATAGTCTTTAAGAGAAGATAGATTAATTAGAAATGGAAAAATAAGAATTACTTGATAAAGTATTAAATAATCATTCTAAAGTATAAGAATAAAACACTTCTTTAAAGTCAAGAACGAAAGATTTCTTCATAAAATGGCACTAGAGAATCAAGTCCTAGTTTATTTAAGAAATCTTACATTTTAGGCAATTAGGTTTATAATAGATAATAGGGAACTTCACAAGACAACTATGTTTCAGTCATATAAAATTGTAATAGTCATTAGACAAGAGAAAAACGAAGCTCTGGTACCTAACATTCATACATAATGATGAAAAATATGTATGAGATCATGTATATCCTTTTAGTCGTCAAAAAATCAATATGAATTCATCATAAGAAAAAATAACTGATAAAAGTTCTACTCTTCTTAAATCTTAAAATGGCTCCTCACTTATTAAGATGTATAATATTTAGAAATTAATCATCAAAAATCAATAAGATAAAAATTTATAACAATTGAAAAAGTACAATAATATTCTATCTTAAGTTAAACTCTAAATCAAATTTTAGATGATTCTTAAGCCACAAAAAAGAAACCTTGAATGTATAAATCATCATCTCATAAATAAATATTAAAAATTATCTATAAAATATCTCAATATCTTAGATGATTAATAGTAATCTAATTATTTCTTAATCAACTTAAAAGATCAAATAAAAAGTAATATATTTAATGTCTTAACATTATTTTTTATTTAATTATTTATATTTACATTTATGAATATATTAATTATCTTTCTCATTATTTTTTTAAATAATTCACTATAACTTCTTCAATCAGCTACAAAAAATTGATAGTATTACAGGAATATAGAATTTTTTAATATGATTTTCTCATAATTAATTGAATAAATGCTAATTTAAAATATATTTCAAATCCAGAAATTAAAATTCTTTTTTAATGGCATAATTCACAGTCGAAAACCTTGGTTAAGTTAATGAATTCCTTTCAACTAACAATTATTTGAATGGAGATCTTCCAGGAGCTGATGATGTCAGAATCTTCAATGCTTTGAAAGGTGTTCCACCAAAGGATCAATTCCCAGAAGTTTATTTCTGGTATTTACTCCTCAACTCTTTCACACCAGCTGTTAGAGCTTAATGGGGTCCAGCTGCTGCACCAAAGAAGGAAGCACCAAAGAAGGAAGAGCCAAAGAAGGAAGCACCAAAGAAGGAAGAGCCAAAGAAGGCTGCTGATGATGATGTCGATCTTTTCGGAGATGATGATGTTGATCCTGAAGCTGAAAAGAAAGCTAAGGCTTTGGCTGAATAAAAGAAATAAGAAGCTTTGGCCAAGAAAAACAAACCTAAGCCAGTTGCCAAGACTATTGTGATCTTTGAAGTTAAGATCTTTGAAGCCACAGATTAAGCTTTATTAGAAGCCACAGCCAAAAAAGTTAAGGAAACCATTAATCCAGATGGTTTAGTTTGGGGAAAGGAGGTCAAATATGAAGAAATTGCATATGGAGCCAAGAAGATTATCATGTCAATGATCATTGAAGATGATAAGGTACTTTATTAAATAATTCTTTTAGATTCTTACCGACGATGTGTTTGATCAAATCACAGCTTGGGAAGATGATGTTTCCAGTGTTGACATTGTATCAATGTAAAAGGTTTGATAAATATAAACAAGTACATAAAATATAAAATAATAAAATCACACCATTGCAGTTTAATTATATATATAAAATAAGAGTTTCAATTAAATATCTATATTCTAATGATCTCTTTATTTCTAACATTAAATATATAAATCTTATTGATTTAAACCATAAATCTTTAAATCAATTTTATTCTGAATAACTTTTTATTTATTTTAAAAGAATTCCTATGATTTATCTTAAAATAGTCTATTACTAATCACAATTCGATATTATTTTAAGAAAATCAAATGTATTAATGAATAAATTAATATAAATTAATATTTAATTAATCCCAATATGAAAGCGATTTAAATGATGGAGTTTTATAATATGATGAATGTTAAATTATTGATTATATATTTAGGATAATAGACATTTATTAATAGCAGATTTAAGAAAGTTGGAGTTTTTTGAGTAAAAGTAAATAAGAGGAAGTTTTTGCATTCAGAATGATGTTTCAATGATGACATCTCACATTGAGAAACATGATACAAATGCAAAGAAAAATGAAGAGAAATATCATACTTAACCTATTCGTAGAATGGTGATTGTTAATGATGATTATTAAAAGATTGAACAAGAGGCTCAATTAATAAAGGATTTAATTCAAAGTTTTAAAATGAATGAATACAAAATTTATTATTTGAAAACATCAGTAGATGCATTCTTAGATAAATATCCTTTTTACACATTTTCAAAAACAATTTTATAAAATTATGAGAATTTGGATAATAATGAAGATTAATAGAAAGTCTTATTTGCTTATTCTTAATTCCCTTAATAACTTTAAGAGAACAAATTATATCTAGGAAGTAATTTGAATGCTAATAGTAAAAAGTAATTGGATGCTTTATAAATAAAGACAATAATTGATTTAAAGAAATATGAACCTGATGCTTAATTATCTAGTTGGAAAAAAGAATAATATAATTATATTAATTATCCAATAAGTGAAGGGGGAGAATAATTTATTGATTTTTATTAAATTACAGATTTGATTGAATCATAAGATGCCCCTATATTACTGTGTTGTCCAGTAATTATAATATATAATTATAGGATGGTTATTCAATAACAAGTGTTGTAGCAATAGGATATTTGATGACATTAAAAAAGTAGAATTTCAATATTTCATCTTTGAAAGTATTTTAAATAAGAGGGAACACAACAGTGAATAAATAACTATACAGTTAAATATTGAGTTATGATCCAAAGACTATAGTTAATAAGATAATATAATAATAACTAGTATAATAATGATACTATAATTAATCAATTGAGCATATTATTAAGTTTAAGCTTAAATTTTTTTAAAAAAGGTTCTGTGGTTGTTTTATTTTTTTGAGAAACTGGATTGATTGAAGATATGAAATTAAAATAATCAGTTGATGTATGAGTGTAATTACATTATTAACTGTTTTATTTTTATGCAAGTAGAATATTCTTTAGACATTTTTATCTATATTAACTTGTAGAGTTCTTACGAGAGGATTTATGTTAAGCAGAAATAATAATTCTTTATAGAACTTTAGGATAACTTGGTTGAGGAGTTGGTATTCCTAATTCTACAAATGCACTTTTATGATGACAACTTTTTGGTCTTGAAATATTAGTAGGTGTTTCAGTAATTGATTGTCTTGGTAATAATCTAGTTATTGGTTATTTAAATGTAATAATTCTTTTTTTTTATTAACTTGATTTTGCAGGAGTAATAGGAACATCCCAAGGTTCAGCAGTGAAATCAGTTTCTATTTAATGATATAATTTATTTGTAAGTGGCATTTATATGAATTCTCTTAAAGTGGATTCTATGTTCAATAATTCCAATTATGGATCTCGAGACATATATATTATATATAATTTATATATATATATATAATATATAAATAACTTCAATTTAATTTAAAACCCTTTTCATTTGCATAACGTTCTAAATATTATGGAGCATATTATATCATCTTCTCTTATCCAACCCAAGATGGTCTTATTGGTTGTCCACTTTCTCTTGGTTTCCATTCCACCAAGAACATATATTTATTATTATCCAATTCATCTTTAGCATAAGTAATTATTTTAATTATTTATTCTTCAGTAAATGCTACTCTACTCCCTCCTTTTTAAAATTATTTTGCAATATTTTTTAATTCTTTATTTAATTCCACTTATTAATTACTTTCTTTCTTTAAATGATATACAAATTCTTAATTTTCACGTTATGGAATCATAAAATCAGTTGTTGTTTATCTACATATTTAATCTTCTGTTGTTTTTAATGATTCTAATTCTCTTATCTATTCATATTAAACATCATCTTCAATTATCTCTTTCAATAATTCCATATAATAATTCTGATTATTTCTTGTTTCATATTATTCTATCATATCTAAATAATTCCCCAATTTGTATAATTCAATCCATTATGTCCTAATTTTATGAGTAGGAGTCTCAAATTCAATCAAATAAAATATAATATTTGGTGTTTTAGCTCTTTTACCTATTATTCGTTTTGGATATTCACTCATATTATTCTAAAATCTTTTTCATTATAGTGTATTTACATCCAAATAAATCCTTTAATTATTTATCACTTTTATTCTTTAGTTCCATAATTTTAATAATTTTATCAATCAATCTACCTCATTCTAATTTAGAACTTCTTATTTTTATTTTATGTATTATAATTATTACTCTCGTATTCATTATGCTTAACCTAAACAACCATAACAATGTTGCAATCCATATATTGCATCACCTAGAATGACTGTAAAATACTTAATTCTTATCATTAGGTTATTCCATCTTCCATTAAACAAATGAGAGAATCAATACAAATACCATATAATTAAGATATCATGAAAGCAAGTACCATCTTAGAAGTAGGTCAACGAACTCGTAATACTCATTACAAACAACGATTAGAAGGTATTTCTATTATATTTACAATATAGAGTTATATCTCAAATATGAAGATGGTTGCACTTATAGGGGTTAAGGTATTCCACCATCATAAAGACATGGCATGGGAGTCTTATTCAATACTGAAAATTAAGAAGTCTATTCTGGAGAATGGTTCAATAACCTTTATGAGGGATTTGGAATTTTGATTAATCAATCTCCGCATCTGATTAAACCTAAAATTGACCCCAAAGATTTAAATACTATTGAAGATGGTTGGCATGATTACAAAGGCTATTTTAAATAAAATAAAATGCATGGAGAAGGCATTCTAACACTTACAAATGGTTAGAAATTTGAAGGTCATTTCATTAACGGTATGATTCATGGAAAAGGTCGTTTTTATGGAGACTAAATTATCATAGGAAATTGGTTTGAAGGTGTTTTAATTTGAAACTTATTATTTTGTATTTTACTACTCAAAATTCTTTATTCAAACTTTACAATCTATTTATTATTAGAATATTTTATAAATTATAAATATATCTATACATTAATTTTATCATTATTATAATACTTACATTTGATAAGTTCTATTATTTATATAGCTTGATTAAGATAATTTGAACATTCTTATAATTATTTATTATTACATTGCCAAACATTATTAAAGTGGTTAAAATTAATAAGAAAAATTTTATAGTACTTTCTTTTTTGTAATTTTGTTTAATATGATATTGTTAATAAGAAAGACTTAAAATATTAATAAATATTATATATATGTTAAATCATATAATAAAGTAATCTTAAAAGTATAAAACAATTCCTTTATTCTTTAATTTATAAATTATCAAATATAATAATAATTACAAATTCATTTCAAATTCAATTAAAAAAATTATTGAATTCTTCATAACTTAAAACCATATCATTATTTTTATCCACTTATTTAAATAGTTATTTTATTTCATTATTTTATAGTATATTTTTAAACTCTTTGCAAAATAGTTTAAATTCTTCCAAATTGAGTTTGTTGGATCTACTTTTGTTGTACTTTTTAAATATATATTCATTTGTTAAATTGTTTTATCTCATATATTATATAATGTCTTATTTTATTTTCTTATTAATTAAATATGATACTTTTAACATTATTTTATCTACAACTGTCTATTAAGGACTTACTATTCTTTTAAAATCCTCTAAACTTATTGAATTAACATTTTCCTTATCAAATTTTGCAAATATCTATTATATAACATCTTAACTTACAAATACTATTTCATATTTTAATAATGTTGGTTTAACTCTATATACTAATTTAGAGAATTCTTCAAATCCTAATCTTCCAACTTGCTTTTTATCATAAAAATTAAAAATATTTTCAATTTTTAATTTATTTATTTAAACCAAATCTTAAAATTCTTAAATAAATTTCTTATATGTATCTTTAAATTCATTTGATTCGTTACTATTGAAAAGTATTTTAAATTAATTTGAACTTACCTTTTACTATTTTTATACATCCAATAACTTATAAATACTAAATAACTCTTGATCGGTTAATGAAGGATCTATTCTTTAAATAAATCTAAAAAATTAATTCTAACTTAAAGTTCCTTCTTAGTTGACATCAAATAATTAAAATTACTCTTCAAAATTTAATTTTCTTATCTTGATTATAAGTTGTAAATGTTCTAATATATTATTATCAAATTCGTTTTAATTTTAAATATTCTAATTCATATAATTTTATAATTACATTGATATTGTATTTCAAAGCTCTAGAATCAAAGTACGGATGTTCAAACAATTCTGACCAATTTAATCTCTACTTTTCGTCAATTTTGAGACATTATCTTATGAAATCTATTATTTTTGTTATATAAATACTTTTATATAAATCAGACACTGTTTTTTCAACAGGAAATCTAATAGGATAACATCTTATATTCTTTAGATAAGATTTATAATCTCCATAAGGCCAGGGTTACTTTCCATAAACTAGTTAATAAGCTATAATTCCAATCGACCATATATCGCATTTAGATGTGTATGGGACATTATCAAGCAATTAAGGTGACATATACAATGGAGTACCAACAGGCTATTAAAAAAATTCATAAGTAGTAGCCTTAGTAGCAAATCCAAAGTCAGCCATCATAAAAATTCCATTTTTTATCAAAATATTGGCTGGTTTAACATCTCTATGAATATAACCTTTTGTTATAATTTTTCTGAATGCATTGACTATTTAAATCAATATTCTTAAAGCTGATTCTTCATCTAAGGAATTGTTATTTCTTTCAAGAAATTTCAACAAATCTCCACCATCACAATAATCAAAGACAGCTATCTAACGTATATTTAAAGTATACATTTTGTTTGATGTCTGAGTAACAATCAATTAATTTTATGATATTTGGACTTTATAAATCTTTGATTATGCTCATTTCATTTTGAAATTTGCAAATGGAATCCTCTTCCTATATATCATCTGTATTCAGTACTAAGATTTAAAATTCAGTATACATTTTATCGCTACACATTATTTCGTAATAGAATCAAGGCCTTTAAAGACTGTTCCATAAGCCCCATGACCTATTTCATCATCTTCTGAATAAACATATCTATTTAAGATTTTATGCATCATTCGAATATAATAATTTAAAATTGATGTGATTTGACAACTTAATTCAATTTGAAGTTTGTAATATAATAGTATAAATCAGATGATTTATAAAATTTATATAAAAAACAATAATGAATTTGTAATCATCTATGCTTATTTTTCAATTTCCCTTTCCTTTTATATTTATATATAGAGAATAAAGATATCATATATTTTTTATCAATATAAACAGTCAAAATACATTAAACAATAAATATCGATTTTAAGATTAATCTCAAATAATTTAGGATATAAGAGTGAATTTGATTTTAGAACACATAGCAATAAAGATTAATTTACAAATCTTTAGTTTATTGTTAATATTCTAAATATTCTGCATCGATATAGGAGTCTAAAACAACAAATGATTGTTTAATTTAAACCTAAAAAAATTAATACACATTATAACTATTTCTGATTATCATTTCTAATATCACTAGTTCTAAATATTTAAAAACTTCGTTTTATTTTGAATAAGTTAATGATAATAAATATATAATTAAATATGGATATCATCCACTTCATTTACTATTAGCTGATAATGATTAAAAATTTAATATATTGGGGGGATTTCGATGTAAGATTTAATTAATTTAATGAAATAACAAATTAAATGATAATAGAATAAGTAGGTAATAATTAATGAACAATTTAATCTGATACTAATCCTGATTAGTATTTATTCGCAATTTAGGATTTACCAAATGGAAAAGAGTTTCCTATTAGAATAGAATTTATTCATCAATTGAGATATTCAAATAATGATTTAGTATTTATAGATATAATATTATATACCTTGTTTTTTATTTTATTATTTTATAAACTAAAATACTTGAAAAATGGATAAGAATGATAGAGATTAATATATTATAGAAGAAACAGAAACAAAATTAATTTCAATGGGACAATATGGATAAATTTATGAATGCCAAAGAAAAGATGGTAAATAAAAGGAACCTCTATGCGTAAAGATTATCAAAAAAAAAGAACATACCATGAATCAATCATTAAATGAGATTAAAATATTGGCAAAAGTAATGAAGCTTAAACCTGAGAATCTTGTGAATATAATACATATATTTGAATAAATTCATCAATTTGAAATCATAATGGAAAGATGCGATATGGATTTAGAATAAGAATTTAATATTTTATAGAAAAATAAATTATGGTATACTGATGAAGAGTGTTTTAATATTTTAACATAAATTACTAATGGAATACGCATTTTAAATCAAAATAATATTCTTCATAGAGATATTAAGCCTTCTAATATATTAGTGAAAATTAAAAATAAAGGGAGAAGAGTTTATAAAGTAAAATATTACAAAATCCGCATAGATTACAGATTTTGGATTTAGTAAAATCTCAGAAAATTACTGTAAAACTGATTATTATACAACTATGGGAACTCCACTTTATGCTTCTCCCTAAATTTTTAATCAATAAGCATATTCAGGAAAATGTGACATTTATTCTTTCGGAATAATATTATATTAAATATTTTTTAATGGAAATATGCCAATAGTATTGTAAACAAAATCAGATTTATAGAATTTCCATTAGATCCTCAAAAAAAAAGAGTTTTAATGCCAACTTCCTAATTACTCTTATGCAGAATAGATAGTTGATTTGCTATAAAAGATGATTGTGTATAAAGAAGAGGAGAGAATATCATTTGATCAACTTTTTTAACATCCAATACTAAATATTAAAAAGTAATTTTTATTTTAGGATTCAATATTCAATTCGACTTCTATAATATTATACAATTTACAAACAAAACATATATCTAATCTTCTTGATATAGTATACTAAATATAAGAAATATTTTACAGAAAATATTTATTTTATAAATCAGTTTGTAAAAAGTTTTCAATTGATTAATAGATTTATAAAAAAGCTGCTTTATTTTGTTTATTATTTTTAGGAATGAAATAACTTAATTATTATATGGGATTTATTCATATTATAATATCAGATATACATCCTCATTTCTAAAAGAATAATTTTGATACTTTATTGTAGCATTTAAAATTATGTCAAAATAATTTAAATTTACATCCGTAATATTAATAACAAATAATTCAAGTTAAAAAAGAATACTATAATGAAAAAAAATATATAGCTAATTATAATAACTAATTGTAAAAAGATTTAATTCTCATTTAAGGCAGTCCTAAATTTCTTAGTTCTTTTATTGAGATGTTTTATTAAAGTAATTACAAAAGAATTGAATAATAATAAATAATTGATATGCTTAAATTCTTTTTGGATTAAAAATTATTGGAGTAATAATATTATTAATTTAAGTGGCTTTGAAGCTAGTGTTTAAGCTGCAATATCTTTAGATGAATAATTTCCAATTCAGAATTTTTAATTGATAAATCCAAATGATATTTATTTAGATTGAAATTATTAAACTAATTATAAATTTTACTCTAATTTATTTATTTTATTTTTATATTAAAAAAACTTTTTGTATTTAGAATAAAAATACTTTAATATTATTATTCACATTAATCCAAAACCTTCTGCATTATCTAAAGATATCATTAATTTATCCCTTAATATTTCTTTCTTCTTGTAAAGAGGTAATAATAAAACGTTGAAACAAGTATGAGCTGATGGTAATTATTCAGTATCTAATATTATTTAATCAATCATACCTTCACCATGCTTTTAAATAACAAATTTTATTGATTTTAATCCTCCTACAGGAATCCTATCTGTTCCTGTACAGAAAAACAAAAATCTCTTTTACATTTCAATATTCAATGAATGTATACAATTCCAAAAGTATCTATTTATATTAAATATCATTATTTATACCTTATATAATCAGATTTATCATCATAACCATCATATTTTGTAACTAATTCTAAGTCTTTTAAATCAAAGTGTGGTAAACCAATAATTAATGCTTATAATTCCTCTCCTGAAAATAACTAATTTATAAAATAATGACTACTTTTATTCCATCTCCATCAACTACAGATTTAAATCCTGAATACAATAAATCAAACTAATTTTTAACAAGTTTATTTAAGTACCAATCAGTATATAATTCTATATATTCTTCTCTATTATCTTTTGTGACATTAATTTAAAATCCATTAGGCTTTAAATATATATCAATATACTTTCAAATCATCAAAATATGCTTCTCCCCATACAACATAACTTGCATTAAAATTTAGAGCAAGATTCTAAATTAAATTAGAATCAGTTTATTCTCTTAAATATTAAAATCCTGTATAAATTTCCATATCTAATTCTTTTAAATCTTCTTCTGTAATTTTTTCATTCTATAATTTCTTGAATAAAACAGTTGGAAATCGTACATCTAACAATACTTAATTATAAAGAGCCAATCCTAATAACTTTCCTATCAATGAATAGTATATAGGCATTTCAAAAGATTTAGGATTAAACCAGTAAATTGTTCCATTATTTTTTGGAATAAACATTCCATAATCTGGTGAAATTAATTTTTCCATCATTAATCTAAAAAATTCTCTTTTTGGACCACCTTCATCTACACCTTGTTCTCCTATAAATTAAACTTTTAAAGGATTCTTTAATGGAATATGAGTTATTTATAATTATTTTATTGCTGATTCTATAATATTGTTTCTTTCAATTTATAAACTAAGATATGGTGCTTATCCAGTGAAATGATACTTTACTGAATGACTCATACTATCATGTTATTTAACTTTACAATCTAAACTTAGTAATTTTGATTTAAATTCAATAGGTATAGACCAAGCATATAAACAAAAAGTAAATGAATAGTTTCTCCATTATTTAGCTGCATAATACCTAAATTATGAAAATTCTTCTTTGTCAGCATCTTGTTTATATAATTTAGTTATAAGATCAATAATAAATTCTGAAGATTATAATCTAGTATTTATTTTGTTTGATTTTTATAAGATTTGGAATAATTCAAATAAACCAACCATTTTTTATGAATCTTCTATTTCTAGAAATGGCATTAATGGTGTATGTTATTGTCTTAGAATCTCAGAATTTATTAACTTTTTTATTTTTTTTGTAATATCTTCAAATTCTGCTTTTGACAGATTTGTAAACCATCTAGATAATTATAATTTTTAATTAACATCAAGTCTTCTAATAATTTTTAATATTATTTAAGATTTTTCATCAACAATATATTCTAAATATTAACGAAATTGTAATAATAAATAAAGTGCTCTTAATTAATATAAATTACTTAAAGGTTCTAAATTTTTTTCTTTTTCAGAAAATAAATTATTTATTATTAAACTAAATCCTTTTTTGTAATTGATGAATTTCTTTTATGTATCAATAATTAAATTAGAATCAACATCTACATTCTATTGATCTATTATATAAACACCAGATTTATTATAAAAATTTTCAACAAATGATGCTCCAAATATTTCCAATTAATTAGAAATTTTTATAGTAGCTTCTTGTAAATCTTATTAAAAATCAGACATTTATAATGGAACCATTTTATCATTAATTTTTTTTATTTGATAACAAATTTAATTCCAATTAACTTCTTCATTTTCTACCAATTATTAACATATTCCTTTGATATCATCTTAACTAAAATCTTATTCAAGAAATCCATTATTCAATTTACATTATGGAAAATCACATACATATTTACCACAACCATTTAAAGCTCTGTTGAATAAGAGTTCAGTATCAAATTAAATTTACTATTATTAATTCATTTTATTAAATTGCCATTTATTTGATTCAAAATCTAAAATTAAACAATTATCTCTTTTTGATTCTAATTGAAAAATCATAATATTTTCTTGTAAAATATCTCCATCAATAAGCATAGTTTATTCTAATTATGTTGTTATTACATCAACTTTGAAATTCTAATGTCTAGGTAACCAGATTCTTATATTTTTTATTGGATATTATTTATATTCATCTTAGAATGTTGCTTTCAATAAATCTAACCAAGATTTAATTTCAGAATGATAGTCTACTTATGCTTTTACACTATAAATTTTGTTGTCTCTTAAAGACTAGTAGATCAATGTAAACTAAAATTAATAAAATTATATACTCGAGCCAAATTTGGATAAACAATTTTTTTTTTTTCATTCTCATAATAAAATCCAATTCTTTTTTATGGTTCAATTGATGAATATTTCTCTTTAAATAAATCGAAAACATCCTTAAGAATCTATTTGTTTTTAATAATTATTCTTACATATTCATAATCCCATTCATTTTCCAAATAACGAATACTAGAATTATATATATGATCTTCAGGTATATATTTAAAAACCTTTTCGTTGCATTACAAATCAGAATTGATTTTATCAGGCTAATATATTTAAATTTCAAAACTTTCTTTCTCGCCTCTTTTTATTAATCTCCCATTTCTTCGTAATAATCCACATAATATTTCCATTATTTAATAAATTTTTTAGATACTAAATAGTACTCTATACCACCTTTCTCTCTTAATGTTTTATCATATCTCTATTGTAATCAACTAAAATTTACTCTTCTTCCATCATCATATCTTCTAATTTCTTCATACTCAATTGGATCTCCTACAGGTAGGTGCCAATTATGCAAGAAATGATTAATCATGAAAATCAATATAATTTAGATTAGTATTAATTAAATAAATTCTCACAACACCTTTGATCAAAAAATGTTATTGAAAATTCATATCAATTTTTTAATTTTAATTCCATATTGAAGATCCATGAATTCTTAATACTAATATGGATTTTTAGATAAAAAATGTGAAACTTTCTTAAGGTTTTTTATAATTACTTTAAAAACAATTGATAAATTTCGATGTATTCGTTAAAATAGATAACTAGAATTATTTCTAGTATCTTATTTTATTAAGAATTCTAATTTATTTTTAGAATTTAATACATTTCAAATTAAGGAATGTATAATTAGGTAACAGAAAAAAGTTAGTAACCATATCATAAAAAGAATAGAAGTAATTTAGAATCTGATAAGTAAGTATATACTGAAGAAACAGTTTCAAACATTAATTAATTAATAGTTTAATTACATGAGTATTTATTTGAATAACAGAATAAGATCGATAAGTTATTCAATATTTTCGAATAAGATATATAGATGGCTATTATAATTGAAATTTCTGGTTCTCATGAAGTTACTAATAGAAATATATAAATATATTTAGAATAAGATTAATAAATCTTTATTAACTATCAGTAGAACAATTCTTTACTTATAAGCATTTGATTGATTAAAATCTATAAAATAAAAATAGAGCTTATTTACTATATTTTAGTATTTTTTAATTAACAATATTAAAAGAGCCCCAGAAAGAAGAATATATTTTGGAGATTAAATTTTATTAGTTTAAGAATTCAAGAGAAAAGGATTAGAGAAATTTTTATGGATCATAATTTTTTTATTCTAGAAATAATAGAATTAAAATAAAATATCTTATTAATATTAGAAAACATAGTGATTAATTCATCAAAGCTCTAATTTTATTTTAATATCAGCCAACTTTTCACTTTATTTCAATGGAATTACTCTAATTTAATTTTAATTCTAATTTTATTAATTAATTTTTTTGGATTCACACAAAGGTTATTTCATTATAACATGATCTGTCTCAGGCTTTAAATCAACAAAATGTTTATAAGGATATATTTTCCATTTTTAATTAAAGTCATTAAAATATTGATTTATTTTATCATCACATTCTACTTTTGAATTTTAAGATTATTGGCTCAATTTAAAAACAAAGTTTTAATGCTTCCATTCAGTAAAATCATTATTTAAACTTGATTATATAACATCAGGTTGAATGTTTTCAACGAACTTAAGGGAATTCAACAAAGAGGTTTACATTTTTAAATCCATTCTTTTAGGATTAGGCTTGCTAATTGGTTTTTTTAAACTTTATTATTGTTTTAAGTTTAACTTATTTTAGTTTAGTTCTTGAGCTTTTGGTTTCTTTTTTATTGGTATTAAACATATTTCATCATCTTCTGAAAACTATTCCATTTTATGAAAACTAATGTGTTTTATAGTATAAAAATTACTATCTTTATTTAGAGCAATTTACCGCCTTGATTAAAATTAAATAATTCTATGCGCAAAACCTAAACTATTCTTAAAATTGTATCATTCATACATTCAAAAAATTATATATGATATAATATAATAGATAAAAAAAAGATCTCAAATTTTAATTATATATATCTTTATAATGAATTTGAGTTCTTTAAGAAAGTTAAACATTATAATATATAAAACTAAAACAAAATATTATATAATTGAAAAATAATAAATGTCTCTTTGAATTACAATAATTAGTATATTTATCAAATTCATCGTTAAAAAGTTTATATAATTAATAAAATTATTAAAAAATGTAAGAAATTGAAGCAAAGAAGCAATTAAAAGCAAGTGAAGGAGCTCATTTTTTTTATACTTTGATATTTCTATCAGCCTCTGGTATAATAGAGACTCAATTTATTGAACAGAAATGTAATCAAAATTTGCAATTGTTTGTTCATTTAGTATTCTATGGATTAATTATCTGGGGTACTTATATTTTAATTACATTGATACCAAGGTATGTAATATAATTTAATTAGATATAAAAATGCAGCTATCAACTTATTTTTTAATTTTCTTGATATTTGTTTTGGTATATACATAGGACTATTATTGTTTTATGGAGGACGTATGTATATGGCATCTAATGATTGTTAAACTGAAGCTCCTGTATTATACTTTTTTTTGGAGACATTTTTGTTGGTATTCTTTTAATTTGAAATTATTAGGTTAACGGCATCATATTTGGAATATTGTTTTTAGCATTTGTGTCATATGTCTTAAAGAGATTTTCAAAATCATAATAAGTTTATGATGAAGGTAAAGATGAATTTTATGAAGCATGATAATAATTTTTAATATTATATGAATAATTCAGTCTAAAATATACGAAGACCTGTAACATCCTAAAATTATAGATCAATAGACAAATTAGGTAGTAACAGCTAATAAAAATTACCAAATTTAAGTGATGTTATGAATCTTAAACTAAAGTAACAAAGTGAGAGAGAGTTACAGGATTTGATTTAAAAATTAGTTAAACAAGTTTAATAACTTAATTCATCAGTCATCTAAAAAGATAAATAAATTTAACAATATGAATTCATGATCAAATCTCTTTAAATTGCAATAGAAAAAAGAGATTGTATTATTAGTGCATTGAGAGTTGAAAAGTAATAAATAGTTGAGGTTGTGAATCCATTAAAGCCTATGATAAAGACTGATGATTCATCAAGAACTCCAAGTTTAGGTCCTAAGAAATCACTAAGAACAAGAACAAAAGACACTAATTTTGATGAAAATCTCTCTGCCATCCTTGATTCTGACTATGGTAAATATATTAGAATTAGTTTGAGCCTTATTAAGTTAATATGTAAAATGTTATGAAGAATTAAATCATTTGACATAAATAAAGAATTTAGTATCTAATGAAGATTAATTCTTTGCTAATATTTAGAAAATGGAATTGAGTAATATAGTACATATTTTTGATGCAATTCAATTAGTATTGTAAGAACATAAACTATTATTCAAAAATGTAATCAAACAAAATAAATTATTTGATGCTTGTTTATAAATATATGAAGTAATTTATCCTTATGATCAATTTTCAGCAAATTCCTTTGAATGATTAATTAGAGAGTTTGTAAGGATTATTGAAAGATTCTCTAAATTGTGATAAGGTTTAAATCTATGTACTTGATAGTGAACACTAAGAATTATGGACAAAAACTAAAGATAGAGTATTAAGAATATAGGCAAATGAAGATATAATTGGTGCTTGTTTTTAAGAAAGAAGTTTAATTAATGTTCATAATGCATATAATGATCCTAGATTTAAAAAAGAAAATGATAAAGGATATAAAACAAATACTCTTTTATTATGTCCAATTTTGGATAAATAATAAAATTCAATTGGAGTTATTTTGGCAGTTAATAAACTAACTGGACATTTTAATAATGATGATTAATTATTCATTTCCAAGACCTCAGAAATGATATCAATTTTATTAAGAAATCATTAATAATCTAATGAATCAATTAGTATCTAAAATGCTTTAAGAAATGTAATATAAGTATTAAAATTTAATTGTTCAATTTAGGCTTAATTATAATTAGTATATATGAATGATACAGAATAAATCTTATTTGAAGCAGAGAATTTGTTAAAGAATTTATTTCATACTTAAAAAGGTTTAGTTTATGTTGTTAATAATAATCGATTATTAAGAGTTAATGAAAAGAAATTATTAGAAGTATCTTAATTAGGAATCGGTATTGTAGGGGAAGCACATAAAATCAAAGAGTTTTTATGGGTTTAGAATGCTTACAATCATTAATCATTTAATAATTTAGGTTATTAATTAATATTATTTTTAGTTGACATTTAAACCACTATGCCTATTTACTGCATTGAAGTTGAAGGAAAAAATCAATCAGTGATCTTATAAGTAATAAATAACAAAGGAATCAGGTCTTAAAAGGTTAGTTCATTTGATTAGGAATTACTAGAAATGTTCGGAAAAATTATATTAAGTAAAATTGATTTTATATAATTATGATCTTTATACATACATCAAAATAATTGATTATATCTAAGTTAATATTATATAAAATTAAAATAAATTATAGATCATTCCCAAACGATTTTATAAGTATATAAATTAAAATTTACCTTATATTGATGTATATTTATATATTATAATTTATTTAACGAATATTATATTTCTATTGTTAATTAATGTGTTTTATCATTATGATATTTATTAACAATCAATTATTCTTAAAAAAATTATTTGTAAAAGAACCTTATTATTAGATTAGAAAATTATTCATGATATTTTTTATAAAAATTGAATTAATATCTTTTATATTATTTTGCTATTTAATTTTAAAGTTAATTGATATTATCTTTACGATACTTTAAAATATTTCATAATATCAAAATTAATGCAAGATTTTATTAAGATAAAATTAAAACTTTTTTCTTNAAAACAAATACTCTTTTATTATGTCCAATTTTGGATAAATAATAAAATTCAATTGGAGTTATTTTGGCAGTTAATAAACTAACTGGACATTTTAATAATGATGATTAATTATTCATTTCCAAGACCTCAGAAATGATATCAATTTTATTAAGAAATCATTAATAATCTAATGAATCAATTAGTATCTAAAATGCTTTAAGAAATGTAATATAAGTATTAAAATTTAATTGTTCAATTTAGGCTTAATTATAATTAGTATATATGAATGATACAGAATAAATCTTATTTGAAGCAGAGAATTTGTTAAAGAATTTATTTCATACTTAAAAAGGTTTAGTTTATGTTGTTAATAATAATCGATTATTAAGAGTTAATGAAAAGAAATTATTAGAAGTATCTTAATTAGGAATCGGTATTGTAGGGGAAGCACATAAAATCAAAGAGTTTTTATGGGTTTAGAATGCTTACAATCATTAATCATTTAATAATTTAGGTTATTAATTAATATTATTTTTAGTTGACATTTAAACCACTATGCCTATTTACTGCATTGAAGTTGAAGGAAAAAATCAATCAGTGATCTTATAAGTAATAAATAACAAAGGAATCAGGTCTTAAAAGGTTAGTTCATTTGATTAGGAATTACTAGAAATGTTCGGAAAAATTATATTAAGTAAAATTGATTTTATATAATTATGATCTTTATACATACATCAAAATAATTGATTATATCTAAGTTAATATTATATAAAATTAAAATAAATTATAGATCATTCCCAAACGATTTTATAAGTATATAAATTAAAATTTACCTTATATTGATGTATATTTATATATTATAATTTATTTAACGAATATTATATTTCTATTGTTAATTAATGTGTTTTATCATTATGATATTTATTAACAATCAATTATTCTTAAAAAAATTATTTGTAAAAGAACCTTATTATTAGATTAGAAAATTATTCATGATATTTTTTATAAAAATTGAATTAATATCTTTTATATTATTTTGCTATTTAATTTTAAAGTTAATTGATATTATCTTTACGATACTTTAAAATATTTCATAATATCAAAATTAATGCAAGATTTTATTAAGATAAAATTAAAACTTTTTTCTTAATCAATTCGATAAAAAATTGAAATAATACTTCAAAGCTTAGTAGCTATATTTTTTTTCCCAATAGATATAGCTATTTATGAATGTTATATTATAAAAGGTTCTTTAAGTCTTAATTAAACAATATTAAATAATGATTAAAATCTAAATTTAATGATTTTTTTAATTTGAATATCTAAAACAACAATATTGATTAGATTAAAACATCAGGCCATCTCTAAACCCAAAATTGTAATTAGATTTGAATTTCATGATAAGTTAGTTGCTAACCATTATTAAAAAAAAGGTAAATATTGAAATCTAAAAATAGATTTAACTAAATTATTTTTAATTAGAAGAAAATCATATTGCATAAATATTATAATGATATTAACTAATAAAGAATAAACTATTCTATTTTTAATTATGTTATAATATAAAATATCATTTAAGTAGAATTTTCAATTTAATTTATTTTTAATCATATCTGTAGTTTGTCAAAGTCATTATCTAATTACATATACTAATAATAAAAACATAGAATAATTCTTAGAATCCTCCTCTTGCTAGTAAAATAAATAAATAATCAAAAAAATTATTTTTTAAATTTAAACTAATATATTATTTTAGTTTCAGCAATTACTAATATCAACAATTAGAAAAGGAATTTATTAAAATAATTCAATAAAAACATCCAAAATTGATTTTGCTTCCTAAGGAAATAAAATTTTTTAGTATTTTTAAGTAAATTGATTTAGCATACTTAGCAATTTTATTATACTAAAAATAAGTTTATACAAAAAATAAATAATTATTAATTGCAAGAACACCAAATTATGCTGTTAATGTATTAAAAATAAAATAAATTTTATATTCTTTTAAGGGCTATTATGTTTAATATATATATTAAGTCTTACCCTAGGGTATTGATTTTAAGTTATTTTTCAGTAAATTTTACTTGGAGGGGTTGAATAAGATTTGGAAATATTTAGATTTTCTAGAATAGCAATCTCATTTATAACAGTTAATAAATCATTTATAAACTAGAAATAAAAATTTTGAAAAATAGATTTATATGGATTTCATTATATGCATATATTACAAGAATATTTTTAAATAGTACCTAATGAAAGCAGATAATTATCAATAAAAGTAGAGTTTATGTGAAAACTCAACTTTTGAGATTTGAGTTAGAAAGTGTTTGAAGAAGAAGTGTTTGATTATAATATGAATTAAAAGATATTTAAAATTAGATGATTAATAAATTCAAGATAAATTTGATTGAAATATGTATTGAAATATGAAGTAAAAGAATTGTAAAATAAGATTGGTAATGAAAAGAAGAGGAATTAGAATAAAGGAGAAGATTAATAAATATTTTATATAATAATAATTTATGGATAGTTCTAGAATAATAGGGATTTTTAATAATTAAGGAGATTAGATTTGATTAAGAATTAAAAATTAATTTGAGGTAATAAAATGCTCAGCAAATTATTGAGATCAACATCTTAAGTGAACTAACACACTGTGAATGCATTCAGTAGCAAGGTCATGAAGGGAGAATATGTGATTGGTATTGATTTAGGGACTACAAACTCTTGTGTGTCAATTATGGAATGTATAGATATAGTATATATTCAGCTGGAACACCAAAAGTTATTGAGAATGCTGAAGGTATGAGAACTACTCCATCTGTCGTTGCATTTACAGCTGATGGATAAAGAATAGTTGGAGCTCCAGCAAAGAGATAAGCTGTAACAAATCCAGAAAATACAGTTTATGCAACAAAGAGATTGATTGGTAGAAGATTTGATGACCCAAATGTTTAGAAAGACATTAAGCATTTAAGTTACACAGTTGTAAAAGCTTAAAATGGTGATGCTTGGGTTAGTTTGAAAAGTAAATATTTTTATTAATAATTAAGGTGGTTAAACCTATTCACCATCATAAATTGGTGCTTTCGTTTTGATAAAGATGAAGGAAACAGCTGATGCTTATATTGGTAAACCATAATCTAAGGCTGTTGTTACAGTACCTGCTTATTTCAATGATTCTCAAAGATAAGCAACTAAAGATGCTGGTAAGATTGCTGGTTTAGATGTTTTAAGAATCATCAATGAACCTACAGCAGCTGCATTAGCATTTGGTTTGGAAAAGAAAGATAATAAGATTATCGCAGTTTATGATTTAGGAGGTGGTACTTTCGATATTTCTATTTTGGAAATTAATGCAGGAGTTTTTGAAGTTAAAGCTACAAATGGTGATACAAGTTGTGGAGGTGAGGATGTTGATTCAATTTTATCTAATTGGATTAGTTCAGAATTCAAGGCATAAGCTGGTGTAGATATTTCTAAAGATAAAATGGCTGTCTAAAGAGTAAGAGAAGCTGCTGAAAAAGCTAAAATTGAATTGTCATCAACAACATAAACAGATATTAATTTACCTTATTTGACTGCTGATGCCACAGGTCCAAAACATTGCAATCTTAAATTAACAAGAGCAAAACTTGAATCTTTGACTGAAGATTTCCTTAAAAAAACAATCAAACCAACTGAAAATTGTATTAAAGATTCTGGTTTAGACAAAAGCAAAATTGATGAAGTCATTTTAGTTGGAGGTATGAGTAGAATGCCAAAAGTTTAAAAATTGGTCTAAGATCTCTTTAATAAACCACCCAATAAATCAGTTAATCCTGATGAAGCAGTCTCTATTGGTGCTGCTATTTAAGGTGGTGTTTTGAAAGGAGATGTCAAAGAATTATTATTATTGGATGTTACTCCTCTTTCTTTAGGTATTGAAACATTAGGAGGAGTATTTACTAAAATGATTCCAAGAAATACAACTATCCCAACCAAAAAGAGTTAAACTTATTCAACTGCTAGTGACAATTAAACTGTTGTTTCAATTAGAGTCTTTTAAGGTGAAAGAGAAATGGCTGCTGATAATAAATTATTAGGATAATTTGATTTATCAGGTATCCCACCTGCTCCAAGAGGAGTACCATAAATTGATGTTACTTTTGATATTGATGCTAATGGTATTGTCCATGTTTCTGCTAAAGATAAAGCAACTGCAAAAGATCATTCAATTACTATTCAATCATCAGGTGGATTAAGTGAAGCTGAAATTTAAGATATGATTAATAAAGCTGAAAAGTATAAGGATGAAGATAAAAAGAGAAGAGTATTATTTTATTATAATTTTAATAGGAACTTGTTGATTTAAAGAATGAAGCTGATGGAGCTATTTTCAATACAGAAAAATCATTGAATGAACATAAGGCTAAATTATAACCAAATGAAGTTCAAGAAATTGAAAGTGCTATTTAAAATTTGAGAGTACTCTTAACTGAAAATCTCACTGCCAATGATGTTTAAAGACTTAAGGATGCTGTTGAGAATGTTAAGAATTCAGCTATGAAAATTGGATAAGCAATGTATTAATTAGTTATAATTGATTTCTAGGTATCGTAATACTGGAGGTGCTAGTGAGTAATAGCAATAATAATCTTCTGAATAATAAGGAGAATAATAACAATAATAAGAAGGTGGAGAAAATAACAACAATAAATAAAATTGATATATTATGTTATTAATATTGTACATTCCTTTAACATTGGCTTTTTATCTTTTATGAGAATTTTAAATTCATTAAATAAATTTTATTATTTTATCAAAGAGTAAAGAACTTGAACTCTTTGAATTGTATTTTTTAAATGTGATTGGATATTAAGATTAAACATCTTGAAAAATGATAATGTCATATTCCATCAGATATATAGCAATTAAATATCATTTATAATTATATTCAATTTTAATAATCAACCTTCTTTTAAATTCAATGTTAATAGAAGTGATACTCAAGACACCATACTCTATTATATCACAATATTACAATGAGTTTAAAATCTAAATTTCTAGATCTAATCATATTAATACAATATTTCCTACAGTATTCTTTGAATTTAATAATGATGTAAATAAGTTTAAATGAGATTCTTTATATTTAATTTCTTATAGGAGAGGAATCCTTAAAATACTCTTAAGAAAAGAATATTTTAAGAAACCTTATTGTTATTGTTTCTTAATAGAAAGTAAATTACAATAAATATGTAGATAATTATATAAAATTGTACAATAATTTTATGATACATAAATTATATTTAATATATAAATAATTAAAAACAATAAATTTAAATATTTTTAAAGTGAAAATAAGTATAAATGAGAAAATTTAAATCATTTAATAAATGCTATTACTACTGTAATATCATCTATGACTTCATCTTCTCTTTACCATGCTTCTTTTGCAGCTTATACCAATCGTTAACAAGCACCTTGAGTATCATCTTTTTTATAATATTCATAAACAGTTTCAACAACCCATTCATTAGAGAGAAATCTAATGTTTATTATAAAAATAATACTCCCATATTCCATCAGATGCAACAATAATAAATTTATCACAAGGTAAAAGTGCATGTTTTATTATTTCTGGTTCACAAATAACACCAACTTAACTTGCAACATAATCTCCAAAACTTCTTGACATGGCTAAACCTGGAACATCTTCATCTGATTTCCAGACTCTTGCAGGTCCAACAGGATTCCCATCTTCATCACTATATGCTTATACACGACCTCCTCTCTGAATGATTCTGGCTTACTCCAAAAAACAATCAGGTTTATGATCTTTGGATAATTCTATTACTGAAAGTTTATTATCAAATCTTCCTATAATTGCTCTACTATCTCCAATATTTGCACAATATAATATATTTTCAAAGGAAATAACTGTTACAGTGGTTGCACCTGAATAGGTCACATCAATTCCACTTTCAAGTAATTCTTCATTAGTTTATAAGAAACAATTTTTGAGGATTGTATTGACTTATCTATTAATGAATAAAATAAGTTTACTTATCACGATCATAGCAGGATGAGATAGTCAATATACCTTATTCAATGAATGAAGGTAAGACTTATTATAAGAATTGAGCTACTTAATGGCCATTAGTGCCATGACCATCTGAAACTTAAATATACCAATCATTATCTTTATTGTTAAATTTGTTGATTAATTTATAGATATCTTGATTGGTTTTAGTTTAACCATTATAAAGCATACCAGGAGAACTTAATCCATTAGCTTTAGTAATGTAGAGTTATAAATTTGAAATATCTGGATTACTAATTGAACGTGGTCCTTTAAAGAGTTTAGATTTAACTATGTTTTATTATTGTTGCTTAGTCATTTCCATTAATTTTTGATATTTTTTAGAAATGCTTTATTGATTGAATATATCTTTGTTTTACTGAATAACAGGTTATTTAGTTTCAGGTCTTTCTTACTTGATTTTTAATAAGATAGATAAGGCATTAGCAGATATATTTTGTGAATTTTCTTTAGTTTCAATTAATTTGCTATTCTAACGTGCATGAGTTTTTTTGAGTAATACACTGCTAACATCTTTAAAATCTTTTCCACTAGTTGGTCTTGATTTTTTAGCTTCTATTTTAGAATTGCCAACTCCATTCCTATTGCTTGGAACTAGATATCTAAATAGTAAAATGATATGTATACTTATTAGGATTTACAATTGGTGATTTTAAACGAGCTTATTATTCTTAATCACTTTTCTTTTTGAGAAGTGAAGCATATAATTTATCAGGAGATATTTAAGAGGCTTTAGCTTTCATGGAAAAAATAGTTGTTAATTATTAAATTATTAATATTTTATATATTTTTACTTGATCATATATTTTCATCTTCCAATTCTCCTTTCAAACTATCTACCATCTATTCAGTTTATCTCTATAATTCTTCAGGTGATAATTCACTTTATCCTGGAGTCTTCTCATATGCACTTTCTAAATCCCATGTAGGTGCTGCATCCATTTATGGAGTTTCATCTTATTAAAATCTACTTTCAAATTGTTTCATTTCCAATAATGTCTATTCTTCAGGCAATAATTATAATGGTTGACCATTTTCATCTAATAAATCAAATTTATCAATAGCTCTCACATATTCCAAATTTTCATCTTAAGGTAATTAAGCCATAGGAGCACTTGGAGAATCTTCAAATATAACTTATTATCCCATATCTGGTGATGAACCATCATTTGTGAATAAATCAGCAAAATTTATATCTTTCTTTGGAGTTTAATCCAAAGTCTCTTCTACATATATTTCATTATCTTTAAGTTAAATTAATGATTTGTGTGATTCAGATTTTTTAATTGCATTTAATACAGCATTTCTTTCTTTTGTTTCTGCTTTCTTGATATTGTTTTAGTTCACAAAATCATTATTGGTTTCTTCTATTACTGATATCATTCCAACATTTCCACTAAGATCTTATGTTTCTCCTACAAATGAAGAACTAGATTAAAATACACCTATCCTTACTCTAGTTCAACCAGTTTTTTAACTTCTTTATGTTTCTATTGTTATCTCATATTTGTTGCATTTGTCAATGCTAATATCAGTAAAAGAATTGCTATGTATTTCATCTATTTTTATAATTATTAATCCGTTTTGATAAAAATATATTAAAAATTGAATAATAATTTTTATTAAATTTTGTTACCATTTTATTCTCTGAATTTATTTTATTATAAAAAATATGTGATATTAGAAATTATAAAATAAAATGTAAAATTAAGATTAAGAATATCTACTCAATCATGTAAATCCAATTTTAGAATAATTGGCACTCTATTTAGTTAAAGAAAAGCCTGATAATGTGGTAATTCTTATACATTTATAAATTAATTAGACCCAAGCATCTATTGAATGGTTAAGCGTAACAGGAGGTATTCTTATTATGAATCATTTTGATAGCTCAAATTGAAAATGGATTACATCATAACCAACATTTTCATAATGACACTGTTGAATCATCTGATGATACAGAATCTGATGAAGATGATTATGAATTATATGCCAATAATCCCATTAGACCAGATAGAGCAAGTGTTAGTGCAGAAGTTTATGGAATTTATAACAAAAAAACTAATTTCAAACCTAAAATTGTTGCAAAATCTCACTTACAAATTTAGAAAATCAAAGAAAAATTAGCTTAATCATTTATGTTTTCAGAATTAGATGAACATGATTTGAGAATCGTTATTAATGCTATGGAAGTTATCTAATGTAAAAAGGGAGATATAATAATCAAATAAGGAGATGATGGTGATAATTTATATATTGTTGATGAAGGAACATTAGATTGTTCAAGACTTAAAGCAGGCTAAGATTCAATTCATCTTAAAACCTATAAACCAGGTGAATCATTCGGTGAATTAGCACTCTTATATAATTCACCTAGAGCAGCTACAATAGTTGCAGAAGAAAATTGTGTCCTATTCTCTTTAGATAGAGGAACATTCAATCATATTGTTAAAGATGCTGCCATCAGAAAGAGAGAAAGATATGAATACTTTTTAGCTCATGTTGAATTACTTTAAGAATTAGATCCATACAGTAGATCACAAATTGCAGATGCTCTAAAAAGCAAAAACTTTAATATTGGTGATTATATTGTTAAAGAAGGAGATGAAGGAGATATTTTTTATTTCCTTGAAAAAGGTGAAGCAGTAGCTACCAAAGTCTTAAATCAAAGTAACTAATCAAAAAATATACTTTAGGTTAACCTGCTTAAGTAGTATATTTTTATAAGGAAGGTGATTATTTTGGTGAAATTGCCTTACTGAGATAAGCTCCAAGAGCTGCCTCTGTTATAGCAGAAGTAATACTTATTAATATTAAAAAATAGACTCCATGTACTGTTGTTTATTTGGATAGAGATACATTCAAGAGATTATTAGGACCTCTTGAAGATATACTCACTCGTAATTTTAAAAAGTACGAAAAATATATGAATTGAGATTATAAAGTATCTATTTATTTTAGAATAGTAAATTTTATAATTAAATTAATATATACATTATAAATTAGGTTATATAAACCAATAATTGAAATCTTATCAAACAATAATAAATTACTAATTATATTATATATCTTCTCTAAAACAAAAAAAGCATACATATATTAAAAATCATTGATTTAATATATCATCATCAAATAATCATTACTTAAAAGTATAAGTGATTTATAATTAAAAAATTTAAGTAGAAATTATATAGTACCATAATGTAAATTATAAAATGAATGATTGTAAGTTCTTAAATAGAAGATTAATAACATCAAATTTTATAAGATTTCTCAAAAATATAGATTATATATCTATGGTTGCAATAGGATGTTAATATTTAATTTTATCATTTCTAAAATAATTATGTCTAAAAAAATTTCATTACTTTATTTAACTTTTATTAAATCATCTAATTTAATAGATGTTTCTTTTTATCAACAAATTTATGTTAATTTTTCAAAAATAATTGATTTTCAACTTTTTCATATTCTTTATTTTACATATCATTATTATAATGTAGTAGTATTACTTCAATATTATTAATTCTAAATTTTAGGATAATCATAATTTAATAAACATAAATCTCTTTAAATATTGATACTCAATTACTAGTAATAAAATTATAAATACAATTTTGTTTATTCTAATATCTCTATAATTATCATATTCAATATTAATGCTTCTGTAAATGAAATATATTTTTATAGCAAGGATTTTGATGATCAGAATACTAGAATATAATTTAATGTCAAATTTAATTATTAATTATTTGTTAACTTTATGAATTTATCTGCCAGATCCTATATGCCAACATAAAAATCTATTTCACCATTAATTGATCGAACTACTAAAAAGCGAACTCTTACAATTTAAGAGCTTACCAAGTCTTCAAAGAGCACAAATAAGATTATTACATAAAAATCCACTTAATAAAAATTGACATCCAATAGTTCTCAAGAAACTTCAGAAACTTGTTTAACTATGAATGACTCTACATAAGACAACACAAGATTATAATAATTGAAAATTAAAGTTTTAACGTACACATTTATCTCTCATAAAGCATAGAGAAAAAGTCTAACAGATTGAATAATTTGATCTCTACAAAACTACACTCTTACTTAAAGAACTCCAATACTATCGTACTTAGTCTCTTAATAGTTCAAATACTTCGATAATGGCTGCTTTGGCCTTAGCACGTATCTGATATTATAAATTACTTTATTGATACTAATATTATTCATTCATAACTCCTCATCATTTTTACTTTAAAATTACTTGTTTTTATGAATATATTATCAATGATAATAAGATTTCATAATAAAATCACTCATAATTTATTATAATTTATTCAAATAACTGAATTAATTATATTATATAAATTTGAGTGATCTACATATAAATAAATACTTGCCAAGATTTAGAAAATGAAAAGAAATTTTATTAATTTAAATGATTAATATTTTGATAATAATATTTGTATATATCAATATTATTTTTCAATTCCTATATAGATTTTCTTAGGATTTATAAGGAATGCTAAATTAAAAGATTGAAATATATATAGATCTAATCTGCCTATATAAAGATAGGTAATTTTTTAAGTTTGATTTCTTTAATAATTGTAGGCAATCATATTTTTATAATACAAATATACTCTTATTTTATCTAAAAAGTCTTAATAGTTTTAATTAATTGTTCTTATTCTACTCAAGTAGATAAATGATAAATTAAATCCTGACTATTCTTAAGTTACTAATTATTTTTTGGATGATTTTTAATTATATAATAAATTTTAAGATTCAGAGAAAAATCCACTCTTTTTCTGAATAAGAGTCTTGTAATTATAAAATTACATTATAATCTTAATTTTTATTTAGTATTTCCCAAATTGCATAATTGCCTTTCAAATTTTTTTGTCTCAAAATGACTTTCAATAAATTACATTAAAAGGTTAATGACATATTTGAATTTAGGTTTATAATAGGAAATTATATTTACTAATATTAATTTAATAAAATTATGATTAAACCTATTATTATTATATATATATATATTAAGGATAATAATTTAAATAATTTTTAGTTCTATTAAAAATAAAAAGAATATTTATAATCTAAATCAAAAAGAGATATTATAACGATCTGATTAAGCTTCAACTTTCTATTAGCCTATTTTTTATTAAAATGCTTGATAGTGTTGTCTGCATAATTATAGAATATTTTTTGGATTTAATTCCATTTATTCTACTTTTTCTCTATAATACAAATCTTTGTAATAGTTATCCTCAATTTATTAGAAACAATTTCTTGTAATTTCATCAACTTATGATAAATTTGGAATAAAGAGTGTAATTCCTGGTTCTATTCTTTTAACTCTTTCTTTAAAATTACTCAATATATCAATTTCTTCATTTTCTACTTTAATACTTATATTTATGTTTTATTATTTTTTTTCATTAATTTCACTTTATTCATGATGATCATTATTCTTTTTTATTTTTTTCTTTAATCCTGTTTCTATTGAACAGAAATCTTGTTTGCAAAATTTTTCAAGTTCAAATTAAAATTATATCATTTCATCTGACATTTTACATTATAAATCTTTAATTTTTTCTAAAAGTGTTCTTAATTTATGATAATGGAGCTAATTTACAGGAATTAATGGTTTTTAATCATTACATAGTTGCATTTAGATAAGAATCTGTTTTGATTCGCTTACAAAGTCTTATCCTTTTGACCATTTCTTTTATTTTACAGTTTCAATATTATTTATTACTGATTTATCCTTTTCATCAGATTCTATTTGTGGTGTATCATTTGTTTCATTATCAATACTAGTTTGTAATATTTGACCTTAAGTATTTTTAGATTCTTTGTAAAAGCTAGAGAATTCGAAGTCATTTTGAATTCTTTTTTGAAACTCTATCAAAATAGACTGTTAGAATTTATGTTCAACATGTTTTAAACTTTCTATTAAGTATTTTTTTAAGTCTTCTCTCACATTTTGAGGTAGATATATTAAATGTTTCCACACACCTTAATTTGGATATGACTAAAGTGTTGCTCTTCTATTAGCTGTTCCTGGTTTTATTGATACACAAGTTGACAAAAGGTGATATGGTAAATTGTTATCATTAAAAAACTTTCTCATTGAATTTAATGCCCATTTCATGAATAATTTCTTCTTTCCATCACAATCATGTAAATCTTTAATAGATTAATTTAACATTTTTTTATTATTATTTGATTCATATTTAAAAATTATCTTAAATTCAAATCGTAATTCTATCAGTGTTTAATTCTATCAACTTAAATTTAATTAAATATCATTCTAAGACATTAGTTGATTATTACTTGATTTAATTTTAAACTGAAATTTTGTTCATTTTTTTTTAATACTTAATTTCTATAGTAACTAATTAAAGAATCTATTTTATGAGTATTATTCATTCCAATCTACATTATAGTATTTCTATAAATAAATATTTTAACTTTCTACATTTTCAATTTCTTATAAACTACTTATCCTTATGAGAGTTACTTGAAAAGAATTAAATAAAAGGAAATATATATTCATAAATGTAACTCTATAAAGAATTATTAGGAAGAATTTCTTATTTTTTACACTTGATATAAAAATTAAGTTGTTTATAAAAACAAATATGTCGTAATTCTATCAAATAAATATTTTCCTATTTAATTATTAAAAACTATTAGTTCTTATTTATGTTTAATGAATAATATCAAAGAACCTATATTTACTTTAAATTATGTGTTCATAGTTCACCTATTTCAATAATGATAATTTTTTTGATAATCATTATTATCAACTTTTCAATTTACTTCTCAATAATATACCAACTAATTATTTAACTAATATTCCTCATCTTCATATGGATTTCATTAATATCTAAAACAAATAACAAATAATAATTCAAAAAAAGAAAATAAAATAGATTTATTCAAATTAATAAGTAAAATTGCATTTTTTAACATAGGAATTTATAAGTATATATATAAAGTATTAATGAATTAGAGAAATATAATTGAATGTTCCTATTTTAATAATAATTATCATAAATTCCATGATTTCTTTAAAATTGCTTCAAAAGTCTCATCTTATTATATAGCTGAGGATACATCCTATATTATATATAATTAAAATTACTTAATAAAATTCACCAAATTCTTAAAATTATATTACTTTGTCTGGCTATGCCTTATTCCAATGAGATACAAATTCTTAAAATACTTATCTTTCTGTTTTATATCCCTTAAGTACATCAGGATGTTCTTTAACATTAATAGTTCTACCCATAGTATCCAATGTAACTTTGCCTGCTCTTTATTCAATAGATGCATATGCTCTTTAAACAAAGTAAAGTCTTTTATCACTCATTTGTAACTAATTATTAATTGAAGTATTTTTACTCTAAAAGCATCCAAGAATTCATTAAATTCAATCTTTCCATTATTATTTTTATCAAATGTTTAAAAGATCATTTTAGTTTCATCTTCAGATAGATTGAGTCCAAAATTTCTTAATCCCCATTTAAAATCATCATATTCAACTACTCCATCTATTTTATTATGTAAAATAAATTACTATTATTTTAATCCATTTCAAAAAAGATTTTAGCCAATCCTCTTAATCCATAAGAACCTTTACCAGTAATTTATTATTTAACTCTAATCATTAAATTTTTAACATTTCTATTATCATCCATAACTGATTCATCAAATTATTCATTTTATTTAGTTGCTACAATAAATTTCCATAAATTCTAAGGTCTATAAATATTTATATTTAATACTCTTAATTTCTTAATGGAATATCAATTGTTGTTCTACCCTCTTTTTCTGCTATCAAATTTTATGTTTTATTTAAACATTAATAAGAATGAACAAAAACTTCACGTTCTCTACCAAAATCGTTTTAATATACTATATCATCACTTGCTAACCAATGTTATGTAAATGAATGTTTAACAAGAACAACATCATCAATTCTAATAGGTAATCCTTCCATCTCAAATCTAATTTTAGGATCTGAATGTTCTAATTTCCACACAGTATTAAAAACATCACTTTCTATGGCACAAACTTCTTATTTTCTTGATATTTTTGCACATCTAGTAGGTGTCTATGGAAGTGAATGGAGATAAAAGGTTTTATTATTTGATATTCTTGGATTTGCAAGAATTCTAAAATGTTATCCATAATGCAAAATATCATCACCAAAGAAATTAGGTTCTTTAGTATAAGGTACAACTACAAATACAGATCTTACTGTTGGTTATGTTGTTGGGGCTGTAGTAACATTGTATGCTTCTTCATTTATTTTTAATTTTTCTTAGATGTCTATTGATAAACAGCCTTATGTTTTTAGATTTTAAAGCATAATATGGAATCCGAAATGAATGTATTCGTCTTTTGGATAAGTAAGTGATGCTAGTCTAAGACTAAAGTTAGTTTTTTAATCCTTGACAATGCTTGCCAGTTACCCATTTTATCTATTTTTCAAATAGTCTTTTTTCCTAATAAATTCATGAACAAATTCTCACTTGGTCTCATCTAATTCCCACTCTTCAAACCAATTACCGATGCGAGTCTAGAACTTGTATTTGTGATCGACGTTGTAATTGTGCATTTAATTTTTAATAAATTATTATTGAATTAAAAAAATTAATTATAACTAATTATTTTATCAATCTTTAAATCTCAAATCAACTTTTATTCCATCTAGTAAATTTTAGTTTAAATGGTTTTAGTTATTAAAAATTAATAGATATATAATATATTCAAATATGCCTAATCTTCTTATTATTATAATAACTTAATAAAATCAAAATTTAATTTTTCATAATAATATATGTAAAAGTTTATAATCTATTTTGAGAAAATGTTTGTGAGAAGCAACTTATTTAATTAATATATTAATGATTTCTTACTGATTTTTAGAAAGTATTAAAATTCTAAATTAAATATCCTTACATTAAATAAAATAATCTTTAGTTATTAATAGCAATCTTCATTTAATTATTTAAAATTAAATCAATTATATAAGACTAATTATATTTAAGTAATTTCTAATCTTAATATTTAAGTTTAATAAATTTAAATTGAAGATTAACATATTATTGATTTAAAATAACATTAGATTTTTTATTTAATTAGTTATATGCTGATGTAGATATACTTAATTGAGGAATCTTTGATGGAATTTAATAAATTATATTAAGATATTTTTTGAGAAAGATACTGAATTGTTCAATTGAATTTCTAAGATATCATTTAATAATTTAATTTAGTCATCTAAAGTTTCTGAAATTTTTATATTTTGTATATGAGCATTATATGTAAAATGATTGTTACATTTTTAAATATAGAGAGAGTTGCTGATTGATTATATATGTGTTTTATTAAATTAAAAAAAATTAGTAGTTTTTTTAAGATGAATATTCAAATTTATATTTGGATTGAAGGAGATTTGATTATGAAACATCTTATGAAATATTTTAGATACAATTTTACGGATAAATTAAAAATTAATAATAATTAATTATATCACTTGAGGTATTCAATCAAAATTAGAAATATTTATTAGATGAAGATAAATTAAAAAAATTAAAGAATATTAGATGAACAGATATATATTTTGAAAATTTATATTTATAGGTGTTGATGAAAGCTTTGTCACTTCTTTTAAGTGCACGCACGGCTTTTTCAACCCCTCATTACTGCAGCTACCAGTTTGAAGGGTCAAATTCACTATTTTTTATGCTACTAGTTACAAGAGTCATTTGGATCATATTATTCATAAGCATTTTTCATAATTCCGTCACATTGATTATTGGTATTATTAATTTAATTGTTGTTTTTATTTTAATTGATATTATTATTATTTATATTCTATGTTTCATCCACATCAATTACATTGTTCAAACTAATCTGAGATGCTAAAATTAAAAAATAACAAACATATATATTATGTTGATGACAACGAAATAAAACTAATATCTGGATTGATAATAGGTTCTGGCCTAGGCTATAAATCTGAATTCTCATTATCTAAAGGCTTGTTGCCTTTTACTCCATAATATTAACCTTCATAATCAGGATAATATTTAAATTAGTTTAATTAAGTTGTTCCAACTAATGACACTTCTTAAATGTAATTTCCTAATTCTCTTCTTCTACGTATTTGATTTCTTATCAGTTTGCGAAGTTTTCGTTTTAGGATTCTAAGTTTTTTGGATTTACTAAAAAAATTAAATTTTTCTAGATTTATTACTTGAATACAACAGACTCTTAAACTGTTTCGATCAACATACTAGTAGTGTTATAATTGGCTTCAAACATTTAAGCAAATATTTCTTTTTATGCTTACAATTCTTATAATTCTAATTCTTCATCGTAGCAGAGTTAGATTTACTATAATGAAGATTATGAAATTGATGTAGACTTACTAATTGATGAGTTGGAGAATGACATTTGATTTATGATTTTTTTTGTTTTAATTAATATTCCGAATATTATATATAATAACTCAAAAACACAATACAATATTTTAGGTATTAATCAAATTAATCTCTTCATCAAATACAATTACAAAAATAAATTGAATAAGATATATTTCAGATTAAAATTAAATATAAACAATTTTTAATATCAAAGTAGGATGTAATATAAGGGATTATCTAATAGTTCTACTAACTAATTACCATTAAATAGCTTAATTGGATAATGCTATTATCAATAATATCAATATATTCACTTTTTATAGTGAAAAAGTATAAGATACTTGATTCATAGACAACATTTTAGTTAATGAAAATTTACATCAATCTTTATGCTTTATATCAACTCTTATTCTCTTTTTTTAAAAATATAATGTAATCATGTCAATAACCAATTAATATAAAGATATTTAAAATTCTTTATTCTCATTAAATAATATTTCATTAAAATTTTATTGATGATAACTATATAAAATTATCAACTAAACTATTTAATTTGATTATTATTTAATAATATAATATATTCAATTAATAAAACTATCATTTTTTAAATTAAGTCAAATTTCTAGTTCATGGTAATGATTCAATATACCTTGTAGTTTTTTCTATAGTTGAGGTACTTTAACATAATATTCACTCAACAGTTCTTTAACCTTTTCCAATTTCGCGAAAAAATTTGGAGCATTCCTTTCAACTAGTACATCCATTCCTAACCTTAATCTAATAAGATTTTTCGATTTTTAATAAAGTTCATTATCAATTTTCGATTTATAAATGGCATCAGTTATTTTTTAACTGTTTATTTATAAGAAATCTTTCGTATTTATTTTTTTCTTCAATGTATCCTAATTTTAAATACAATAAAATAACTCCATTAGGCTATTTTTTTATTCTTTAGTTTTATATAAAAACTCATTCTATGTTAAACTTAAATTAAAATTATTTTATATTGAGTTAATTTATTTTTCAATTCTAAAAACTTGAATTTAATAATGAAAATTTGCATTATTTTGAAATTCTTGATTAAACTTCTTACAAATATATCTTGTATTCATGATATCCTCTATTGAGCAATATGATAGTATAACTTTAAAAAATAAATTTCCTAAATTTGAAATCTTTTCTAATTGACTTTATTTTGATTTTATTTTTATGAGTAAATTATTCAAAAATCTCTATTATTTTTAAATTGTTAGAATTATTTTATCTCTCTTATAGGCATCACAAATTACTTTATAATCTGGTCGTGTAGAAAATTCACATAGATTCTTTACATATTTTATTAAAACATTGAAATCTCTAAAATTTATCTATTTATTTTAATTAATTTTTGTAGAAATATTTATCTTTTTGATTCTTCTTTAATTTTCTATAAATATATGTTTCTTAATCAATCTTATTTCCTTCTCATTTAATGCATACCAATTAAAAGGTTATTTTTAAAGGCAGATGTTAACAATTTATAAGATATCGTATTTTGTTTAATATTGATTTTTCTTATCACCTTAAGGTTTTGATACTGTATATAAATCAGCAAGTAAGGTTAATGATGATAAAAGTTAATCTGGAATTAGATTTAAGCAACCACCTTATGATAATAAATTCCTCAATGGCTTTTAAACATGAATTAAATTAGGAATTACAGGTAGTTAAAAGTCTCGAATATTTAGAGTTTATATATATTTCATTCTTGATATTTTATGATAAAACAAAAATTCTAGATTAGTTTCTATTAAATGGTTTGTGTAAATGCTTACAAGCCTTAATTATTTGATGTCTTGAGTAGTTAAAAACTTCATAATATTTCTGAATACAATCTTAAAGACAAATCTTGTGAAAAGATTCTTCTCTTTTAATAGTTTTTATTATTTTTTTAATTTAGATGTTAATACAGGTTTTTTTGGATTAAGATTTTCTTTCGAAATATTTTTTGTCATTTTAAAATTTTAGAATTTCTAAAATAAATCTTAAAATGTATTTAAAGCTTTTTTTATTTTATTTGATGTATTTTATTATATTTTTAATTCTTTTTGTTTTATGCTGATATTATCTTTTAAATTATTTTTTGTGAGTTTAAAATTTTAGTATTATTAAAATACTAATTAAAATGTATTTAAAGCTGTTCTTAAGTTATTTTATGTGTTTTGTTATTATTTTATTAATTCTTTTTGTGTTATGCTGATATTATCTTTTAAATTATTTTTTTTCTATTTAAAATTTTAGAATTACTAAAACACATCTTAAAATGTATTTAAAGCTGTTCTTATATTTTGTTATGTATTTTATTATTATATTGTTAATTTTTTTTGTGGTGAGTTCATATTATCTTTTAAAATATTTGTTTTCGATTTAAAATTTTAGATTTACTAAAATAGATCCTAAAATGTATTTAAAGCTGTTCTTATATTTTTTTATGTTATTTATTATTTTTGTCTTAGTTCTATTTGAAAATGCTATAAAAAGATATTATCTTAATTCATTTATTTTTATAATTAAAAGTTATATCAATATAATTATAAAGAAGGTTCAAATTCTGATGAAATCTATCAGTTGGAACAAGTATTTCATTTCATTGATTAATGGAAAATAATCATAAATCGAGTAGGTAACATTGAAATTTAACAATCATATTAAATGTCATTTTCAATTATTAAATGAATTATGCTATTTAAAAAGTTTTAATAGGCTTTTATATTTTTTTAATCTTAAAACTCCATTTAAAGTAGAGCAATCGAATTTTTAGAACAATTATTTAATTATAAAATAGAAAAATGATGATAATACACAGTCCTCAACATATTTTGCCAAAGGAATGGCCAAACAAATGAGTATCCTTTAATGAATTAGATTATAATATATATTGAATTAACAAGATTTTCTATAGAAAAAGGCAGAATTAAATTTTTAAAGTGAACAATTCTTATCTAAATATTCACAAAAAAGATATGAACCCTTTTTAATTGACTTGATATGGTAATATCAACTCACAAACAATTAATTATTTTTGCTACAAATCATAAATCATAAATCATATGGGTTTATGTACATCAAAAAAACACAACTATCCTCTTCAGAGAAGCTAACCGTAAAGAAATATTGAAATCGACTTTGTCAAATTGTTAGAGTATAATCGTAAAAAGGAAGTCAAGGATAATAAGAACAATTAACAACAACAATCATTCTGTTAGATCTTTTTATAAGAAAATAAAACTTCTAATCCTCAAACTTTAACATAAAACTTAGCTCCAACTGCTTAGTTAGACTACAAGAAAATATGATTCTATTCATATTTAATCCTTGAAGCTCTATGAGTAATGAATATGTTTAATAAACTGAATTATTAATAACATAATAATTGTTCTCTCTTCTCTATAAATACTTCTAAATACTCACTAAGTTTCATATTTACTGTATTTAATTTGAAAAAATCCAAATTAATCAAATAATAATATATATAATCAATAGAAATCAAGGAATTGTTCTAAGTTCTTAATTTGCATCACAACTTGAATGTACAAACTCAAGCTCTCAACACTTATTAAGAATAGTTTCAACAAAATTTTATTTTTATTTAAAGTCTCTTTTTTGTCAATATTAAATAATAAAGTAAATCTCAGTTCTACACTTTTCATTATTTGAGAATATAAAATATAATTGTCAAATTTATCAAGTTCTCTTGCTTAAATATTTTAACATATTATTAGTTAGGAGGGTAAAATATAGTAGTTTATAATATTGATTATTATAAACAACTATTATTGTTATCTCATCATAGCCTTAAATTGATGTTACTCTTATTTATTGTATTTATTATTATTGAATGTGTTGTTTTCAATGATGATCTTTCAATATTTTAATTTCATTCATATATTTTGACTATATTTTACCCTATTACAATATGATTAGTCTTTTCTATTACATTATTACGCTTGAGTTGAATATATAAAAACAACTTTAACATTTAAATTAATTCAGGTAATCTTTAGTAATTACTATTCCATACATTAATTTTTATTTATATTTTTAGCTATCATTAATAGAAAGTAATTTTTAAATCTAGCTATAAAATGAGACACTAAATTCATAATTGTTATGTTAATATCATCATTTTGTAAAAATAGGATTGTTTTCTTTTTGAATATTGAATAAAAAATTATATTTATATACTCTTTTGGTATTTGACTTCATGTTGATTATCGTTTTTTATCAGAATAATATTTATATTAATCGTTTTTTAATAGCATTAATTCATATATAAAACGATATTTTGAGTATGAAATAGACATATAATTAGTAAAATTTTTAATTTAATCATCATAAGTAATATATGCACATACTTTTTTTATTTTCTGCAATTTTGAATAAGTCTATAATCCATTGTAAATATAAATAAATTGATTTATTATGTTTTATGAAAGTAATAAATAATTCTTTATTATTAAATTAGAACATGATGAGTTAGAAGAAGTACAACAATTATTGATTAATTTTCTTTACGTATTTATTCATGATAATGTATATTTCACCATTCAAGGAAGGGATCATCAGCTGGTTTAAGAGCAGGACTCTAGGTATCAGATTCTGGATAGGATGAGAAATTAGACGTATCATTTGCAGCTCTATTGTGAAATTATAAAATAAATACTTAACAACAGGTTTATAGGGAACTGGTAATTTCTTTTGGGTAAGCAAATTCCAATCTAAATTTCCAAACCATCTATGATTCTTAATATCAGCAGCTCCTATAAAATATATAAGAGAATAGAAATACCATTTTTTAAGTTTCCATATCTTTTTGATAAATCTGCAACTAATAAATGTTTGACTAAGGATTTAGCATTTCTACAATAGGAAAAAAGATGTTTACTTATCGAAAGACTTTGGAAATTTAACTTTACCCTTAAGAATTTTTTAATAAATTGCCATAGGATCTTCATCAGAGAAAGGATCGATTCCTGCATTCATTTCATAGATTAATATTCCCAATGTCCACCAATCAACAGCTTTACCATGTCCTTTATTCAATAAGATTTCTGGAGCCAAATATTCTGGTGTTCCACATAATGTATAAGTTCTTCCTTCAACTACTTTAGCAAATCCAAAATCTGTTAATTTTAAATATCCATCATCAGCAATCAATAAATTTTCTGGTTTTAAATCTCTATAGATAATATTTTTAGAATGAAGATATTCAAAAATGGACGCAACTTATGAAGCATAAAAACTATAAAAAATTTAATATAATATTTTTACCCAGCATGTGAAGTATCGAGTCTTCCAATACTTCTTAAATAAGTAAATAATTCACCACCTGATACAAACTCTAAGACTAAATATAAGTATCTTGGATCTTAACAAAATCCTTCAAAATTGACCTATTAAAAAACTAATCTTTCAATTTACAATGAAAGGATGGGATAAGTTGCCCAATATAGTATTTTCATTAATAACATGATCAACTTATTTTAATCTAATGATTTCAGCTTTCTTTAAACTTTTCAAAGCAACATATTTATTTGTTTATTTGTTTCTTGCCAATTTAACTCTTCCAAATGATCCTAAAGATATGAATTTCAATTCAATACCTGTTCCAAGTGTTTGAAACACTTCATAATCAGTCAATTTCAACTTCTTTGGTTTTGTCAACCCTGTACTCATCTTTCTTAAGATTTATGAAATAAATAAAATATATAGATATAAATTAATAGTATATGCATAAGAACTCTATCCAAAAATTAATATTATGTTTACAACACTTAATATATCCTCATTTTATCAGAATAGATAATGATTAATACAATATTTTTAATATTTGAAAATATAGTTTTCTAAAATAGAATCAATAATAATTATTGATAGTATAGAATATCTAAAAAGATATTTATAAATAATATAAAATATTTATACATCCTTAAATTTAACAAATATCATCCATCTCTTTAATCTCCAAAAGTTTCTTGAGGTTCTTCTTCCCCTCCTTAACGTCCTGATTATTATTATTTCTTTTTTATTCCAGAAACAACATCATCTATTCTTAATAACATGCATGCTGATTCAATAGCTGTCTTAAAAACTTATCTAAATTAAATAACTCTATCTAACTTACTTTTTAACTGAAAGTGGTTCCCAAACATTAATATCATTCATCTTAGCAATCTTTCCAGTATTTCCATCAACTCCAAAATAAAGTCCTCCAGTTTCACTATGTTTTGCTCTCAATTCAGTCAATACTCTAACAGTGTCAGCTCCACAATTAGCTGAAAGAGTTCTTGGAATTATTTCTAAGGCATAAGCAACTAGAATATGATTAATTAAATATACCTGCTTTATAAGGTAATTAACCTAATCCTTCAACTTTATTAGCTTTTTCTAGTAATCTAGCACTAACTTCCATTTCAACAGCTCCGCCTCCTGGTAATAGTTTTGGATCCTGATATATATTCTTAGCCACTGCTAAACAATCATGTAAATTTCTTTCCTATTTAATTAATACATTATATAATATACCATTTCATTTAGAACATCTTTTGAAGCTCCTCTCAATATGATAGAACAAGCAGTAGGATTTTGACAATCAATAAAGAAAGCAAAATAATCATCTCCTATTTTTTTGACTTCAAATGTTCCACATAATGTACCAATATCAGTTTCTTATATTTCTTCTGGTCTATTAACAATTGTTGCTCCAGATACTCTTGCTATTCTAGTATTATCAGTTTTTCTAACTCTTCTAATAACAGAAACATTCCCTTTTAATAAGAAATGTTAAGCCAAATCAGATACTCCCTTTTCTGTAATAACAATATCAGGTTTATGTTTTAATATATCATTACACATTAATGCAACTTCATTAATTTCTTATTAAAGTGCATCAGTCATATCTGATTCTTTTGTCATTTCCATATTAGTCATAGATTCTCCCTTTTTGTATTCTAATGTACAATCTAATAAAATGATTCTTGGATTTTTAATTTCTCTTCTCATTCTTGGATGAGTAACATCTTTATTAATCATGACTCCTTCAAGAACACAACTTTCTTCAAGTGTTCCACCAGGAATTTTCTCTACTTTTGCATATCTCTTGATTTCCAAATTCAATTTATTAACATTTCCACCTCTTAAAACAATTCTTGTAGCTTATAAAGAAAGATCACTTATTAATGTTCCCCATCTGAATGCAAATTTAGTACCTATACAAGATTACAAAGCTTTCATAACTTCTTCTTTTTTTTCAGTGTCAATCTATTATGCAATTTCATCCAATATTGAAAGTGAATCTTCTAAAGCCTTAAAATAACCATTAACAATTTCAGTAGGATGAATATTCTTTTCTATGAATGGTCTAGCTGCAACCATCATTTCACCTGCCAAAATTATAACTGATGTAGTTCCATCTCCAACTTCTTCATCTTAAGCCTTTTAATTATAAAAAGTTAATAATACTCTTGCTAATTCAATCATACTCTTAGCTGCTGGATGTTGAACATCAATTTCCCTTAGAATAGCATTTCCATCATTTGTCATTACTATTCCTCCCATTGGATCTAATAACATTTTTAACATCGAACGAGGACCAAGAGTAGTTAGGACTATATCTGATACAGCCTTAGCTGCTTATATATTTCCCAATTAAGCCTTTCTTCCTTATTCTCTTTTTGTATTAGCATTCACAACAATCACTGGAGCTCCTTACATATATTTTTAAATATAAAAACTTTTAATGGATTTTATTATTTTCTTTTATATTTATTAATGTTTATATTCATTATTATAATATAAATCATTATCAATTTCAAAAAATAATTAATTCAATTTTATTAGATCTGCATTTATAAGTCTTATTCATATCATTTAATTTATTTNCCCTTTTAATAAGAAATGTTAAGCCAAATCAGATACTCCCTTTTCTGTAATAACAATATCAGGTTTATGTTTTAATATATCATTACACATTAATGCAACTTCATTAATTTCTTATTAAAGTGCATCAGTCATATCTGATTCTTTTGTCATTTCCATATTAGTCATAGATTCTCCCTTTTTGTATTCTAATGTACAATCTAATAAAATGATTCTTGGATTTTTAATTTCTCTTCTCATTCTTGGATGAGTAACATCTTTATTAATCATGACTCCTTCAAGAACACAACTTTCTTCAAGTGTTCCACCAGGAATTTTCTCTACTTTTGCATATCTCTTGATTTCCAAATTCAATTTATTAACATTTCCACCTCTTAAAACAATTCTTGTAGCTTATAAAGAAAGATCACTTATTAATGTTCCCCATCTGAATGCAAATTTAGTACCTATACAAGATTACAAAGCTTTCATAACTTCTTCTTTTTTTTCAGTGTCAATCTATTATGCAATTTCATCCAATATTGAAAGTGAATCTTCTAAAGCCTTAAAATAACCATTAACAATTTCAGTAGGATGAATATTCTTTTCTATGAATGGTCTAGCTGCAACCATCATTTCACCTGCCAAAATTATAACTGATGTAGTTCCATCTCCAACTTCTTCATCTTAAGCCTTTTAATTATAAAAAGTTAATAATACTCTTGCTAATTCAATCATACTCTTAGCTGCTGGATGTTGAACATCAATTTCCCTTAGAATAGCATTTCCATCATTTGTCATTACTATTCCTCCCATTGGATCTAATAACATTTTTAACATCGAACGAGGACCAAGAGTAGTTAGGACTATATCTGATACAGCCTTAGCTGCTTATATATTTCCCAATTAAGCCTTTCTTCCTTATTCTCTTTTTGTATTAGCATTCACAACAATCACTGGAGCTCCTTACATATATTTTTAAATATAAAAACTTTTAATGGATTTTATTATTTTCTTTTATATTTATTAATGTTTATATTCATTATTATAATATAAATCATTATCAATTTCAAAAAATAATTAATTCAATTTTATTAGATCTGCATTTATAAGTCTTATTCATATCATTTAATTTATTTAAAATAAAATTTTGTGATCTACTTTAAAATATCTATAAGTTTATAGAATTAGAAATAATAAATGAATATAGAATACTCCCTATAAAATATTATACTAATCATAGTTGAATTAATTATTGTTCATTTACATTTAGATATTCTTAAGTTATAATCACAATATTACTATTCTAATAACAATAGAAATAATAAAAAAAATATAATTAATTTATTATGTATATATAATTTATATACAATTTATTTTATTAATAAAGGACTTATTCTATTTTGAACTCTATAAATATTGATAAAAATTATGCTTCAAATGATTAAATGCATTTTAATAACTTCAACAATGTACATCACATATGCAGAAATGATTTACCCCATATTAAATAAAGCTTATAAAACATAATGGGAAGATAATGTGTGGATAAATTGTGAGACCAAATCTGATATTTAACCTAAAAAATGTTATGAAGGAGAATTAGATTGGTAAGAATGCTATGAAGTTCCAAAAGAGGGTATTTGTTTAGCTAACTATATCACAACAACATAATAAGATTTATTGTAATTTAATATCACTTTCAACACTTCAGCTAATAATAATACTAATCAAGGACAAATAGTAGAAATTGAAATAAATAAGAATAGTTTATAATTGTAATTACTAAATTATTCAATATTGGAAAAAGTAAAGATTGATTCAAATATTATAAGCTTAAAGATTTTAACCTCAAGTTTAGTATTATCTGATTTATCCATATATACTCCTAATCATATCACTCACTCTTAAAATGAATTATCTGTTTGTTTAAATGAATATTCTCTATTCAATTACAAATGTATACCTCAAAGTTGTTTTGATTAAATCTCAAATATAAACTCTGATACTCACATTAGTTCAATAAGTTAAATTGAATAAAACACTACTAATTTATTAATAAAATCCACTTTTAAGATTCCTTTAATAGAATGTTTGATTCCAAAAATTTATTTAACTAAATCTATAGAAGATAATACAATAACAACTATTTTATCAGATGAATAAGTTAAATTAAATGAGAATGATAACTCAATTTTGGAATATTATTTGACTCCAGAATAATTTTAGAAATGCTATCATTTTGAAACTTAATAAGCAATAGTGTATTAATGTTTTATTGGAGTTGCTATTACAATAAATAAAAAACCTTAATACTTATTGATGTTGATTTCTCAAATAGAAGTCTAAAAATCAACATAAACATATACAAATTCTATTTAGATTTTTGAGATGCCAACATCAGATACTGAATCTACTATAGTTGGACCCATTATTATTTTTAGTAATGCTTCAAATTCCATCATTGATACAAAGAATAATCTCATCGAAACTACTTAAAATATTTTAGATCCAAATTATCAAGATTATTAAATAACTTTCTTAAATGGAACAATCACTTAAAATTTAACAATTATACCTTTAAAATTAGAAGATGAAAGATAAAATGGATCAATAAAAGAACTAATTCTATCCTATGATAACAATAATTTTAACGAAAATTAAAATTATAATATATCTATTAGTTCATCTTTGACATTAAATTAAACAAGAAGATTATTAGGACAAAGAAATATTATTCCACAAATGTAAATACAAAATTCTTTTGATGGAACTAAAGTATCATAATCAACTGTGACTTTTAATGTAAATCAACAATCATCTCTTTAAGGAGGTTATTTGGCTTTAATTTTTATTGCTGTTATTCTATGTTCATTATTTTTCATAATTGCAACAATTGTACTAATAGAAAAAGTAGAAAATAAATACTTCAAAATAAAGTAAAAAGAAGATAAATAAATTCCAACAGAACTATAATAAAATTGATTTTATTAAAAATTATAAAATATCATTATTTTCAATATAGTTAATAAGTATACACTTATCATAAATACAAAATATTAGTTTTGATTAATTAATTATGTCATTAATATAAATAAGAGTATAAATTTTAAAATTAATAATAAATTTTTAATCATTACTAAATTCTTAATTATGATAATATATTAAAGAAATCTAATATTTGAATAAGTATTATGATTTTATTTATAAGAAATAAACTAAATCTAATCAAAATATTAGTTTTAAATTTCATGAGTATTATTAATAGATCATCAGTAATGATTTAAATGATAATAATATTTAATTAGGATATTTAATTTTTTTGTATATACAAATTAATATATTAGATATAATTAGTTTAATTATATCTAATATAATGTATGAATACAATTAGATTAAGATTTTTACTTATTATGTAATATAATAGATGTATAGATTAATAAATGAGATCATTAGGTGAAGAAATTAAAATTAAAATATGCATTAAGAATTTATTAAAGAGAAGTGATAATAAACTTATAAATAGTTCTAATATATTTTTAATTTATTTCCATGTTTTTGGCTATAAATGGTTCTGCTTTTCCAATAAGGAATGAATTCAGATTACCAAAACTACGAGGTTAAAAAGGTAGATAACAAATTGTTATATTTAATCAAGGTCTTCGATAATCGAAGTCTCGGTTGCAAGAGTAACCTGATTCTCCAGATAAATCAAGTAAATGTTTGACCAAGCCCTGTAGTCTACTAAAATATTAAGTTCCTGGTTCTATGATTTTGATTGCCAGATCTATGAAGTTTTCAAAAGACTAGTTCACTCACAGACAAAGAGAAAAACAGGAGATTATTCCTGAGATTTTAGATGGATACAAATATTCATTAGGGTAAGGAAATAATCATGAGTTGGTACAAAGAATCATGGATGCAAGAACTGAATGGCATCTATGTAAAGAAAGTAATTCAATGAGTATAAATTTCAGATGGCAACAAACTAATAGAGGATATAAATATGATAGACTTATAGCAAATAGTTAATACAAATAATGTGTAAATCACTTTGAGTAACATTTTGAAATTTCTAATAAATAATATCTATTTAGAAACTTATGCCAATTTTGTGAAGTAATATCTATATAATTAACATGTAGAATAGTAAATAAAATGTATTTGATTTTGTTCCTGTTACATTTGTTTTAGATTTTAATGATGAATCTATAGATTCATAATTTACTTAATTTATAAAATTTTTTGATAAATTTGCTCCTAAAGATAAAAAAATAGAGTAGTTGCCAAAAAAGTTATAAGAATACAAAAAAAAATTAAAAGTACTTTAAATCAAATATTATATTTTAGATTTAAAGTACTCCTTTATTAGATAAAAAATTGCATGCTATTCCTTAAAAAATACCTAAATGTTAAGAAGGAGATCAATATTTATGGCTACTTAAACCTACTTTCTTAAATAGAGGAAGAGGAATACATGTAGTAAATGATATTGAAGTTATAATCTAATTAATTAGTGAATTGTAATTGGGATCTGCAGAAGATTTGGAAGAATAAAAGAAGAAAAATGCTATTAAAGCCAACTCATTTGTAATTTAGAAATATATTGAACATCCCTTCCTTATAAATAATAGAAAATTTGATATTAGAGTTTGGGTATTAGTAACTATGGATTTAAATTGCTATTTCTTTAAGGAAGGTTATATTAGGACTTCCAGTGAAAACTTTACTACTGATAATGTTGATAATTAATTTATTCACTTAACAAATAATGCTATACAAAAGTATAGTGAAAAATATGGAGAGTTTGAAGATGGTAATCAATTGTCATTCGATGATTTTCAAAATTATTTAAATGAATAAGGATTCAAGGTTGATTTTTATGGAATACATGTTCCAAAAATGAAATAACTTGTATGGACATCTTTATAATCAGTTAAACGAAAATTGAATTTATCTCAAAGAAGATATTGTATGGAAATATTTGGATATGATTTCATAATAGACAGTGATTTCAAAACTTGGTTAATAGAAGTTAATACTAATCCATGTATTGAAGAATCCAGTAGTATTTTATAGATGCTCCTTCCAAGAATGCTAGGTACAATTATCAATATATATTATTAGATGATGCCTTCAAATTGACTATAGATACAATCTTTCCACCAAAATATTAAGATGATGAACCAACTGATTCAAAATACCCTGTTAAGAAATATCCAAATAATGAGAATTTATGGTAATTCAATATTTGTTATATTTAGGGAGCCTCTTGGATGCTTAGAATCTCCAAAATAGTAATCCAAAGCTAATGTAATGCAACAATAACAATTATTATATTAATAGATGTATTACTAAAATTAATAGTAATAATTTTAACAGCAGATGCAATAATAATATTAGTAATCTAGCAGTTAACATCATAATTAATTACCATATTATCTACAACCTCTTACGCCTTAATCATCATCCTAATTTTAATCAATTTGAATATATATTAATAATATGTTATATAATTATATTAATCATTTTACTTTTCAATATTAATTCAATTAAGATTTTGTTTTCAAATTTCATTATATATATATATATTTAAAGAATGAAATTAGATCTATACAATAAGTAATTCCTTATTTATTTTTTAAACCTCTTACTCTTAGAAATTCTTAATAATTTAACTAAAAGTAAATCCATTAAATTTTTATACTATTTTTATATCTCTTTTGAATTAAAAAAAAATACTTAATATTTTTATATTTATATTAACAAGAATCCAAAAAAAGGATTAATAAATATCTTTTATATATTTATTATTATTTATAATCATAGGATGAATGTTTTTAATTATTATAAATTTTGGAAAATAAATTCAATTAGATGAAAGATAATTTAATAATCATATAATTTTAAATCAATATTTTTAATTTAGTATATCTTATCTTATAATTCATTTATTTTATCATCTCTTAAATAATTAATAAATTGTTTTATAAAAACTAAATTGTTCTATGCTACTTAAAATGATTTTTTTTATTTTAGAAGATAATCATATTTTAAAATAGAATTGAAATAGATATATGAAAATATAAAAAAAATACACTCTAAGTTAAAATTTTATTATATGATTATAATAATCAATCATCACCTGTGTTTTTGAAAGTAATAAAGTTTATTACATTGTCTTTAATCGCACCTGGAAACAAATTACGTTTGACTTCATTGTTATTACCAGCTGAAAGAAGGATTACTATTATCTATTAATTCTTGAATATTATTAATGTACTTTGACTATCATATTAATCATTGCTGTTATCATGATAGTGGAATGCAAAAGGGAATCTATTTTAGTTTCTAAAATTTTGAATCTACTCCAAGAATTGTGCCAGTATACAGCATAGACAAAATCAATTATGAAAGAGAACAACAATAGATAAATAATTCTAGTATGGAACTATGTTATGATAGAATAATTTGCACTTTCTAAAACTCCCATAAAAATGCAGCAAATATAAAGAGAGGTAGATTGTAATCAGCTCTTCCAAATGAACTGATGAGCGACGTCAGAATTCCAAATATTAGGACCTTTTATACTAATTGCCACCTAAATGTCTCATTAAATAATCTACTAGGTTGGTTCAGACATCTATGATAATTGAATTTTATATTAATATAAATAACTAATAAAACTTTGTTATATTATTACATATATTAGGAATTTAAGTAATTAAAATTGATAAGTAATATGTTAGTATTTAAATATTTTTACATTTTTAGAGATTCTAAAATTTTTATATATATATATTAATTTTAATGATTGTGAAGTAAAAAAGAGAAGTCTTTCATGTTTAATTAAGAAGAAATTAGAGAGAATAAATATTTTCTAAAAAGAGAATATTAGACTAACCATAATAATAAGAAGCAGTGACTTCAGAATAAGCAATTCTATTTTTAAAAGGAGGAATGTCTAATTAAATGAATTTATCAGAGATGTTCTAAGAATTACATCAATTATTACCAAAATATGGAGATCTTCATTTAAAGACATTACCTTATATCATTTAAGGAGTTAAGAAGTATTTATAGGATGCTGATTCATCTCTACTTTATATGAATGATGAAGATCGTGAAATATCAGAATATACAGTATTAGAAATACTTTAATATTTGGGATCATTAACTTATCATATTAAAGTAGAATTTGATTTAGATAATTTGATTGAAATGTTAGTAGCAATACTCAACTCAACAGATGAGTTCAAAATGATTGAAAGATTATGTTAAATTTTTTAAAATCTTCTTTTTGACTTCGAAGATGCTTCTTCTTATTTACTTAAATGTGAGATTGTTACAAAGTTGGCTAATAAGTTTTTAGATTGTAATGTAAGTTATGACTTAAATAATCTTGCTCCTATGTTTAGAGTATTATAATAATTGGATGGAGTTAATTATTATGATTTCAATTAAATACATCCATTATTACATAGATTATAAAATGACTCTAAAGTTGATACTTAAATGTATTGTGAAATTATTGAAGGATTTTTTTCTTTTTTAGTAAAATGCACAAATTAATTAACTATTTAAGATGATTCATAGAAATTATTACAATTTTAGTTATTTAATAAATTATTTGAATTTTAATATGTAAATTGGTCTGTGAATTTATTGTATAAGTACAAAAATCAAAAAAAATTAGTTCCAGTAATATACTCATTTCTTCATAATTTAAGTTTAGGTGATTGTGGAAAAAAATTAATATCTTAAGGTGTATTAACAGCAATATTTGAACATTTATCAGATAAAATTGTATCTTAAAATTAACTTTATTCTATATTAACTAATCTAATAGTTGATGATTTTGATAGTGTCATGAAAAGTGGTATATTAAAAAAAGTCCATTCACAATTTGAATAAGGATTTTATTCTGCTGATTACATAAATGAGTTAATGTATTGCATCACAAATGCTTTTTACACAGCAAGTGAAAGTTAAATACTTGAATTAATAAAACTAAGATTGGGAGATTGTTTAATTTTATATATAAGTTAATAGCCAATGGAACTTTTAGATTTAGAATTATGTAGTGCTATATTTTAAGCAATACATTCAGTTTTTGTTAAATAACCATAAAAGTCTGTGTATAGTTTAAAGAAGAAAATAAGAAATGATTCTATATTTCTTGCAAGAAGCAGTTAAATTTATGATATAAGTCATAAGGATGATAAAGAATATGAAGATATGCTAAAATATTTGAACAAAAATGATTGATGTTTTATTTATATTGGATTACTTTTAGATTTAATAATTATTAAATATAATTTTATATTAAGTAGTATTGATTATTTGTTTTTCTAATCAGAGATGTATATATTAATAGAAATAAATACAATTTGAAAATTTAGATCAAAAAATTTTATAAGTGATCTTCATCCTTTTTTAGTTTTCTTTTTAGCTACAATAACATCTGTTGATTATTTAGAAAAAAAATGTTATTATGAATTTGCTTGTCCTTTATCTATCTAACTACCTGATTTTGTAGATTTTCTTTTAACTTAATCTGTTTTAGGAGTATTTTAAACATTAACTCTACTAGATTTATTATTATTTGTATTAGTTATGTTAGCATTTGAACTATTTGGTATACTAACTTAAACATTTGATTAATTATTAGATAATAGTTCTTTTGTCTAATTTGTTCCATTATTATAGAATAATTTACTCTTCATACCATCATGTACTTATTTCATATCTTCTCCTAATGCATCAGCTAATTATTTAGATAATTCACTTATATTTGCTTACTTCTCTTATACAGGTTTTTGTTCTTATTATAATTTAGGTATTGTTTTTTTCATTTCTAGATTTTCTAATTTGTCATTACTCTATTCTTTATTATTTTAATCTATTTTTTCACTTAAATCATCAAGGATAGGATCCTAGAAATTTTTAAGAGTAATTTCATTATCATTATTTTCCATCATTTCCAACCATTTATTTTCTGATGATGCCTCATCAGTTTATTTACAATTCTATTTTTTTTCATTTGGTTATTTTTAATTACATTGATCTTAACCTAATAATTAGATTCTGATTTTTTTCATATCTGTGTCTATTTATTCAAACCTTTTGTCTAAATCAGTCTTAAAAACAAATAAATCATCTATCTGTGTTCAATTTAATCATTACTTCTTAATCAGCAACTACATAAACAGGTTTTCTTTTGCTCTTATTTTCTTTCAATTCATTAATTTATTATATTAGAATTGCATTTATATCTTGAATTTCATCTATTTTCACTTACTTTATTATATAAATTATTATATACATATTCTTCTATTTATTTCTCTATTTCTTTGGAAGCACCGCATCCCATTTTTATTTTATAAAAATAATTTCAATTGAAATTAATAAATCAATGTAAATATAATGTAATATAATATCAATTAAGACAACGAAATCATTTATATTTTAAAATTGTAAATTTACCTAAAAAATATGAACAATAGAATTAATGTATTCTTCATATTGATAATTCTTTGACTAATCTGAATTACTTAAGATTATTTAATCCAAATCACTAATTTAATTTATAATTCAGTGAATTTAAAATCCAATAAAAAATTGTTATAATTTGTTATATAAAATATCTAAAATGATAAATCTTATTAACAATAATAGCAAATTATAATTGTTAATCTATTTTGTTAACAAATTGACTAGTTATTAGATATTTATGAATCATTTTGTTATTCCTTTATTTCAGTAATTATGAGTATTCCATAATGAAAGTCAATAGATAAATTATAATCCAGAATTTGTAAGGGTTAATAAAAATCTAAAAATCAAGGCTAAACATAATAACTTATCTCTTTTACAATAAGATAATTTAGCAAATTAAATTAATTTATTTAATGAAAACAGTTCAAAATCCAACTCAATATTTCTTTGAGCAATCAAATAATCCATCTACAGAATATTTACCAAAAATAAATGAATTTGCTAGTAAGTTGTTAAATCAAAAATAATGTGTTTTATGCAAAAATGATTATAATATGAAGGATAGATTGCCAAGAATATTGATACATTGTGGACATACAATTTGTACTGCTTGTCTCACAAATTTTTATAGGTAATAAATGTTTATATTCTAAATAATAGAAATAGAAGGGTTAGATGTCCATTATGCTTAAAATTAATAAAGCATCTTGATTCTGTTGATAGATTACCTGTATGATATTGTATCTAATAGTTAGATCAATCATACAATATTCACAAGAATGTCTGATGATATTAATAATAAGAGTAAATTACATGGAGGTACAGAAGTTATAGATCCATAACAATACTTATTCACTTAGTTTCAATAATCAGCTTTGTAATCATAAAAGGCAAGATAATAATAATAAAATACTTATCCATAAGTTGATCCAGACTCAGGCTTAGAGTTTTGTGAATTTCACACAGACAGAGTTAAACATTTTTTTTGTATGAAACACAAAGTTACATGTTGTAGAATTTGTTCTGAAATGATTCATTAAAAGAAAGTAATCATGTAATATAAGTAGGATTGTATAGTAGTAGATTTATATGAGATTGATGATGTACCTTAATTTTTGAAAGAAGCTTATTAACTCAATGAAGAAAATAATAATAATCAGTAATTGAATTAGAGAAGAGAAGATATGGGTTTTATATAGGATTGCGAATAAAGTAAGAGTGTTTAATAAAATAGATGATGGAGAGAATTAATTTAATGATGATGATCTGGAAGATGAATTTGAGGATAATAGTATTTAAAGTATCTGAGAGATTCATTAAAGATATACACAATATATATAATATAATTGGTCTAAAATATTTTGGTTATTGATAGATGTTTTTAGGTGGTTTGAATTATTTCTTAATTATTACTAATTCAATAAATTGTTGCATTTTATAAAATATAAATAATATTGAATGGCTCATAAGTTATCTTAAAATTGGGTTTTTTGGTATGCTCCAAGAGGTAGAAAGGCTATAGCAGGATCAGATCATTATGATGTAAATTTAAAAGAGATTGGTGAATTTAATACAGTGGAGGAATTTTACAGTTATTATTGTTATTTACAAAGACCAAGTGAAGTAAATATAAATTGAATTTTATAGGTTGAAATCGATAATAAAATCATGATGTTTAGAAAGGAACATAAACCTATGTGGGAGGAGTGTTTGGATGGGGGAACTTGGATTATTCACTTTAAGAAGAGAGAAAATGAATTGCTGAATAAAAAATGGGAAGCTCTTCTTTTAGGTTATTTGTTTTGGATTATTAATAGCATGTATTGGAGAAGAATTTGATGATGATAATGTTATAGGAGTAGTACTATCAATTAGGGAGAGAAGAAATTTATTAGAGATTTGGTTAAAAGATAGGAGAGAGAGTGAAAAAATTAGAATAGGTGAGAAGTTGAGATTTGCACTTGAAATGGATCCTAATAATCTTACTTTCTTTTTTAAAGAACATAGTAAGAGTTTAAATGTATCTATTATATTTATGAATTTAGGATAAATCAACTATGAAAGGAGCTGAATCATATACATTTGTCAAAACTCCACTTGAAACACCTCAAACAGAACCTAAAGGACATCATCCAGAATTAGATTAATTCAAGCTTTGATTAATTATATACAAAATATAATGGACTTATATATTTTAATGATATATCAATTTAATAATCCGATATAATGAGTATTCAAGGGTGCAAATTGTACGGAATATTAAATATGATATAAATGCACCTATTGTATTAAGAATAAAATCAAAATTTAGAATATCTAATTGTATATCATGCAGATTCAATCTGAGTACACATTTAACTTTGATTGGGAAACTGTGGTTAAAGGCTTCTGGAGAAAGTATCCATGCAAAGAATTCGATTTTATCAAATTCAATCAAGTTGTAGATATGATGCTTAATGACAATAATACTATGTCTATTAAGAGAATCGTATGATCTCATTCTATCTAAACTTAGGTTTATGCTCGTAAATTCATGGTTTGGTGTTTGACTCTAGAAGAGATAACATTTGATATTGAGAATAGAAGTATGTAGATGTAAACTAAATTACTGAAAGCCTGTAAGTATTATCCAAACCTTTCAGGAGATGAATCCATCATATATAAAGCAATAGATGATTAAAAAACTCATTACTCTGTATATAAGCATCATTTAAATAGAAACTATTGTCCAATTTTCATCAAACTTTTGTGACCAAATTGCTATCTCAATTCAACAGTTCATTTAAAAAAGGCATTGAAGTTGTCGAAGCTAGATGTAGAGAACTTTAAAACAAATAATGACAATAAATAAATTTTTAACTATTAATCCATTATTTATTATAATATTATATTATGTAAAAGAAAAAACTCTAATTCCCATAAATTAAAGACTTTGAGATAATGGATAGAATTCAATCTAAGAAACAAATTAGAACTATTCCTTATTCTCATAGCTAATCCATCTAAGAAGAGGAAGAACATTCCTCTTTATCTTAGATAAATATATATGGACACTCTAAACCTTCTTTTTTAATGACATTTCCTCAATAACCAAGAGATTGTTAAGGTAGTGAAGAAATTAAAGCTCCTACTATTATAACTAATCTGATATCCAATAAAAGTCAAGAATAACTTCCAAATAAAAAGGATTGTAGAAAATAGCAGCATTTTAATTATTTAGATGAAAGCTCATAGTTTTCATCTAAGATAAATTCAGTATATATAAATATTAATCATTTTGTAGATACGTTCAGTTTTTGAAGATTAAAAATCTATGTAAATCAATTAGGATAGAGTTAAATTACTGGTTAATCATATGAAAGTTAAATTTTTGAATTTAATTCATTATTCAAAATATAATGATCCTATTCTAACACAAGAATATTAGGAACGTAATACTGAATTTTTATCAAATTTTAGTTTCGCCCCTTAAGTATCATTATTTCACAATGTATATATTTTTATCCACTACCATATCAAATGTGCTTTCATGTATTTTTATACCACTTGTTTAATTTTTTGAAGTCTCTTAACTTATTTTAATTATTTCTTAAATGATATATGGATTAACTATTTTAACCATTTTTTAAGATTTACTTTTTCAAAGAGGTCCTTATAAAATGTAAAGGGGAGTTATAAAAGTCGATTATAAAGATAGCAAAAAAATATTCCTAGATATTTTAAGACTTTTCTTTTTATCTTTGAGCACTCTCATTGAAATAGATCATAAAGCAAAATTAGTGACAGTCTTATTCATGATGTTACTATAATTCATAAGATAAGTGGAAATTTTTGAAAACATCTATAAATCAACTCATCATTTAATTTTTATTCTTTAACTGTGGATATCAATCATAATATCCTTTGCTTGCATTTATTAAGGTATATATATGAAATAATAAGAGTTTCTCATTAAGAAGAAGATCCAAACCTCTACTTTTGTATTACTCTTGCTATTTCTCTACTAACTCATTGTTCTAATATTGGTAATACCATATATATATATTTTTACTTTAGAGATTTAAGTCACAAATCAAAATGCATTACTAATATCATGTTACATGATTATATCCTATTTTTGTTTAGCTTATACAACAATGATAGTATATATTTGGATGAAACCAGAAATAGAGATTGAAGAGGAGAAATAAAAGTTACTCAAAGGATTTGTTGAAAGATTTAGAGAGAAATGTGAAAATGATGGTCTTTTAAGAAGATGTTACTCTTATTTGGAATTTAGAATAGATGTAAATAAAATTGTAAATATTTTAGGAAGATCTTAATAAAACTAAAGATCAATTAACTAAGAAACTAAGTCCTGAATTAGAGGATGAGATAGATTTATCTTTAAGATCAACAATGATAGATAAAATTGAATTATTGAATAGATTTTCACCTTAATTCAAATAATAATTGGTTTATGAAATTGAATAAGTTACATTTAATCCAGAAGACAACATTATAATTGTACAATATGTATAAATATTATTAGGAACATTAAATAGAAGATCTAGGATTATTTTACATATTAAAAGGATAAGTAAAGGTTTAGTTTTTAGGTTCTTCTTTTGGTAATAATAAGAGAACAGTTACAACTTTATATGAAGGGTCAACTTTTGGATAATATTCATTTATAACAGGAATTCCTTCAAATATTAGTATTTTCAGTTCTGGGGTAACCACATTGATGAAAATAAAGAGATCTGATTTCATTTAGATAATATCTAATTATCCATAAGATAATGAAATATTTTGTACACTTAAAGATAATGCCTTCTATAATTAAAAGTTATTTGAATGTTATTATTGTAAAATAAGAGGACATTACATTGTAGAATGTAGACATTTATAATATTTCCCTTAAAGAATAAATGCAATAGAAAAACATCTATATACAGAAAAATAATAGAGAAGGTAATTCTCAAGAAGGTTAAGAAAATATTTTGCTTGGCAAGATATGAATTTAAATCAGGATAAAGCTAGACAATATGCTAATAAATAAAGTTAAGAATAAGTTTCAGATGATTTACCAGAAACATCTTAGTTACCTTATTCTGAAAGTAAATAATAATTTTAAATTAGATTAAACATATTAATCAGTAAGTTTTGTTAGTAATTCTTTAGCATAAAAAAATTACAGTCCTGATTAATGTCGATCAGGAAGCAATGTTGAAAGTCTTGATTAATTTAATATTGAATAAGAATGCTAAGATGAATAAACTATCCATATTCAAGAACCATAAATTAAAAGTATTAGAAAGAATTCTAATAAAACAACCTTGAAAACAGCAGGATTTCCTATTAATGTTGAACCAAACAACCTCACTAGTGTAGGGAATAATATATCTGTTATAGAAAAAGATGATAGAGATATTTTAAATTAATTGTAAGAGGCATAATTGAGCAAAGATAAAACCATACTTTTCCCTGCAGGTAGAAGCAATAATTAAATCAAAACAAAATTTTAATATCTTAAAGAATCATCTTAAGGAAACTTATTAAAAGAGGATTAAATTAAAACTGATTCTTATCAATAATAATAACAATAATAATAATAATAGCAATAATAATAATAATAATAATAATAATAACTATCTCATAATACATTAAAATAATCAATTAGATAACCTTCAAATAGATCTTATACATATTCTAATTCTTTATCAAAAGATATCTCTAATAATCCTTCATCCCATTCCAAATAAAATAAATCATAAAAATTATCCATTTTATCTAGTTAAAATAGACTCTTTGAATAGAATGTACTTAAGAAATAAAATAGTTCTAAATCTCTAAGTGATTAAAACAAATAAAATAGAAGTAGAAGTTTTAAATCAGCCACTAGACAGAGCACTCCTAATTAAATGTCCTAGTTCCAAGCTATAACTACCCCAGAAGTAATATAAATTCTTAGAATAGAATCAAGGATATTTCATAAATGATTTGTTATTCAATAAATTCGAAGCAATGCAGGAGTATAAAATCTATTATCCTCATAATAATTACAATTAAGTTATAAATCGCTACATTAGATTCTTAGATTCTAACAGAAAAAACTATTTCAAAAGAAAAAAGTTAAATAATAGTACTCCTTATTCGATTAAATGCTTTGTTGCGTCTAAAATTAAAAGAGTAAAAAAGCTATTATAAAACTGACTAATTATTTAATATCAATAATTATTAATTCAATTCGAGGAGGTTAGTTCTGACAAATGTTTTAGACTCTGGTGATTTTTTTTATATAGTTCTCTAAGATATTAACAATATCCAGTGCAGCTACTACTTTCATTGCAAAAGGTTTGAGTTTGAGTCTAAAATGATTATGTAAATGGTTTATGATAACATTCATTTTTTATTTAACTTCTAGAGAACTTAAATCGATCATCCCTATTAGTAAAACTATTAAATTGATTCTCTCCATAATACTTATAAATTACTTTATCCTTAGTTGGAATATTTTTTATGAAGAATGTTTTAAGATATTTTGCTTTGAGATCTTCTACCTATCTCTTTTTTTTTGCATCTATTGCAGTCCTAAAATTAAATTAAGTTTAAAAGCTATCCAAAAGTTCTCTAACAGCAGCATCCTAAGCAGGAGATTGTTGAGGTAAATTATTATTAATGATATGATCCTTTACAGCTTATTTCGATTTAGCTAAAATATTTATTTAGATGTATTTATTTTTTCTAGTTGAATTCATTAATGTAAGTGGATCTTTGGGTATCTTTTCAAAGAAGGTGGGTGGTTACCTTTTTAATTTGTCAAATTTTTATTTTTTCTCATCTGATTTATTTTCTTATAATTGTAATCCCTCTGCAGTTGACAAATCTGTTCTTATAGGGTTATCATTACTCTATGTTTGTATTCTTTAATTTAACAATCTAATATTCACATCTAATATACTTCAACTTCATCTTATCCTATAATATATCATTATTATTTTGTTATTATATCATAAACTCTCTTTAAGAGCTTTGTCTTTGTAAGCCTAATGAGATATTTCCAAATTCCACTTTTTTCATAATTGCTGGACATCTTTAAGTCAACATGATGATAATAATTAAAACTTAAAAGATTATAAATATTAAGTTAATTTAGTGATATCATTGATGGCAAATATATGAAAAAAACTCTATAATCTTTCAATAATTGATTATATAATATAAGATCACAATTGATTAATTTTTTCATTACTTAATTTTCATTTTTAATTCATGCAATTATTATTTAAGATCATAATTCTCCTTTAAAGCATCCTTAAATGTCTAAAATAATATAATTTTATAATAATTACTTAAGGTGGCATTAATGTATAATTATCACCTAACAACTCTTTTCTTTTATTTTATATTTGCTAATATAACTATGTTCTCTCATTTAATGGAATAATATATTATTATAAATCTTCTAAATGAGGAATCTATTATTTTTTGATATTATATTGATTTAGTTCATTATTTGTTTTCCTTTCCACTTCAATTTTTTTTTCAATATCTTGAGATTCTTCATCCAAAAGCACTTCCAAATTTTTTGTTAATTCTTTAATTTATTATAAATTTTCTCTTTTAACTTACACTTATTCTCTTAATTATGAAGATTAGAACTTCATTAATTCTAATCTTAGATTATATTAATAATATTTACTATTGTTTTACTAATGCAATATCTTAAAATGATTGTATTCCTTAATGCTTAATCTCACAGAGATCATCTAATTCTTTAGTTCTGATATCATCATAACCCCATTTTTCAAAATAACTCATTCTAGTTTTTTTTTAAATTTTGGAATATTAATTTAACAATTAAATAAATATCTCTATAAATAATAATTTTTTTGAATGATTATTAATATATAAATGAATATATATATATCTAATAAATTTTCATATTCTTAAGGAGATTAATTATAAATTATGTTATTAGTAAGATATTGCATTTTTAATAGTAATAACAATAAATCAATTTCTAATAAAATTATTTATAATTATGGAAAAACTTAGTATAGCTTAATTATTTCTTAATGAACTTTAAATATTTCTAGCCTTGTTGTTAGGTGAGAATTACTTTTAACATAGGTTTAAAATAGTCTTAGGGAATTGAGTCTATAATACCAATAATTTTGAATTTTATTTCTGGAATAACATTTTTTGTAGTTAAATACAAAGATTACAATATGGTAAAAGTTGTATGGAAATTGAAATTATTAATAATATTGATATAAGTATCTATGAATGTGGAAATGAGTCAATATTGTTTAATTATAGTTCATTTGATAGATGATTAATTGTTGAAAGGTTTTTGTTTAGGAACTGCATTATTGATAAACATAATATAAGATCAAGAAACAAATTACATAACAACATTACCAAATAGTATTTTATTATTTTTGAATATCATAATCTGGTTCTGGTTGATTTTAATGAATTGCATATATACAAAAGTTGGGAATGCTTATATTGATTAGTGTGTTCAATAAAAATCACTTTAATGTATTGATAATATGAATATTTAGTGAAAGAATCTATTAATAATAGAGATATTGGTAGTAGAGTAAATTAACAATAATCTATGATGTAAGAATTGAATCCACTGAAAATGGAATGTAATGAAGATGAATAGATTTTAAAACATGTAGCATGGATATAAAATTAATCAGTGTTGGTTTACAACAATAAGCTTAATATTGTTTATTAGAATATATTTTTAGGAAAATTATTAAAATAATCAACTTTAGATGAATAATAAACATAATAATAATCAAAGCCTGATTATGAAGAACAATTTTTATGTAGTTAGATTTTAATTGGTAGTAAAGAATTAATTGATATCAATAATAATAATGAATAATCAATAAATAGCGAGTATTTTTATTAATTTATAATTTTTAAGTGGTTCCTTCCTGTTGAATAAGATGAATGATTCTCATAAGTGCCAATTGAAGTCATAACTCACAATACGAGACTTGATTTTGATGATGCAAATATAGTTCGATAAGTAGTTTACTTGGAATTAAAGAGATGGTGCACGTGTATGGTTACTCTGTTTGCATTGAAGAGCGATGTGCTAGATTTTGAGAATGTCCAAGTCAAAACTTTTGTGAATAAGATAAATGAGTCCTTCTATGTCTTTTTTCTTTTTGAATAGAAACCAAGACAAAAGAAAACTTTAGATAGTAGCCTTCCAATAATTAATGTATTCACTACTTTTGTTCATGAATCAGTAAGTTATATTAATTGTATTTTAACACTTATTTTATTAACCTAAAGTGACACTGAGAACAATCAGAAAATATCTCTTAAATAGAATTATTATACACCAATAAAACTAATAAGTTAAAGATTCTTTTTATTTGTAAATAATATGAGAGATTATATATTTTATATCTAAAATTAATTGTTTTTGAAAATATCAGCATTTAGAGTGAGTGATCTAGTTGAAGAGATAATAAATATTTTTGAAGATAATTTAAAGATTAGAGAAGTTAATTTAATAACTTCAATAGATTTAAGTGATAATAATTAAGTTTTATTCACTGATATTGATAGAGTAAAATTAAAATATTTAATTAGTTAAAATAAATTTTAGCTTGTTTATTAACTTATTGTTTAAAGTATACTTCAGGATCAACATTGAAATTAGATATTAAAAGTTATACTGTTAGTGGAATTATGATTTCATTTAAAGATAGTATGATTGCAAAAGATGAAAATCTTAGAAAATCTATATCCATTTTAATTAAGTCTTTGAATTCATCCCTTAAATCTTCATCATTTTATTAAGTGGATCTTAATAATTTATTAGAATTATAAATTTGTGTTATATTATGTTGGTAATTAAGTGGTTCTTTTAAAAGAGGAATCGAATTTCTATATGATAGTTAAGGATATGGAACATTTACATTTGTTGTAGAATCATAAACTAGTCAATAAAGAATGCAAAGTCGTTAAGATACAGGTCCAATAAAGATTATAGGATAAAGAAAATATTATGAAACATCATTATCTTTATTGTTAGCTTAAGATAGTAGTGGCTATAGAGAAGAATCAAAGTATATATTATTAATAATTAGATATTATACCTTAAGTCAATTATCAAAATAATTCTCTATGAAACCTGGGGATGCATTTGATGTTCAGAGTGCTTATTTCTCTTAAATCTCAAGAATTAAATAAGATTCATCAAATTCTAAATAAGTTTAAAATTCTGGATCTATTCCAAAATAATCAAAAGAATAGAGTAATAGTCATTCTGGTACTTGGAAATAAGCCTTTCCAGATTCAGTTTAATAAACATATAAAAAGAATAGGAATGAAAGAAGTGAATCATAATAGGATTCTGTTAAAACTCATTCTGTATATGATTTAGGATTAGAAATGAGTACTCCATCTATACATCCTCCTGAATTCACTCCTAAATTACTTCCATCTGTTATTAAGTACAGATTAAGATTGACATGTTGTTCTAAAGTTTTGATTGTTGATAATGATCATTATAGTGTATTATCATTATAGAAGGTGTTAGAAAAATATAATATAAAATGTGATAAAGCATTCAATGGTGTAGAGGCTCAATAAATGATTTCAAATAAATAAATTAAACCTTGTCATTGTGGAAATAGATCATATTTATTATTTTTTATTGAATTTTATTTGCCTGTATGTATTAATATAAATTATAGCTTTTTTCAGGAATTGAATTGGTGAAATTTTTAAAGGATTAGATGAAAATTGGATTAATTGATAAAGGATTTGCAATAATTATTTCAACTTTTATTGATTTGAACTCGAAATTGGAATGTTTTAAGAATGGTGCAGATTACTTTATTGCAAAACCTTTTGATTTGATAGATATTGGAGCTGCAGTTTAATATTTAGATTTTTGATAGTTAATAAATTTCATATATCTTTAGATAAACAATTTGATCTTTGTCTGATATCTATTGTTTTATCAAGTAAAAGTTCTAACTGTATATTGTTCTAATGTTTCTTTTTTTTCGAATTTTTCATTAAGTCAATCTCAGAGGCTTTAAATATTTATTCATTAGGAGATATAGTAACAAAATTTGTATTGAACCAAATTTATAACAGTTTGGATTCTGATACAATTGATTTTTGAAATATCTATAATAAAACATCTCCTTAAAGATATATGCCTTCAAAAGTGAAAAGAACTTCCTTCTCTGATATAATCTATGCTTTTTCTATTAATTATTTGCTATTATTCTATAATCTAATCAATGTTCCATGAATTGAACCAACCAAACGAACTGAAAGTAATTCTACTTACTGAAATGGTCTATTTATTAAATCATTTTTTAAAGCAAAACTAAAATAATGAACATATCTAATCTAACTTGGAATTGTTACTCCTTTTTAATTCAAAGTACGAATAAGTCCATAATAAGTTATTGCATCTTGGCTTGAAATGTACTTACCACTATATAGTAAATAACAACAAATCATCATTCCTGTTCTTCCCTTACCAGCCTTACAATGTACTGCAATAACATTTTTGGGATTAGATAATAACCAATTATGCACAATAGTACAGAAATCTACTATTAAATTAAAAGGTGGTGCTTAATGATCTTCAAAAGGAAATTCTGCAACTCTATAAAAATATTCATGCTTATATTTTCTTTCTGAACATCTAAGTAGCAATCTAAATTTACAAATTAATGACCATATAATTATTATGATGACGTGTATTTAAGAATTTTTACACTTCTGACATAGGATTCCTATAAATAGCTTCAAAATTCTCTGCAGGAAAACCCATAGCAATTAAATTATCTTCAATATCTGGATTAGTTATTATTTATTTACAAGTTAAATCCAAATTAAAACCATCCACTTTAAATCTTTTCTTTGATTTAGATACTATTTCTTTTAAATAATCTCTTTAAAATGGACCCTTAACATTTTTCATTATCTTTTAAGTGATTTCATCTGCATGATGTTGTAAAACAGCAGTGTCATTAATTCTTTAATCTATATGTCTATTGAAAGATATCTCTATGGGAATTTAGGTAATAGGAACCTCCACTTCACATTACTCAAAAACTTGTTATTTAATTTCTTGAACTTTCTAATTGATTAATGGACTTTCTAAAGAGCTTTCTGAATAACCTTCTTCATCACTTGACATCCGATTAAGTGACGTTGTGTCTTCTATATTTTACATTGATAACATTAATAAAATTTATTATTTTTTACTATAAATATTAGATAACTATAAAAACTATAAAATAAATTTTTATTATTCTTATTCTGACTATATTCTAATTTAGGATTTCTAATTTAAACAGATAAATTTAATATTTATTATCAGATTGATTTTATATATAAATTATATTTGTTTAGATATCTATCTATTAAATTATCTATATACAAAAGATTTTTAGATTTTGAATTTCAATAATTAAAATTAAATTACTTTTAGAAAAGTTCGACTCAAAAGTTATTCTTAATTTTAATAATTATTGATTTTTTATTTTAATAAATATTTTAACTATCTGTTAATGGAGATACAACAATGCTTATCTTTCAGCTCTTATCTCTTTTTACCAAATTTAGATATGAGTATACAAACCATATTAACACCATAAACTTAAAATATTACATAATAATAAGAGTAATATAGGTAAAAAGAGAAAGAAAATAAAACAATAAATATTAAGGTCAAACTTTCAGATTTATTACCAAATGATTAAAACATTACATTAAAAGAAATTTAAAATGATATTCAATAGATTAAAAATAGATATATGAAATAAATTGTAAATTGACTATTCAAGAAAAGTTTATGATGTTATTACTTATAAATATAATTCTTATTATAAAATTTAATTAAATAATACATCAGTTTTAAACATTTTAATTATCTTTATTTAAAAGGATTCTTATATTTTCTATTATCTATTTTTGACACCCAATTTATTAAAGAGCATTTATATATTCATCATCTTAATACTTAATCTAAGAATTTTTATTATCTAAAATACAAGAACAATTTACAATTTTCTTTAAACATATACAATTTATGAGTAGGCTACTTTTTCATATTCATTGCTTAATCAATCCATATTTAAGAATTTTAAATTACTTCATGATTCATTAAACCCTCTATTAAATTTAATTTATTAAATACCAAAAACATTTAATTTAATCTCTTTATTTTCAGTTGGTAAGTATACTCTTTTAAATATTTTTTTAGCAAATAAACAAGCCTCTAAAATAACTGTTGCATAATCTTAATATTTGTTACAATGATCAAGTAAAGTGATTAATAATTTTTAAATTGAAAGATATACTTCATGTGAGACTTAGTATTATGATATAGTTTTCTATTATTTTTCAAATATCATCTTCTAAAGTACTTATTCCAAACATTAAGTATAATTATATGGCAAAGCTATTTCCAATAATTCACTCAATTTCTTAATTATTTCATCTGTAACACTATTATTTAACAGAACATTTTGAAATATCTTTTAATAATTTAAACTCTCTTCTGAAATAAATTCATTATTATCTGAATCTTTAGATTTAACTTGATCAAAAATTGGTTTTTTCACTTTATTCAATATTTGACTATCTGGTTTAAAATTAAGTTATTAATAAACATCTCTCTTAATGACTTCAAAGTCAATTTTGTCTATAATTATATTTTTCTATTATTATTATTTCAAATCAGTTGGTTGATATTATTCTAATTTTTAACTAATACCTGTTAAATCATATTATAAATTCCTTATTACTGAAATCTCAAATATTATAAACTTCATATGTGAATCCTATAATAGGTTTTTTCTTTCTAACTCTAAATTTTATAGATTTTATTAAAAATTAATAACATCTTTACAACAGGCATCAATGTATTAATTATAAATAGTAATAAAATTTTGAAAACTTAATTCACTAACAGCAATGCTCAATTTTTTCTTCTGTAATCTATTTAATTAATATTATTTCTCTTCCTCTATTGCATTTTTATACTCTATTGTAAATTAATTTAGAGTTTGGAAATTTTATTAATATTCCTTCTTGTTTGTTAGATTAAATTAAAGTAACTCTTTTAAATAATTATCTTGCTTAATCAAATATTCTTTTTATTCACATATTAAAGTATTATTCAATTACATGGCAAAACATTTAGTTTATTCTGATTTAATAAGTAAATAACTTCTTAGAATTGTGAATAATTCTGTAGTTCTATCTTTATCATTTATTAATTTTGAAATCTATAGGCCTATAATATTCAAAGTTAACTACCAATAGTTTCAAGACTTTTAGAATAGGATTCTTCTAATTGAAATATAGATTACAATAAACTAATAAAATCTTTGGTTGATTTGATTTTTTCATTAACAATTTTCTAATAAGATTCTAAATTATCAGCTATCTCTGTATACCAACTCATAAATAATAATTTTCAGAATATAAATAACTGAATATATTAATTCATTAATAATTGAATTATTATAAATTAATATAAAAAATTAATCAATTTTAATTATAAAAAAGTAGAAATTTAAAATTAATAAAGTCTTTTTTCATATTATTTTTTTGTAGAATAATTCTTGCTCTAAAAAAATTAAAGAGGAGTTTAAATATAAATCTCTTGTTCAATTTTTAGATTAAAACTATTAATTTATAAGGAAATTATTTATTTTTAAATATTATTTTATCGAATAATTTTTAATCATTAATACTTCAATTATTAATATTTCTTAAATAATAATCTATATGTGTTTATGGTAAGATACTCATTTTTAGTAATTTTGGGAACTTTTTAATCAGCTCAGTCTCATAATTAAAAATTTTCTTAAATTCATTAAAAATTTATGTAAACTTATTATTTTGTTATAATCTTCATTTAAGGCTATTCAATTTCTATATTTTTTAGTGAGAAATTATACTTTATTATAAATATAAAAAGTAATATAAAATTTAAATCATTTAATTAATAGAATATATTTTCTATTTCCTTATTTAGCAAAAATAGAATATTTTTTTAAAAATAAGAATTAATCTTTTTATGATATAACTTGCTGCTGTATTAGGCTTATTAGGTTTTGAACCTGCTGGACAATCTAGATTGAATAGTCTTTTACCTGGAGTAACTTGTGATGGAGCTACTGCATTTAGAGATGCAGTTATCAAAGGAAATTAGTTAATGTTATAACTTTTTGCTTTGTTTTGTAAAGAAGGAATAAATTAAAAATTTTAATTCGTTCATGTAGTTCTCACAGATGGAGAAGATAACAAATCTTAAATTAGTTTATAAGAATTTCTTAGATATTAATAATACCTTGAATAAGAACTTCCATAAAATATACTTTAAACATTTTATATAGGTGTAAATGTAGAGAACAATACTACAGTTTAAAAAGAAATGTAAGCAATTTTAAGATGTAGTGGCAAATCTGCTTCATATTATCCAATAAGCAGTAATGAAATTAATGAAATCTTTTAAAAAATTTAAATGTAGATTGGTATTAGAATCTAAGAATAAGGACTTATAATTGCAAACAATTAAGCTAGAATTGCTTTAAGATAATAAACTTATGAACCAGTTGTGTCAATGTAAATTAATAACTATATTGTACTTTTCACTCTTGATGTATCTGGATCTATGAAAAATAATTGGTATAAGGTTTGTTATGCTGTCAAAAATTTTCTTGGTATTCTAGGATAAAATGATCTAGTCTTAGGGATTATTTTCAATGATGAAGTAAAAGTTTTAACAGCTAATCAATAACCAACAACTAAAAAGGTTAAATAGCCTTCTCAACCTCCAAGAAAACCTTCTTACTAATCAAGGTAAGTTGATTAAACATCAGAAAGTTGTTGTTGCTAAATTTTTTGAAATTCATTATAACTATATTTAATTAGATATTATTTTTAAATCATTTAATAAGGTGTTTAAGTTTAAAATAAATATTTTTATTAAAAAATTAAACATTATATTAAGACTTTATTAATACTGAAATTATAAATTTTATTCAAAATTTTATATCTCTTTCAAGTTTTTAAGAAATATCTATTTAGATTATTTCTATTTGATAAATTATAAAAATTTCATATATTTCAATTAAAAAATTCCTATCTTCAATTAATTACATCCCTTGTGATTCAAACCTACAATGCTTTATTTGGAGCATGACTAATGATATTAAGTGAAAGAAATAGTTTAAATTTATATAAATTTAATAGCTAAATATTATGTATTTTAATTATTTAATGATAAATCAATTAACTAACAATAGGTTATTATCCTATTCTTTTTTTCCCTTTTGACGGCAATACATATATAATCCTGCTCCTATCAAAAGCCCACCAAGAATTATTACTATAATTAGCCAAATAGGAAAGCTTTCTTAATCTTCAGGAGGATTAGGAGGAGTGGGAGGAGGAGGAGGAGGAGGAGGAGGAGGAGGAATATCCCCTTCTATTGTCACCCTCTCTTACATATAAGTGGATCGAGCTACCATAGGACCTACATTAAATAAGTAGAAAGTAATATTATCCTCATAATAAGTGCTATTTATACATAGTTAATGTGATCTTAATAGTGAATAATGTAATAAAATTCCTGATTGGTTATATTCTGGAGTTAATAGTTGTAATTTACCATTAAAAGAATAAACAAAAGAGAAAGCTTAAATCTCCTCTATAGAAGAGAGCCAAACGCTATTGATAGCATTATTAGGTTTTGAATTATTGCTTTTTATTTGCATATCATATATAAACAATCGATAAAAATCTTTGTTATAATATGTCAATAAGAGAATATTTTGATAAGAATAAAAGTTACACAATTGGAAACCTTAATATTATTAATATAAGCCACTAAATTCAAACTTAGCTAATAAGCATAATTCATATAATGAACACTCCATTTCATAATTAAAAGAGTAAGATGCACTATTTTTAAAGATTATAGTAATCTCATTTTTTCTTAAAACAAATCCAGCTGATAATTGAATTTCTTGTAAATTTATTTTTTATTCAGAAATCAATTTTGAAATCTAAAAGTCTACATTGGAATACTTTGTTGATGTTCCATTTATTTTTATCATTTAGAATTCAGGGTTACCCCAATTATCAACTGAAATAAATTGATAGACATTCTCTTTTAAATGTGTAAATTCCATTTACTTAATTTATTCATACTATGGCAAAATTTAGATTAGTTAAAATTAATTTAAATTGATACTATTTCCATTTGTATCATAAATTTAGACCTAATTTCCAACATATATAAAAAAATTGTTTTAGTGAAGAAATACCTTTTTGATATTTGATTAAAATTGCAATTAGTATTGTAATAATATACAATTGTATAAATACGAATCTTTGCTATATTAAATAATCATTAAATAAATATTGTCTCTTTATTTAACTTAAACATATATACTTTCTCCATCTATTAGTAAAATAGATGTAATTTAATAATATTTATCGAAATTATATTCTTATAATACAAAATCCTCTTTATTAATAATTCTAACTTTATTCGATATTAATTAAATTAATAAATTCTGATTAAGCTCTTAAGTTTATTGACTGTATTCTAAATTGTTCTTTTCCCTTTTTAGAGATGACTTGTATTCAATATTTTGTAAATTCCTGGAAACATCAATATCAAAAGTTTAACCTGTATACCAATCATATCCAAAATCTACACAAATCATGGTTTGATTACGCTCATGATATTTTAGATTGATTTTATTACTTAACTGTATAAGTATTTCACCTCTGTTTATACTATTTACAAAAATAGATTAAGCAAGTTTATCTTATAAATCATTAGTAACTTCAAAATCTAATTGAATCTGTTCTGTATATGATATTTATGTGTAATCTTCTTAGAGTTTGGCCTTATAGCATAGATCCCCTGTAATAATATAATATTTTGGACCAACATAAAGGAAGTCTTCATATATAGAAAATCTATCATTAGGTTTTATTTTAATCTTAGTAAATAATGTATCCAAACTATTTGATGTAACCTTATAGACTAAAACAAAATAACTTGAAGATTACTTACTGTATGCTTTAATATAAAATAGATTATTCTTAAATGAATAGAGAAGATCAGATAAATTAATATCAGAATAATTAATTATTGATATTTGCTTCTCCAAATAGATATTCCTTTTATTTTCATAATTAAAGACTGTGACAATATATTCATCTTCATCGATTGATTTAAATATTCTGACAAAATGATTTTAAAAAATAGCTAAATTTGACTCTTAATATTAACTTTAAGTAGTAGTATACCAAACAAGAGTTTGAAAATTATATTCAATATCATATAAATATAAGTTTTTATCTTTTTCAAAGAAGAGGTAAAAAGGTTGATTTTCTACCATGTAGATTTTTTCTACAACTTAATCAAAAGTAATTATTAGCTTAGCTTTTTCTGAAATTGATATTTCATATATCTAGATATTTAATTCTGTTAATATGACTAAACGTTAACCAATTTAAATTAACTATTTTACATTACTTTCTAAAATAATTGTAGTCAAAGTTTTCTCTTCCGGTTAAGAAAAACATCTATAGTAAACTGTAACAGTATTATTTTAAAAAATTGCCGAAAATATATAATCTTCATTATTGGACCACCATAGAGATATATTCTAAAATTATTTTGAATTACCTTCTTCAAAAAGGAATTAGCAAGTTATTTCTAGATAACCTTCACAGGAATAATATTTGATTTAATTATCAATATCTTTTTAAATAAGATAAAAGCTTGATTCTTGATATCGTTGAATAAATTTATGAAAGCCCCCAGTTTGAGAATCAGAAATACCTTAATAATATGAAAGCCTATATTTTTAAATTTAAATTTCTATTAAACTATTAGGTTCAATTAAATATTGTATGTTTGGACCTTAAAATATAGGATTTATTTTGATTTCATTACTATCTGTATTTATGCCACCTACTATGAAACCTTCAGAATATTATGATTATAAAATCTTTTGACACTAAAAATCTTCAGTTTTATAGAATATAGTTATTTAACAATGCCCTGTGTAAGCCTCTTAAATTAAAGTGGCTTTTTAATATTCATCCTTAATAGGAGAATCTATAGATAATTGTAAAAAATAACAATTATTTATTGCATAAGCAGAAATTTTAGTATCAGTGATTATTAAAAAACCTTATGCATTCTGATTTGTCATTATAAAATATTAATCTTGATCTAAAAGTAAATTATATATACTTGTTAATTTTTCATTTAATAACTTAACATACATATTTTCAAATAAGAGTATATAATTTTTGTTTAAATATATTTTATATTAAGAATCTTGATTTTAGATTTCTGCTATTTGCTCTTACTACATGGTTTGATTTTTATATATGATTTAGTTTTTTGAAATAGCTGCATAAGTTTAGGTGTAAATATTATAGTCATACCCCTAAATATTAAATGAAAGAGGAAACAATATTTATTTAACTAATTTCCATTAATTATTTTAAAATTCAATAATGACAATTCTATTAGTATCAATCATTATGCTAAGCTATCCATTTGTATGAACTTGAAAGTCTTTAATTATAATAGGGTCTTAATAAATGAGTTGTATTAAAGTTTCTTAATCTAAAGAATTTATAAATTTTAAATTATTTTCTTCTTCGATATATATTTAAATTTCTTTTTAGGTTGCTCTGTACATATAATTGTCAATTTAATCCAGTTTTATGAACTACGAGGTTGAATTTTGGACATCTAGATATATTGTCTTATTTGAATCCATCACAAGTAGATAATTATTTTATTTTTCTTCATTACATTCTACAACAATTAGTTTATCAATAAACACTATATCTTGACAGATCGATTAGTTTTTTGTTTATAAAGCCTATAACTATTAAATATCAGGCAAGATTTAATAAATTCCATCATTTGATCCTGTATAGTAAATTCCATCTTCGACTACTAAAATTGTTAAATGATTAATTGGATCACTACTTTTTGTATTTTTTTTGAGTTTATAAGAATTGTTTTTGCATTTTTTAGATTTCCAAAAATGGTTTCTGAATATTTTTATAGAGGAGCTGCTATTGTTAAGAATTTATTGTTTTGTTCTAAGGTAAGTCTTTCATAGTTATCATAATGAAAGATAGAGGAAAGAGGAACATTAATCACTTCTTATAAGGTTCCAGTTAGGAATATTGTATTGTTATAAAGATAAGAGCATGAGTGTGCTAGGGTGATCATATATGTCCAAAGGATTAATACTGAATTCATCCTATTAATTAAATAATTAAAGTATGGAATCGAATTTTGAAGGTTTTAAATATAAATTTTGAATACATGAGGAAAAATTGTTAATATCAAGTCATCAAAAGAAGATTCTACTTAAAATTTTAATATAATTTATATTTATATAATAATATTTATACATATTATTTAATCATATATGTGATATATTTTATATTATTGAGAGTGACGTATTATTCTAAAAAACTTTAATTATAGATATAAATTAATCATAAAGCAATAATGATTCTTAGAGATTATGGTTAAGACTTATGTTTACATCTTAAATTTTAAACTCTAAGTCTTAGATCTTCAGGTCAAAATTATTTTATTCAAAAAGAAAGAAAATAGATGAAGATTAAACATACATGGAATATAGAGAATATGATTTTACATTTGATGCTAATTTTGTTTTGAATCCTAGTTAAACATGCATGACTGATTTTAAAAGAATGATGAAATATTAATAATTGTGAAGCTTAGTTGAAGAAATCAGTTAAATAATACAATTATTGACTGTACTTGGAGGAATAGAAGGATAAAAAATTTACTTGTTATCCTAGAAGGATAGAAAATTGACTTTTTGTCCTGCTCTCTAATTTGAAATTAAAAAATAAGGAGGTGTCTCTACGAAGGTTGGATATATGATGAAGTTGATCTAGTTAATGCTGATAAAAATATTCTAAAATTACCAACAATATCCAAAATATGCAATTTGGTTTAGAAAATTGAGTATCAATAAATCATAAATGATAATAATAGTTTATAATTCAAATTTATATATTCCAAGCTTATTATTCCTATAGATTATTCTTCTTCTTAATAGTTTTTTTACTTTTTTTTTTAATTGATGATTCTGAAAGATATGAACAAATGATTAATGTGTAATAATTATAATTTGATTAATTAAAATTTAAAAGAAAAAAAGTACTTTTTCTGAGTTTGAATTTCAGAAATAAAGTAACAACTTAATGAACAGTGAGTTTTATCAAAAGGCCAGTTTTCAAATTCTTACTTTTTGATGCTTTAACAGGGATTTAGAGATGTAATAAGATTACATCTTTTCAAATAAATGTTATCTAAGGCTAATGAAAATTTTCTATTAATTTTCTATACTAAAATAGAATGATAAATTTAAAAAGCCAGTTAATAAACCATCTATTATAATGTTATATTCATTAAGAGTGTTGTAAATTTAATAATTATATATGTTATAATAATAAATCTCAATTTTAATTACCAAGATATATATCCATATATATTTGTATCCATCAAAGTCAAAACACTTTTTTATTTTTAACATCGCTTAAATATACACTACATTATTACCATTTATTTGTGCTAATCTTCAACACGTCAGTAATTACACAAACGGCGATTTTTTCAATCCAATAGTTCTCTAGCATATTGTTTTCTGCCCAATTTTTCTTAAACAATTATATCAAAAATTCATGATCTAACTTGTTATTACTTTGTTTTCATTTGATAATTGTTTGAACAAGTTGTATAGCATTTTATAATGGAATTTCATTCAAAGAAGATGACCTAAGATCGCAACTATATAAATTACATTTGTATAATATAAGAGTATAAGCAAGAATTTCAATGTTATCAAAATAATATTAATGGCAATCTTTATGCACTTTAAGAGGATTATCTTTCTACTTCTTGAGAATATATTAAATAATCGAAAATCTTATAGGGATTAAATGAATAAACTTTAAAATTTTTAACTCTAGATTTTATGTATATTCAATTTGAAGTGATAGCAAAATTAATCAAAATATATTTTTATAAATAGTATCAAAAATAAAATATTCATCGTATTGATTTATTTCTAGTATTTTCTGATAAAGCAACAAATGACTTTAAAGTGTGAGTTTTTATGAATAGTTAATTCTAGAATTTTTTATTTACAATTTAATGGAATTAGATCGATGAGATAATTAAATTTCAGACTAATTTTATATATCAAAATTATGTGAGTTTTTAATAAAAATATGATACTTCAATTCAAATGTGAAAGATTACATTATATTCTAAATACTCACTATATTGTAACAGTATATAATGACAAACTGACTATTGGCAATAACGTAAAGTTTGTATGTTTATATAAATTAGAGTCATCCTAAATATGAGTATAAATTTACACTTGAAAATATTTTACACTGGTATGTGGACAACCTAAAGCTTCAAGCTTTTGGAATCGAGTACAATAAAATAATCAAGTTTTTTAAAGCCAATAATAAAGATTTAGAATAATTGAGAAGCTTGTGTAGGAATCTCATATGTTTTGATAATATTGTCGAATTATACAAATAAATCGATATTAATGACCCATCAAAGTTATAAGATTAAATATCCCTTTAATTATGCAGCATGAAAGTATTAAGCTAGTAGCAGTTGTTAAAAGAGGTTCCAATAGTTAGATAATTGAATCATCATGGAATAATTTCATACCGTGAATGCTTTCAATATAAAAATCAATATTATATTGTAACAGAATTTGTTGGAGGAATAACATTACAAAAATTCATAATTTAAAATCCTAAGTTGAGTCATCTATAATGTAGAGCAATAATACTTGTATATATTTTTGTTTTATAGAAGCAACTACTTAAGGCTGTGAAATATTTACATGAACATTACGTCATTCATGCGACAATCGATATTTGTCAGATTATCTATAAATCAGATTTTATCAAAATTATTGATTTTTCTGAAGCCATACACTCCAATATAATAGATGATAAGGATATTAAGAATTGTGGACGAATTTTATTTCATTTGTATTAAGTATCTTGATTTTATTTAGGTATACTGCAAAAGAATATAATGAAAAAGATCAAGAATTAAATTATAAATATCTTTAAAATGCATAGACACCTAAATTAGCATAGGAACTTATTTTTATTATGATGTCTGATAAAAATATAAGTATTTCTATGATTTTAGAACATCCATATTTCTCATTTTCTTTAGATTCAGAAGAGAGAAAGAAAAGATTTTAAAAATTTTAGAGAGTATAAAGATCAACTTCAGAAATGGATGAAAATGATGCTATTTCTTAGAGTATACCAGAATTGTAAACAAATAAAAGTAAATCATTAAGATAATTAATGTGAAAAAGTATATTATTATCATTATTATATTAATATTAAAATAATTATTAATGTAAGCAGATTAATAGTACCCTTAAATAGATGTTAAAGAATTTAAAGCATTTGCTGTTTGGAGATGGAAAGCTGAATAAGTAATAAGAATAATTGATAATCATAGTTAAATTAAAATTGTTGTTCATGTAAAAAGTTAATGACAGAACCATGTATTGATTGTGAAGTGATTAATGATTAAAATGAAGATCAAAATAAATGTATAGCTGTTTAGAGTGGAAATTGTGGTCATGCTTTACATTAGCATTGTATACGTAAATGGATTCAAACCAAAAGTTAAGGTGGAACATAAGGTACATGTCCAATGTGTGACTTAAGTTGGGAAATCACAAATGAAGTTGAATTATAGAATTGATATCCTTAACAGAATAATTATTATAGAATTTTTAATTTAAAATTATATATTTTTATTAATATTAAGAGAGTAATAAATATTATTAATTTGATATATATAAATATATGAATTTGAATTTACACAATAATTTTAGATTTTGAGTATCAATAAATAGGTTTTTGAAACAAATAATAAAGGTATTGGATATTTAATTACAAATATAAACATAATTATATGATTTATTAACAATATTAATTAAAATAAAATTCAAATTTTCATGAACAGAAATAAATAACAACCTTAAAGATAAATTGCTCCTTAAAGAAAAGCTCGTTCTGAACTTAATGAAGAATAAAAACAAGAGATTAAAGAAGCATTTGATTTATTTGACACTGATGGCACTGGATATATTGATGTTAAAGGTATTATTATATATATATATAATTTATTAGAACTTAAAGTGGCTATGAGAGCTTTGGGTTTTGAAACAAAAAAAGAAGAAGTTAAATAGATGATTAAAGAAGTTGATCGTGAAGGAAAAGGTGTTATTGAATTTCCTGATTTTCTCGAATTAATGACTGTCAAAATGGTAAAAAATATTTAATATATATTGACAGGGTGAAAGAGATCCAAGAGAAGAGATGCTAAAAGCATTCCGTTTATTTGATGATGATAATACAGGAAAAATCACATTGAAAAATTTAAAAAGAGTTGCAAGAGAATTAGGAGAAACAATGACAGATGATGAATTATAAGAAATGATTGATGAAGCCGATAGAGATGGTGATGGAGAAATAAGTGAGGAAGACTTTATTAGAATAATGAAGAAGACCAACTTATTTTGAAAATTAGTTAATATAATTATATAATAATAATGGCATTTGTATATTAAGCTTAACGAGATTTAAACTAATTATTGACTTCTGTTACATCTAATGTATCATTATTCTATTTTTTATATAGATTGGTCCTGGTTCTTATATGAAACAATAGAAAAAAGTAATCAAATAATCTCTTGCTCCTTTTAATACAAAATCTAATAGACATAATCCATTAAAAAACTCATCATTTCCAGGTCCAGGAACTTATAGTATAAATTTTGCAAATTCAGGGTACATAACTATTTAAAGAGTAGGTAGAAATTGTTAATACAATCTAATCAATCAGAACTAAAAATTCTTGAAATTCATAAATAACAGTCAGTTTTTGCATCCAAATGTAAGCGTTTTTAAGAAGTTAATACAAATGATACTCCAGGGTAGAGGCTTTTATTTGATATCTTAGTCCTGGTTCATATAAATAAGAATAAATTTAACGACAATAATATCAAAAAGGATCATCTGATTAATTTATAGAGTCACTTTTGAAATTAAATAGAAATAAATCAATTCCATCAATCCCAAGTAACGAATAAGTATATGGTTATATTGATGGTGGAAGTATACATATAATAATCTATTTTAATACATTTCAGCATTGTAATTAAATAAGAGTCCAAAAGATATTATTTCAGGATTAAAGAATGATTCAGTAGGTCCTGGTCATTATGAATTATAGAATTCATTTGATTTGAATAAAGAGAAAGGAGTTAATTGGCATTCTTCAAAATAACCAAAAATTGCACCTGTTGTTTCTAAGGATTAAAAAATGATAGTTGGACCAGGAGCATATGAAATTGAAAATGAGAATCAGCCATTATATAAATTGATGCCTTCAGGATCTTTTCAATCTAATACATCTAGATTCAATAATTTAGATAAAGGATAAAGAAGTAAAGAATTACTTAAACTTTAATTTGAGAAGTAGAAATCAAAATTACTTTAAGATTCATAATTTGAAGATTTGAAAAATGAATAATTTGAGTAATCCTAAGTAATAAATAATTAAAAATAATAGAATGATATTATTGGACCTGGATATTATTTTAAAGATTAGAGTAATATTTCTACTAAATCTACTTCAAAATTAGAAACATAATGTTTTGGATCAAAATTAAAAAGATTTTAAAGTGATTCAAATTTAATAACTATTGGGCCTGGAGATTATAAAATTGAAACTTAATAATCAAATAACAGTTTTGCATTAAAATAACCACCCTTTTTATCTTCTAATACTCGTTTTGAATAAAAATAATTAAATAGAAGAATTGGACCATAATCTTATCATATCAATTAGAGTGTAAGGCAATAAGATATTTCATCTAGTTGGAATATGATTTAATTAAAAAACTTGAAAGATCTCCAGTTGGTAAATTTGGATACAATTAACCTAGATTTATAGATAATCAAAATTAAGAATAAATACCTGGTCCAGGATACTATGATTATTTAAATTAATCTCCATAATAAGGTGCTCAAAATATATTTAAATCTTAAACAAAAAGGATTGATCCAACTATTTTAAATAAATCAGAAATACCTGCACCTAGTTAATATAATCCTAGAAATCATACTATAGAATATAATGTAAATAAAGATTATGATGATATTGAATTTGAAATAAAGAGACCTCCATTTTAATCGTCATTACCTCGATTTTAAAATAAAGTAGATATCAAAATTGATGAATTGGATGAAGAACTTTATTTGAAAAAATAGAATCAAAAAAGATAAGATCATAAAATACTATATAAATAAAAATAACCATCACCACCATTTAATGTTCAAGTATTTAATATAATTATTTTTTTAATAGGAAAAACGATTTTAATATGGTAAATTAATTGTTTAATCTCCTGGTCCTGGAGAATACAATGAATCAACATAAATATCATGGGATAAACCATCATTTAATGTTCAATTTTCTTAGATTTGAGTAAATAACAATAAATATATTAAACGATATCATTTCTTAAATAATCTATATCCTGATCTTGTATGTTAATGAAACTTTCTATTTTATGGCATGCTTTCTGTAATTTTAAATTATTTGGAAAGTGAAACACTTGCCTATTAGGATCGATGAGTTTAAATACTATATAGATAAAATAATTATACTTAAGTTTTTATTTAGTTTAAATTGTATGAGGTGAATTCATTGTATAGATATGAACAGGACTAAGTATTTTAGATAGAGGATCCTTTATAATTCTATGTGTAGATGGACCATTTTATATTATTAATGGTTCATCTTTAAGTATTTTTGGAGATAGATGAAATGTTTATTGATTTTTCGAATTTTTTGATATAATCTATTTAATAGTTTATTGACTGACTCCAAATGGAATTCTATTAAATGTTTTAGGTGAATGCAATTAAATATGTGATTAAATTTTAGGTTTTTGTTTTTCAACTAAGTAATGTATAAAATTTTGTAATTATTCTTCTTCTCTATTAGAAGGTTAAAGAATTAATTCTCCTGTATTAATTTAAATACCTTCTAATTTTTTATTAATTGCTTCAATAGTTGTAGAATTATCAACTATATCTCTTAGTATTTTACTGTAAACTTAATCTTGTATTTTAGGAGATGTAGGTTTAAGTTCTTCTGGTTAATCACCAGCAATTGCTTTTTTAGGTTTGTTTGGATTTTTACGATTTTCTTCTTCAATAATACGTTTAATTCTATAATATTCAACTCTTCTTTTCTTATCATGATAACTAACTTATGTATAATCTTGAGATACTTGCTCATAATATTGCTTATTTTATCCATAAATAATCTTGGAATCTCATTATGATATTTGTAGTACTCAGTAAATAACTGAAGTTTATCTCTTATTTCATCTAACAATTTTTGTTTAATTTATACTGGCAAAATAGAACCGTCTCAAATATTCCAAATTTTCATTATAAGCCATAGCTTAATAAAACTCTATCACCTCTTTTGTTCTAGCTGAATTTATAAAATTATTGAGAGTCCATGAGTAATAATATGATTGACAATTGGAATATTTCTTTTGGAGTAGTATTTGAACATTGTACTAATTTGCCATTGATATTTATGTTATGATATTCAATTTTATATAATTTATTCATTAAATATAGGATAGATTAAATAAAAATAATAATTCATTTGGAACCTAATTTATACCACATCTATCTTAAATCATCTTTAGTTTTTGTCTTAATTTCATAAGCAATTTCAGTCCATTTGATAATTGAATTCAATTATTTTGGAATTTAAACTAATGATTTTATAGTATCAAATGTTTCTCTATCAAAATCATTCATCTTTCTAAAATTTAGACAAAATTTAGTTTCAATGAACTAATCACCAAATTTAGTCTAAAGTATTGAATCATAATTTGAAATAAGAAGTATTTATTATGTTAAACTCTGTATTTGTTTTATTAATATTAAAAATTCTCCTATTTTTTTCTAATATTATCAGGTGTTCGATTAAAATGCTTACTAATTTCCCTCCATTTTCTTCCATATTATTATACATATTTAATTAAGTCTGCCTCCTCATTCTAATTCCAATATCCTTATCTATTTTTGCTATCATATTTTCTTCGAATTAATTTATAAATAGAATCAACACTTCTATTAGGTATTTAATTTGCAATAGTAAGCCACATCTTAGAAAGTCCAAAAGATTTTAATTCAATATATTCTTATAGATCTTAATCATTTAGATTGTTTTACAATAAATATTCATTGACAACCTTCATAATATAGTCTATTTCTTCTTATGAAAACTTTCCTACTTTAATTTCTGAGAGATTAACAATACAATCTAATCTTTTATGCCAAGATCTACTTATACATTATTGTATTCTATTTTAATCAATTTGTTATTCTTATGGAGTTTTATCTATTTTTTATATATTACTATCATATTATATATGTTCTTTTGATTTGAAAAGATCTTCATATTCTTTTTTATGTTATTAGTGCTTATTTCTAAGTTTACTAGATTATTTTTGATTTTTTTTCATTTTAAAGTTAAAATAAATTATTTGACTGAATAATTATTTCAATTACGCACTAAACATGCATCCTACAACACAAATGCTAGAAAATGCCAGAGAACGTGTAACATTTCCAATTGAAGAATTAACAAAGCTTATTTATGTTAATGAAGAGATATATGAGACATTTATGAAGGCTTAAAAGATAATAGCAAATGAACCTACTATTCGTAATCATCCAGATTATCATAATTGGAGTCGCAAACAATAAATCATAAAGTCTTATGAGAAATTGAGGATAATGCATTAGCATTTCAATTTGGCTAATGCTGTTCACTGGGCTCCTCTTTTAAGCATATTTTAAGGTACAACACCAACAGCAGTATCATTTGCAATGACAGTTCCTGCCTTAAGATTTCTAGGAACAGATGAATAATTCAACTTATGGGGACCTAAATTCTTAACAATGGAAATCGTTGCTGCTTATGCATAAACAGAAATAGGTCATGGAAGTGATGTATAGAATTTAGAAACTACAGCTACATATGATCCTTAGAGTAATGATTTTATTCTACATACTCCATCTGTATCTGCAGTTAAATGTAAATGAATATAGAAATCTAAATAGTTTGGCCTGGTGAATTAGGTTTTCTATCAAATTATGCACTGGTTTATGCAAAACTCATATTTAATGGTAAGAATAAAGGAGTCCATCCTTTTATGGTTTAAATTAGAGATAATTTCACACATAAAACATTAAAAGGAGTAACAGTTGGAGATATTGGGCCAAAATTAGGTTATTCAACCAAGGACAATGGATTTTTAGCATTTGACAATTATAGAATTCCTTTAAATAGTATGTTGGCTAGATATGTAAGAATAGAGAATGGATAATTTTCAAGACATGGAAATGAGAAGGTTAATATAATGAATTTATTATTAGATATCATATGCATCTATGATGGTGTCTAGATAATTGATTATATTCATTTATCCAAGAATGGCTGCTTAAGCTCTTACAGTGGCAATCAGATATTCAATAACTAGATAACAATTCACAAATGATAAGGGTGTTGAGAATTCAGTTATTGAATATCAGACTTAATAAGATAAATTGTTACCAAGATTAGCTACTTGTTATGGAATGATATTTACAGGAATAAGAATAATGCAATTAGTCGATGATAATTTCCATAGAGTATAAAAGAAGGATTTTAGTACATTATAGTAATCACATGCTATTTTAAGGTAATTTATAGATGATAACTATTTTAAGTGCAATTAAAGCCTATTCATCTTAATGGGTAGTAGATACAACAGAATGGTGTAGATTATCTTGTGGTGGTCATGGATATGCACATTATTCTGGTATTCCAGCAGCGTATTTTGATACTGCACCAAATGTTACATTAGAAGGAGAAAATTAAGTTATGTATTTATAAGTGGCTAGATACTTACTTAAAGTTTTATAATATGCAGAAAAGAATCCAGAGAAAGTACCATTTTATTTTAGTTTTGTATTATAAATCAAAGACACTTTAAATAATAAAGATTTAAGTAATTAATTAATAAAATATAATTTATAGGCAATATAAATACTTAATTAGGTTATTTACTTAAATTATCTCTTACAATTCAATTAATATAAGTTGGTAAAAGAATTAAAGACTTAATGAATACAGGTAAGACATTCCAATAAGTCTGGAATGAACATGTTGGTATTCACTTGTTATCACTTGCTTAAAGATATGCTGAATATTTCATCTATCTTGTTTTTCAAGAATATATTTCAAATGCTAATTCATCTGTTAAAGATATATTATAATCACTTTGTGATTTATATTGTGTATAAACTATATTGGATAATTCAAGTACACTTATTGAATCTGGTTAAATTACATAAGAATAATTAAAATCTTTGAATGAATTAAAAATTGAATTATTTACTAAGATTAAACCATAAGCAATTGGATTAGTTGAAGCATTTAATTTTAATGACAATGCTCTTAGAACTTGTATTGGATGTCATGATGGAAAACCATATGAATATATTTATGATTGGGCAACAAAAGAGAATTCAGTTAATAAGGTACCATAAGCAGTAATTGATTTAATGGGTACAAAAATAAAACCAAAATTGTGATATTAACAATATATTAATTTAAAAAATAAAAAGAAATATTTAAAAAAACATATCAAATTTATTTAAAATCATTATAATTACTTATCTACAAATATTTATATCTTTAAAATAATATAATATATATAGAAAATAATATCAAAGTGAAATGATTGAATAAAATAACACATAAATAGAAACAAATCATTTTAATGTAATGTAGTCTTAAATTCTTTTGTATGCTTCCAAAAATTTTGAAGAATCATAGAAATCAGAATTAAAGTAAACTCCATTTGTTTTTGCTTCTTTTTCTAATACTTATACTGGAACTCTGATGTCACCATTATAATTTTTAATATTTTAGTAATAGTCTTTCTATAATGAATATTAAAATAAGAAATACCTATTATCTATACAATTTATTTAACATATTTAATAGAAGATCAAAGGAATCTTCATTAAATGTTAAATAATCACTAAATTTACGTCTTAATTATCTGGCCACAGAGTATTTTTGAGATTAAAGAAAACTCTCTAACATTACTTTAATAGCAACAGAAATATCAAAATCCATCACATTATTTCTTAAATGTAATCTAGCATGAGCTATTGAATATTAAATTATAAATTACCTTCAGCCATTCTTATGATACTTTCTAAATGTCTGATAGCAATATTAATACCACCACATACTTCTGATTCTTTTCTCAATAAATAATAAAATTTGGATATCTTTTCATGATCCACATTTTATAATTTTGGTCTAATGTGTGTACGAGCATACAAGATATATTTTTTTAATAATTCTAATGGAATTACTTCTTCTTATGTCTATTTGTTCTCCTTTACAAAATATCCTTTTATTTATTGACTCCATTCTGAATCAGGATCATTATTTAATTCATATGCAGCCATAGGATGATGTCTAATATGACTATTGATCACAAATGAAGCTAATCTATCATCTGCCTCTTTAATTACTTCATCTTTTACAACACATAAAATATCAAATCTACTCAAAATTGGATCAGTTAAATCAACATTATCATGAAAAGATTACTAAGAATCATATTTACCACCTACTGGATTTGCTGCTGCAATAACACTACATCTGGCTTAGAGAGTAGTAACAATACCAGCTTTTGAGATAGAGATACTTTATTATTCCATTGCTTCATGTATAGATGTTCGATCATGTTCATTCATTTTATCAAATTCATCAATTAAACAGATTCCTTTATCAGCCAACACTAAAGCTCCTCCAGAAATACTCCATTCATTTGTTGAATAATCTCTTTAGACAGAAGCAGTTAGACCAACAGCAGAGGCACCTTTACCTGTTGTATATATTGATCTATAGAATGTCTTTTATACATTCTTCAAAAATTAAGATTTAGCAGTACCAGGATCTCCTAATACTAAAACATTAATATCTCCTCTGATTCTATGTTTTCCTTATATATCTTTTGCTTCTCCTCCAAACATAGCTAAGGCAATAGCCATTTTAACATGTTGATGACCATAAATTGATGGAGCAACAGAGTTATATATTAATTTATCAATTTTAGGATTTTATGACAATTTTATGATTTCATCTTTAATTTTCTTATCTATATTTAATGATTCACTTTCATCTTTTCTTCTTATGTAATTACTTTCAATGATTGTAGAATATAAAGGGAATCCATGTTTTACATTAAGAGCATAATCATATCTTTAAGTATAAACTCCTGTGACTTCAATTTCATCACCAGGTCTTGCAATATCAATTTAATCTCCCAAAACAATTACTTCTTTTTATCTAGGTACTCTTCCTGCTGGTACTTAACCTGGAGATTCTTAAAGTGTTAATCTTTAAAAGTTTCTATACACTAATTGATTATATAATTTTTCAAATGGACCACTACTTTGACATTAAATGCAAACACCTAATTAAATACTATCATTATTTTCCAAATAAAATGGTCCTTTTTTCATTCCACACTTAACACAAACATATGTAATTTCTTTCAATTAAGAATAGACAGCACTTCTTCTAGTAACAACTCCAATAACACGAATAAATTTATCCAAATGTTTATATCGTAAATCTCTAATAATATCTACCACTGGAAGATTTGTAATTCGTACAAAGATTTCTTGATGAATATTATGATAATGATTAAATCGCTTATTAACTTCAATTCTTGCAGCTTCATTTAAATGAGGTAAAATAATCTTTGGTTCTTCTGCTACCCATAATGCAATAGTAGCATTAGCACTCACTAAATCAGGATACAAAACTTCAAGTGATTATTTATTCGCCTTACACATTTCCTTAATTAATTAAATATAGATTGGTTCTTAATCAGATCCTCTTTTACATTCATTCAAAATTTTTCTAAAAGCTCTCTTAATCCAAGCCTCTAAAAAATATATATATATATATAATACTTGTTCTATCATCTTTTATCCACTCATTCAATTTACCTCTGCATTCTTCAATATTTAAATATCTCTCTTCTTCAACTACATCTGTATCCTCCTCTTCAAAAGGATCTTCTATATAAACTCTTTCTCCAAATTAATCTAAATCATCATCTTCAGAATCACTCAAATCTTAAGCAGCTCTAGGAATTCTTCTATCTGCCATATTTATTCTTCTCCTCCTTTCAATTTCTTCCTCTGCTCTTCTACGTTATTCAAAATCCATATCTCCATGCATCTCTTCATCATCTATTCCCTCTGATTCATATCTATCTAATTCAGGTATAGGTTTGTAGTCATTTATCATGTTATCATTAATCAATTCCTCTCCTGAATCTTCTTCATCTGGAGTTCCTTCTGAAGATTATACACCCACTTAATCCTCCTAAGCCTCCTCATCTGAACCTCTCTTTTTTTCTTCTTCTTATTATCCTCTTCTTGGTCTTCTACTCATTACTTTTAATTACTTTATTAATATTCATTAATTTCAATCCATCCCAAATATAAATATTCCCGCACTACATATTTTTGGCGCAATTATATATGTCAATTTCTTTTACTATTAAAATTACAGAAAACTATCTTATTTTTATAATATTATATCTCTCTACATACTCTATTGTTAAACCTCTAATATTAATTTCATCTTTATTTAACTTCTTAATCCATCTATTTACTCTCTTGAATTCTACTACTATTTCCATCTAACAGATCCTACTTCCTTTTTTTGTCTAATAATATATATTCTCATATAAAAATGTAAAAAGAACTTATGCATTAATAAGTGGATTAATAATTTCTAGAAAGTCATTCATTCTAATTTTTATCGTTAATCCATAATTTAAAATATGAGTGATAATATATTAGTATATTTGAAAGTTAAACCAGATTATGAAGAAGAAGGGGGACTTACTATTTAAGAAAATACAGTTAAAGTAATCTCACAATCATCCTTCGAAGAAAAGACTTATTAATTTAATGCCATCTTTTAAGAGAATCACGAATTACAACAACATTGCATTCCCATTATTGATTAAGCTATAAGAAATCAATAGAATGCTTGCATTATAACTTATGGATAAACATAAAGTGGAAAATCTCATGCCTTAGGCTTTTCACTCCATAATGAAGGATTATTACATACATTCCTTTAATATTTGTTTGAACAAATGTAAATATAATAAGTGTCTATTTCAATGCTTTAATTATATATGCAATCAGCTATTGATTTATTAAGCTAAGATAAAACTCTTAAAGAATTGAGAATAAGAAATAAGCAGAATGAAACTTATGTTGAAAATTTGACTGAGGTACTTGCACAAAATTATCAAGAATCCTTACTTATATGTTAAGAAGGAATCTAAAAAACATAATTCTCAAAATTGCATACTATCTTAACACTTAAAGTTATGAAATCTAAAATTCAATTTGTTGAAATTTTAGGTAACAATTCCATAAATGCAAAATCTCCATAATCTAGTAATTGTATCACAGCTCTACTCAAAGTTTTCAGTGCCCTTCTCAAACAACAATAAGGAACTTAATAATAAGTATTTATTCCTTTTCGAGATTCTAGTTTAACTATGCTTCTCAAAAATTAATTAACTCCACCTTCAAAAATAATTGTTATTGGTACTATTCTTCCTAAAAATACTATTGAAACTAGTTAAACTATTAAAGCATTATCTTCATGTATTAAAGTATATCCACCTTAAGACAATATTAATAATACTACTTATCATAATAATGCTTCCAAAGCAAGAAGTGTAACACCAACAATTACTAAACAAAAACGATAAGATATAATTGTTAATAATGGATAGTAATAATAATAATAATAATAATCTAATTAATTATAATATAAAGAATTAAGTGAATATTTATTAAAATTATTAACTAAAATAAATTCACATGCTTGTAAACTTATAAATTAGGAATGCTTATAACATATTGATATTAATTAAAACTTAGATAAAATAATTTCATAAGTGCAATAAGTCTCACATTAATTATTATAAATTATAAATGGAAAAATTACATCTTAAATAAATTAGGCCAAAACAGATGGTTGGCAAAAGGCTTTAAAATTTTTATATCATACTTATGAAGAAGAAATATAACGTGAAGATAAATTACTTAAAGAAAAATTATTATATATTATAAATGAAGAAGAACAATATGATTTGGATAGTCTTAGGAAGATTTTATTCCCTCCTAAATAAGAATATACAAATTCTTTGTTTAAAACACTTACAACACTGAGAAAATATACAAACACTATTCAAATTCCACTTAGTCGAGAAAATTACAGGAATTAGTTAACAAATGATATCATGTAAAAAGAATTAGGAGTAATGAGTAATTAGAATTATGAATCAAGTGGGAAATAAGAATTAACTAGTGTATAATGAAATATTATAATATAGTTCTAAAGTTATACAGAAAATTTAATGAGCAAATTTAAATGGTAAAGTGCCTAGAAGTAGGACTATTATGGATATTAACCTTGATTGAGGCAATTTTGAAATTTAAATATTTTTACTTAATCATTTTTAATGGATATATATATAATAATATACAATTTAGTAATGTTTTGAACAAGAAAAATTTGATCAACAGTTCTTTATGGTGTCAATATATTATTATTAATTAATATAAAAAAATTTTGATTTACTACAAAACAATATTATTTAACATAAAATTCAATTATTTTTTAATGATTAATTATTAAATAAATGAAATCAAAACCAATTTCGATTACTAGTTCAATTTTTACTACACCCAATTCTTAGTTTTGGAATTACAATGATATTTAAATAACAAAAGAAAATTTTAAAGAAGATTATTTTCTCTTTTTCTCGAATAAAAAACTAACTTATTTGAATAAACCTCTATAAAAAGCTGGTTCAATAATTAGAAAACAAAAAAAAAATGTAACTCAAACTTAAATTTATCCTAGGGTCTATATGTATGGTGTGATGTCAGTAATGCTATAATTGAGTTAATCGAGATTCAACATGTTGGACAAGGTTTAAGAATCACAATTAATTAATAAATAATTCAATTCTTTGGATATGTGGATGCATGGTTTAAGGATTTGAAGAAGTTTTGTATTCAAAGAAAAATTAATGAATTATATATAATCAATAATAAAATTGGATGTGGAAGTTATGCTGATGTATTTAAATTAAAAATTAGCAATTAGGTTTACAAAGTTACTCGAAAGTCTGATAACAAAGATTTTGCAGCTAAGATATATGATAAGTCCTCAGAAAAATTCGACTTAGAGTGTATTATTAAAGAAATTGATATTCTAAGAAAAATGGATCACCCTAATGTAATTTCACTTCTGGAAACTTTTGAAACTTAAAAATATATTTTTCTTATAACAGAGCTCTTTATGTATGGAAGTTTAGATGATGTGATTTCCAATACACCATTTTCAGAAGAAGAGATTTTAAGAGGAATGTATAAAATAATAGATGCATTATCAAATATTCATTCTAAGGGTATTATACATAGAGATATCAAACCAGAAAACATCTTATTTCGAAAACCAAATCTGGATGATATTTTGATTTCAGATTTTGGTTTAGCTGATTATTATAACTCAGAAGGATTATATTAATATCAAAGATGTGGTACTCCAGGTAATATGGCACCAGAGATATTAAATGATAAACCCTATGATTATAAAATTGATTCCTATAGTGCTGGTTTAATCTTTTATTAAATGTTGAGTTTTGGAAGATCACCCTTTATTGTATAAGATTATCAAGAAACTTTAATTAATAATTAAAAAGGTTTTATTGACTATTCAGAAATTAATGCATCACCATAAGCAAAGGCCTTACTTTAATAGATGTTAGAAGCTGATCCAATTAAAAGATGCACTATAAATGATGCTAAATTTAATCCACTTTTTAAGAAATTCAATAGAATGACAATAATAATTAAAAGAAAACGTATTCTCTAAGATCAAACAGTTTCAAGCTATAGTCCAAGAAGTACATCTATTTATCAGACTCCATCTAATTCTCCATAAATTCTTAAAAATCCTAAATATAAAAGTATAGGTTTAAACACTCTACATTGTTTACCTAATAGAGTAAGAAGCATGGATAGCTAACTCTTTTCTTCTCCTAAATCATGCAATTCTGGAGGAAATAGTGCAAAAACTTAAAATAAGTAAAGAAATCGGAATTTTAAGATAAATGTAAAAAATAGCATTTACCAAAGTATGAGCTCAACAAAAGCCATTTGAATCATTGATCAACTTATTATGATTAATGAAATCTATATTCATAAATATAATAAAATAATGTCTATTATTATATTATTATTATCTACAGATATTTTATTAAACATTTAGTATGGTTGCAAATAAACAATCATTATCAGATTTAGATGATGAATAAAATTTTAATTTATTATAAAAAATTTAAAATAAATAAAGAAAAACGATGATGATAGATATACTTTAAGAAAATTTAAAATTAAAATAGGATAACTTAAAATCAATTTTAGAAAATCTAAATGGTATCATAAATATTAATTAATACACAAATAATTAAATGATAAATAATAAATCAGAAAATAAAAATAAAATATTATTGATAATTATATATAAAAAATAATTATCATAAATTTTAATCAAAAAGATATTGATCTATTTTTTTTAATGATTATAAGACTATAGATAAATTATAAAAATATAAATTGAATATTTAATTATTATATATCAAAGTTTTTTCAACAGATTATCTAATTTTGATACTACATCTAGATCTACTTTTTCATTTAATTTATAAAGAACTATTTCTAATATATATTGAATTCCACAAATTGATAAAGCTTTATCAAACAAATAATCATCTCCATTAATAGATGAAACAATGATTAAATTTCCCAAAATAAAATAAAAATAACCAACTAGTATGAATATTGAGTCAATATTCTCAATCAATTTTTTCTTAAGAATTCTTTAAGCTAATAAATATGCACACAAGAAAATGATTAATTATATTAAATTATAGATTGGAACAATTAATAAACCCAGAACCCAAGATGATTTATTAAAGTCCTCTATACCATAATAGGCATTCATGATTGAAATAATCATTAGATTATTAGAAATATATAATAGGTATTATCCAATCTTAATTAAATCAGAATCTAGAATTTAATTATTAATAAAAACTTTGTTTATTCTATTTGAATTATTTGTTGCTAAATAGATAAAGCTCAAGTAAACCAACTTACTCTTATTTTTTTAGACTAATTTTGGTAATATTACTGTCTTGCTTATCTTCTTAATTATCATCCTAACCTCTATTATTGATGGATTCTATTTCTTTTGGTGTTTATTTTTATTATTCAAGTTTTTATAAATATTTTTACCAAGAGTACCCTACACTAATTAGAATGGTGTATGCTAATAGTAATGAAAAACTTTCAACGATCTCTTAGTTCATAAATAATTTAATTAATGAATCTATAGGATTAAATTAATTGTTTAAGTAAATATATTATAAATAAAATGAATAACAAAATTTTTCATTAAACTTTTTTAATTTATTTCTTTAAAACATAGTAACTATTGTAATTATTTGAATTTTTACCTATATCATACTATAAAATTCTTTAAAATCCCTATTACATTTTGATAATTATTCTTAATTTAAAATGTTAATTCTTCTATATTTTCAAAGAACTATGAAGAATAATCTTCATTTCATCACAAAATTTATCTTGTTATTTTGATTACTACTAAAATACTTATCATCCTTAAAATTATTTATTAATTTTATGTAGTTTCTGATTTCTTGAATGATAATTTCTGTTTATAATACATTTATTTTAATTCTTAATTTTCAATAGATAATTAATTATATTCCTAAATCAATAATTATTAATTTTCTTAAAGTTCTTTACTTTATTGAATAATTTTAATTCTCATTTAAAAATTAATTAAGATTCTTTATCACTTTATCAAGAATTTATTTATCATATAATCTTCATTCATAATTATAATCTTAGATAAATATTTATATATGATCAGATTTCTTCATTTGTTCTAATATTTCATATGTGATTATTTTAAAGTTTAATTTAATGTATTTGAAATAAAAGAATATATATTAAATTGAAATTATTAAATTTTTATTATCTTCCCATTTGCAAATTAAAATATTCTAATTAATTCTATTTTCATAAACTATTTTATAAAAAGCAAACTAAACATTTTTTAACATCAATCTTCTTAATACAAGTTTAAATTTAAACAATACGAATACAAAATTTAAAATGTGTTTTTTTCAATATCTCTACTTGTAAAAGATTGTTATCTTGTAACTTATATAATATTTCTCTGAATTGATTTATATTTGAAATATTAATTTAAAATTCACCTTCTTCATTATCCTTTTGATATTATTTCGATTAGCTATTTCGAATTATTTAAATAGACATAATTTCTTAAATTTTACTATTCTGTTATCGATAATTTTTATAAGAGTTTTAATCTCTCTTCCAATTGATGTAAATGAATCAAATTGTTTAGTTTTTAAACATATTAATTTATATTATATTAAATAATTGTTATATAAAATTATACTCTAAAAAAATACTAAAAATTTATAAAATTCACAATTATAGTTTATTTTAGTAAAAGTTATCAAATATTTATAATCCAAAAGTTGATATAATCTTTATTTATTAGCTCTATCTTAAATTGCTGTATAGATATAAAGTATATATCATAGATCAAAATAGTATTAAAAATGAATAATTAATTATTTTATATTTATTTTAATTAAAACAATATTAAATTAATTTTAACATGGAAGGGAATACTTTACAAAAATTATTATAATTTATATTAAATAATAGACTTTAGATTAAAATGAAATTTTATATATCATCTTTTAAACTTAAGAATTTTAATATTCCAATAGATAATTAATTATTAATGGTATGTCTCTTTAAGTTTTTATTCTTTATTTTAAATATAATACTATTAAGGGGAGGATATTAAAACTTAATTTAAAATTCATTCTCAAAGTCTGTTTTTTTAATATTAATATTAATATTTACTTTATAGAAATGAAATCCTTTCAATGTACAGATCATAAAAAAGATATTGTATATTATTGTAATGACCAACATTGTGAAATGAGATGTTTGTGTGCAGAATGTGAACATGAACATGATAAAACTGCTGTACAAAATTTATTAGAGGGTTACAATATAAAAGAACTGGTCTAAACCTTCTAAAGTTTTAAATGCATTATAAATGATTTAATGACAAAAATGGAATAAGAATTGAGCTAACATCTTTAATAAATAAAATAACCTTAAGCAACTGCTTAGAATTTAGAATAATTTGATAAATAACTGAGTGAAATCTCAAATATTTAAAATACATTAAAAAACAAAATAAAAAATAGATTGTAGCACATAATCAATGCATTAAAAGGATAAGATTTAGATTAAAGTCCTAATGTTACAATATTCGATGCTAGAAAAAAAGAGCATTCTAAATCAGTTATTTTAAGTTAGGCCCAAATCTAATAAGATATGATTAAGAAAACTAGATAATCAAAAATATTCAAAATGAATATTCCTCAATCAAATTAACAAGAAACATAATAGATTATTTAATAACCTAATTTAAATGTAGATAGGATTGAAGTAGCAAGATTGTAATAATTGAGTACATAAGATTGGGCTTGGAAAATGACTTCATCAACAGTATTTTGTTGTATATTTTCATCTTTAAGGGACTTGAAAATAATAGGATTTTTGTAACCATGCTTATTTAAAAGTAATACCAATAATTACCAAAAAAAATCAGCAGTTATCAATGTTGGTATTTATAATAAAAAAAATTTAACTAAATAACCAATTCATTTAGAAAAATATACATTGAGACATAGTAAATTGAAGATAGTAAATGATTGTTATGAATTAATGTTCAGTAAACCAATTGCTATAAAGGAATTTACAGAATATTCTATTGCAATTTGGCCAAGCAAAGTCTTGTATAGTCATTATTTTAGTATTGCTGCTTCAATAAATCCATTTATAGCATTTCAAACTTAAGATTTTAATGACAATCCTAAAATAAAAAGATCTGAAGAATTTCCATAAGTGATATCAACTTTTCGTGCAGGTTTAGTACCTTATTTAATAATTGATCCAAGATAATAATGAATGACTTTATAAAATTAAGTCTTTTTAATATATGAAATATATGTTTATTAAATTCAATCATTAACACCTTTACCTATAATTTTTAATGTGTCTTAGATTGTCTTAATGACACTACTTAAATTATCTATAATTTAATTTTGCTGATTAAATCTTTAATTCATTTCTTCTTTCAAATTGTAAGCTACATGATTAAATTCATCAATAGTTTTGACATGGAAATCTTGATTATTCTTTCTTTATCTTTATATTTCTTAATCAGTATGATCTCTTAATTCTTTACTTTAAAGAATTCTCTCTGATTTTTCATTACTCAATTTTTCATTTAATTAATATGCTTCATCATCTAATTTTCTTAAGATTTCTTTTTCTCTTTCAACTCTTGTATTTTTTTCTGTTTCATAATGTTCAAATAAAGCTAAGATTGGTAATTAATTATACTAGTTAATTATTTTCTAATTTCTCTAAGGTTTTCATCAGATTATCTCATTCTTTCTTATTTTTCTTCTTCTAATTTTTGAGTTAGATCTCTAAGATAACCATTTGCATCTACAATTCTTTAATCTGTTTAATTTGCAAATGTTTCATGTTAAGTTTACAATTTCTAATTTGTTTAATTCAACACTTAAGTAAATTTTGAATCATAAGCAATTAAAGTATTATTTATTCTTTCACCTTCCTAAGTGATGAATTCTCTAGTATTTTGAATTTTTCTAAGAATAGAAATTAGAATAACCTATGTACATCAAGAAATTTAGCTTCCAGTTATTTTTTTGCTTCTTCTCTATTTCTTTTCATATCTTCAAAATCATTTGCTAAATCTCCCATCTACTTTTCAAGTAGAGTGAGTTTTTCATTATCTTTTGGCAATTATTTATAAGGTTTTTAAGTTAAAGGACCTGTTGCTTATAAATTAGCTTATGTTTATTACATAAATTAAATTAATAAATTTTGACAAGAATAACAAGTAAAATATTTATCAATGCTAAAAATTTTATCTTCTTTTGATTACTATAGCTTTAGGATTAACACTACCTCTTGCAGTGTTTGATTCATCTAATTAAGTTTTGATTCTTTAAGTTAAGCAATCAATTCTATTTTCTCGAATTCTATCATATTTTCTTTCAGATTTTGGATCTTAATGATTTAATTTAATTTTTAATTTTGGAACTTCCATTAATCTTAAAGGCTACATTTTATAAATTGTTTAAGGTTTCAAAACATTGCCATTAGAACTATTGACAATACTTGTTTTAGTTATAAAATTATGATTAACAGTGTTTTGATTATTCGAAGTTTGAGTTGAAGGATTTATATTATGATTAAAAAAATGAAAATTTGGAACAACAATTCTATGATTAGAATTATTGGATATTCCTCCATTATTTTAATTAGTGTTCATATTTGAATGAGCATGAGTACTACATCCAGTACTAAAATTATTAGTAATTACATTACTAGCTTTTCTTGGAGTACCTATTTATAGATTTAATTGTTTTTTTATATTTCCAACATACACTGTCCTTGAATTAGTATTAGTTTCTTTGATTATAGATTCTTTTTATTTTTGCAATTCTTTTTGTTATAGAAAAGTCGAAAATTGCATAGCTTTAGTTAAATCTTATTCAACAAGAGATTGAGTAAATTATTTTTACAAATCTTTCTCAAGTGTTCTGTCAGCCTCAACATTTTTAAGCAATTATAACATTGTAGTAGATTTTTGTGTATCATTTAATTCTTTCAAAAAACATGACAATTCTTATTTAACCAATGGAGTACTTTTCTTTTTACTTTTTTTCGGACTCACACCACCTTCCTTATTAGCCTCAATTTCTATTTAATTAATTGCCCACTGATATTCAACCTAAGATCTACTACTTATGTATTTTACAATAATTGCTTTTAATTCTAGAAAGTATAGCATAGGATGATCAATGCTAAACTTATAAGTAATTAGATATGTTTACTTTATAATATTGTATTAGTTATTTTAATTGATGTTAACAATTAGGGAAATGATAGAACTGTCTAAGATATTCTTCTTAATTGTCTAATATTTTGTAATCTTCCACTCTTGTATAGATAGTATGCTTTTCCTTTCTTATTATTTAGTTGATATGTCGAGAAAAAAAATAATTTTAGCTCTGTCCATGTTTATAGTAGAGACTGATATTCATTGTTTAAATAAGATTTCCCTTTTTTGATATCTGATCAATAGATGCATACAAGCATTAACATTTATGTGTACAGAATCTGCATTTGTGATTTTACATTAATTATAATTCATAATTATTTCACTTGATTTAATAAATTATACATTATTTATATATATATAAATAAATTATGCAATTATCTCCTATTGATTTAGATTATTTACATTAAGAAAGTATTGGAGGAGTCATTGCCAATGGATTGACAGTGCTTTACAATACACAACCTGAAAAACCTATTGAATTTTTAGCTAAATGGTTATTATAATATTGTAAAACTTCCACTCAGAAAAATCACTTCTATGATGATGTATGATAATCTTCACTTAATAGTTAATAGCTCTAAAAGAAAGAATAAAACATTTAGAATTTTATCCAATAGCAAAAGTAAGAGTAGCAAAAATTAGAAGAATTACTTTAATTCAAATAATAAACAATGGAATAAGAACTAAATTACATTGAATATCTAAGAAATCATCCATATCATTAAGAATTGATTATATAGGAGTTTCCAGATTTTTTAATGAAGAAATTTGTAAGAATCTCATATATTATTTCAATTTAGAATTTATCTGGTATTTATATCTGTTATTTCACCCATCAAAAATAAGAAGTTGATATTGACTTAGTAGATGATGAAAATGCATTTATAAATCAAAAAGCACCTAAACTATTGAAATATGTAGGAACCTCTTCAAATCACAAATTTCTTCTCAATTAAAACTTAACTGAATAAGCAATTCTAACATATGAAGTACTTAAACCACCTCCTCCTGTTGAAGAAGGCAAAGCTCCAGAAGTATATTAAGGTTGCTACATACCTGATGTTATCAAAGAACCAAAAGTTTATTTTCATAGATTTCCAAAATTGGGATGCTATTTTGCTATTCCTATGAATTTTGAAACTTCTCTCTTTGAAGTAATAAAATTTATATTATATTAGGATGCCTTTGATGCAGGTTTAATAAATAGGATAAAGTACAATTCTGAAGTAGAAACTCAAAAGTAAGAAATAAAAGCAAAAGAATTAGAACATAAAGAATAATTATAAAATGCAGAAAATGAAGAATAAAAATAATAATTGGAAGATGAATACTAAAATTATTTATCTTCATTACCACAACTAGTAGAATAACCTTTTTTAGGCATCTAATAATAATATATTGTATGTGGTGATACTTTAGGGTAAGATAGAAAATTGTCATAGGAAGAACGTAATTAATTATATGATATGATTCAATAATTTGGATAAAGTTATTAAGAGAAAGAGATGTCATTATTATCAGAAGATATTAATTAATAAATTGAATATTAAAATACTATTCCTGAAAAATTGGAAGAGAATTATTTAGATTAAGAAAATTAATTTGTAGAATAATAAGCTGCTAATTTAGAAGAATTAAAGTAAACAAATGAAAGAGATTATAATTATGAAATAGAGTGTATCAAATTCGATTTTCTTAAGTAACAATTTACAGCCAAAGATTTTGCCTCCACTGTTCTTAGTTTAACAAATAGAAGAGTTATCAAATTCCCTAATATTATTAAAGCTTTATTCTATTTATTAGGGTATAAAAAAGAAGAAATCACATAAGAAAACAAATTGAATTGGAAGATTGTGGCTTCCTATATAGATTATAGATTTTTAGCAAAATTAGCACTCATTAATCATAGAGGACCAAAAGAAGCTCCACTTTAACATGCTACAATATTTAGATTAGAAAGATTGATAGATATATATGATGAAGAAAAAGTTATGAATTACAATTGGGCTTTAGGATATTTACAAAGATTTCTCACTTTGTATTGTAAGTTAAGAAGAGAGGATGTTGCAATTAGAAAGGAAATATTGCAGGAAAAGAGAGTGTAATTGTAAGCTGCAAAAGAATAATTAGCCTAGTTATTAGTATAACATTAATCAAATAATAATAGGAATAAAAAGAAATAGATTTATAAGCAGCAAAAACAAACTTTTAAGGAGAGGAAGGTGAAGAATTTGATGAATAGAAATGGATAGAAGAATGGGAATCTGAACATAATCTACCAGAAATTGGATCTGAACCATAAGATGAAATTGATGATGACTTAGAATGATATTCATAAATTAAAAATAGAAATTATAAATCTAAGTAATTCTCAAATAATATTTATGTTATGCCTTAATTTACTATTATATATAAAGATTAATGATTACTTTTAATTAAAAAAAGTATTTTAAAGTAAAAGTTAATAAATCTTAGAGAATTTATAGTTAGTAGTATAACATAATTATAGGGAAATTATCAAGAATTTAACTTCATTAAAAATCAATACTATATTATATTAGAGGTAATTAATTTATACAATAATTATTTATGATTAAAAAATTTTCATATTTTACTTATGAATCTCTTCCTGTTTATACAATGGTGACTTCATTAGTATTAGATAGTAGTGTACTATAATTTTACTTAGTCAATGTAAGAGTTAAAAATGAATTAGAGCCTACATTTGCAATAACAGATTAAAATTCTATGATGTCATTTAGCAAGTATTCAAAAACAAAATTCGCCTTATAATTGAGATTGTCTACAGAAATAGAATAAATTGATGATTCTTTGAAAATTAAAAGATGGGGAAGTTTTGGTATGAATTATGAAGAATTATCATAATTGCTATATCCAAATTTGTTACCAGGATAATAATTTGCTTTATGTAGATTGATTGATTATGAATTATATAGAAAATCAATAAAAATAATTATTAGGTAAATTGTATGATAGCCATTTCAAACTAATATTTAAAGAAAATCCTGATCAAGAAAATCAATTAACTTATATAATAAATCCAGATTAACATGGACAATTAAGAAAACAAATAGAAGTATTAAAGTAATAGCATTTTTTAGAAATCATTAACATGGATAGCAGGTTGGCATCATCCAAAATAATTTTTAAAGAATTTAGATTTATGAAAGTAAATAATTTGATTATAATTTACAATATTTAAAAACCAGAATAATATATTTTATTTTACTTAATTTTAATGATTTCATTAGACCAATTGATGCTTTGGTGTGAAAGCAACACCACTTGGATCTAGACTGCAGAGTACAATTTTATCTTCTCCTGGAGCCAACTCTAATAAATAGTTATCTCCAATTTCAGGCTTTAAGAATTTAACACCTTACTTATTAGTTAATGTGTTCTTTAATTTGAATGTTTTTTATGAAGTATTCTTATAATAAAAATAGCCTAATCTAAAATGAATATACAAAAATATAATACCCTTTAGAAACAACTGTTTCCATAGCACAAAATAATCCAGTGGTTAATTGTTATAAGTTTTTGTTTTCTCTAGCTACTTATAACATAACTGCTTTTCTTAATTCAGCATCTCTTGGAACTTATTTTGGTCTCAAAAATTCTGATCCATAAACACTAAATTAATATTCATGTTCATTCCAAGTTGGAACAGCCCATTTAATTTTAATTTAAACTGAATATTTACCTTTTGTCAATTAACCTCCTAAATGAACTTCAATATCTTTTTATTACTTTTAATCAATGAATTAATATTCTCCTTTACCTGTAGTTTTAGCTAATAAAATTCGAACATATGAATATTCATATTTAATATCTTTATTCAATTTATATCTTCTCAATGCCTCTTGATGAACTGTGAAATAGTATTCTCCATCATTTTGAATATCAATATCATATTGAATAGTCTTAGTCTTTTTAGCCATTTATTTAATAGAATTGTATAAATATTCCTTTCTAAAATAACCAACAAAAATTGCTTAGAAGTATCTTTAAAAATCTTTGATTTCCATAAAAAAGATTCCATCATCCTCTTTCTTACCAAATTTGACTTATTATTTCAAATCTTCTGTCCATAATGAACTTCCATCACTCCAATCACCATTCCATTCTTTATTTCCCCATGGATTTCTAATTTTTAAAAGAGTAACTTCTCCTTTTGTAGGATGTGTCACATTATATACTTTTAATAATGAATAAGCATGTCCAGGTTCTAAACCATAATTAGTGTAATTAGGATTTGATCCAAATGTACCACTTGTCATAACACATTTCATATCTGAACATTTTTGTAATTATTATTTGAAATCAGCTGCATTAGTAAATACAATCCAAGTGGGACCACCTGTTATACTTTTAATAACTTCCCTAGGATCACCACCTTCTATATCAGTGTAATCTATATTCATTTTAGCCCAAGCTTTTTCTAATAATGCAACCCACATTTCTGAACCTGCATTCTTAGAAAATGCTGGATTACCCTAACTATTAACAGGAATAAAGTCATCCAATATCACAACTTTCCATTCACCATCTAAACATAATCTAACAGCATATAATTTTTCATTATTTACTCTTTAACTTATGAATAGATCCTTAATTACTTCAGGCCTTAGATAAATAATTTATTTAATACCATCTACATGCTATTGTACTTATTGAAGATAAAAAGTAACAATCTCCAAGAATTCCTTATTTAATATCTCTATGAGAGATCCATTTTCCTAATCCAACTCTACTTTCTTATGAATCATCTACATTAAACATTTTTAGATTAGTTTAAAAAATGTCACTCATTCTTTTCCATGACAATTAACAAAATTTCATTCCTAAACTTCTTACTGATGCTGGAAACTCTTTATCAACAAATACTTATTTTGATTTTCTTAATTCCTCTCTTATTTTTACTAATTCTTTTGCACCTGTAATATGTAAATCAATATTTAAGAAATCAGCAAAATCAACTTCATCATCTTTTACTTCTTATTATTCAACATCTTCAACAGGTACAGGGGCTTAAACTGGTTCATCTTATTATTGTTTTTCTTCCATTTATTATCTTATAGTATATTTAACTTATTCTTATTATGGATTTTTATTTTAATTATCTACTATTTATTCCCATTGTTGAAACAATTATCTTAAATGATCACATGAGAATTTTAAATTTCCAATTTATTTTTTAAGTGATTGATATTCTTAAGGTGTAATTGAAGTGTGGAAAAATTCAATAAGTTCTTTTGATTCTCTTTCTTCTAATGCTAGATCTCTGTTTTTATCAAAGAATTTGAATACTCTTTCTATATCAAGTCTTTTGGCTCGATAATTTTGAATTATTATTGTAATTGTTTATAAGTCTTATTTAGATAATACTAGTTCAATCTTTTCTTAATTTTCTGTTAATTTCTCTAGGATTTCTACTGTCAATCCAACTAAACTTTTATAATCAATCAAAGCTTTCTAATAAAATCTATCACAATCTGTTATTGTAATTGAAGGGTCAATTGATCTAATTAATTTTCTAAAATGCACTTGTGCAAGAGTTGGTCGACCAAAATCTTGAACAACCTATCTAAATGGCTTTTGAATTGCCAATTTATATAATGCTTTCAAAATCTGATCATCAGATCCCATTATTTATTAAAATAAATATCTTCTCTAATAAATAACAACACTTGGCTTAAATATCGAATTAATATATATATATTTATATGTATTTATCTTTTATTTCATTATATAAATTTAGTTAAAATTAGATACAATAGATATATTTTCTCTTTATCATAATTTGTTATATTGTTTTTTTTTTTATAAAGAAGGGTAAGAATATAAAGTAATCAAACTAATCATAGTAAATTGGTTTGTTTTATTTTGTAAAATTCAATATTAAATAAAAATGATCATGTTAATTAATATCTAATTATTTAGTTGTGTTTAAAATAAGAAAAATAGTTAATGAGCTTTGTTTTATTAAATTAATAATAAAATGAAAAAAATTAATGGAGGAAAAAAATAGTCATTTGTACCTGCAGTTATTACTATAGAATTTAGAATTCAAAAAAGAAATCAAAGTACATATATCATTTATGCTTATTATCTAGTCGCTGATCTAATATAAGCTAATTCTCTACTTAAAGAGATGAATGAATAGATCATTTTAGCCAGAGTTAAAGAAATTGAGAACACAATTTATTTAGAACATGCAGTCAATGTTCATTTGTATAGTAGTAAAATTGAAAAGGTTGTTTCGCTATTTAAAGGCATAAATTAAAATAATTATATAAATATTGCTTAAAAATTAAAAAAGCAAGAACTTGCTACTCAATCCATCTTCAAATTATTAGAAAAGAAAAAATAACTAAAAGATTATGATTAAGATATTTTAAATAAAACTCTATAGAAATCAGAATATGATCCTCTGAATACCAAATAAATTAGTTCAAAAAAAGCAGTTTTAGTTGCTAACAAAATTACAATTGTTAAAACTAAAAATTAAATAACAGATTAAAAAGGTAATTTTGCAGCAAAACCAAATATGGTTTTTGCAGAATCAATTTAACCAATAGAACCAATTTAAGAAAAAAAAGTTAAGATCTAAGAAAATGGAAAAGATGATGATGATGAAATAGACATAAGAATTTATGATGGAATATAAGGAGCTCCATCAATAGGAGTGTATTGTTCAAAATAAATAATTTTATTTGATAACAAAATTAAAATACCTATTGTTCTATTAGTTTAATTCCCCCCTTAATATAGAGTTTTATGTGAAAAGATAGATTTTTCCAAACTTCATAATGCTAAAGAAACAATCCAATATTTATCTTCAAATATTGAAAGAAAGATCTTATTTGGCTAAGTTGTATTGAAACCTTGTGAATATACAAAAAATTTGAAAGAATTAAGTGAAAAAATTATTAAATAGGATAAAATAGTAGCATAAAAATTTGACAAAGACAATGCATCTTTCTTAATATTACATAAGAATCAATTAGAATAAATTCTAAAGGCTAGAAAATAAAGTTTAGCATTTGATGCATCTGATATGGTTATAAGAGAATGGACAAAATAATAATCTTATTTAGAATGGTGGGCATTGAATAAACAAGATCATAATCTACATTTTTTGATATCATATAAAAGTTTAACAAATACTACTGATCAAATTTATGATAAAGTGACACTTTAAAAACCTTCTTGTTATCCTAAAATTTAATAAACTATTGATTCCTTAAAATAGAAAAAGGATATAGATGATTTATTATAAGGATTCCTTTAAACAGATTTATTTCAAGGTTAATAATTTGGTGATATGTTTTAAGAACTCAATCCAATATAATAAATTAATGATTTATAAATTCAATTAGAAGAAGTAGAGAAAATTTAATAAGATTAGGATGAAGAATAATAAGATATTAAATAATTGGATAAATCTGAAACAAATAGAAATAGTGAATAGGAAAATAAATAAATAAATTTCAATATTAAAATATCAGAATTAACTCTGTAATTATCAAAGGATGACTATTTCTGACAATTTGATCAAATATAAGGGAACAATAATTAAATATTATCTAATTATAAATTATTTTAATAAATTTTATTGTATGACTAAATCCCACTTACTAATAATAAATGTATTTTAAGTCACAACTATTTGTCATAAAGTATATACTATTATTAGCTAGACAGTCTATATCTTAATATTTTGTTTGCCTTTTTTTTATAATAATAACAATAATAATTAAAATTGTGGCAAAAATATTAAAAAAGTTGAAAAGCTATATTTTATAAATTCTTTTAATGTTATTCTAGATTTATCAAAATAGATTAAGAATAGAAATATTTTAGTTTTAAATTATTATTTTTTTACATCAATATATTTATATTAAATTGATAATGGAAGGTAAATTTGATTTCTATTTAGACATCTTTAAATCACCCTCTAATAAATTCTTTATAATTAAATACAAGACCAGAGGACAAGCTGATTAAAGTCTAAATAATAAAGTGATTTTCTTACAAAAAAGATTTGATTAGTAATTAAGGAATGCAGCCTAAGTATGTGAATAAGTAGGAGTCTTTTTGAGTTGTTTGGATCAACAATCATTTATTGCTTTTGGTACAATTTAGAATGAACCAACTGATTTCGATTATCTTACCGTATTTCTTAAAAGTTATCTCATTAGGAGGAATAATAGCAAAATTTGAGTAAATTACAAGAGTTTTTCTAATCATTTGTTAAAGTAGAGTGGATATTTAAAGGCGTGCTTAATTTTGAAAAAACTAAAAATATCAAAAATGATTTGAATGAAATGAAACCAGTCAATCATTGTAAAGATGTCTAAGAATTAACTTGTTAGACAGCAGAATAAGTATAATATATATAATTATTCAAAGTTATTATCATTACTTTAAAAATAAGAACCTTATAAACCTTAAGTTTAATGGGGTGTTGTGATACCACAAAAATTTGGTGAAATAATTAGCAAAAATTTTAGACAACATGATAATGATAAATAAAAAAGTAGTAAAAGTAGAAGTCGTCATAAAGAAAAAGATAAAGATAAAGAAAAAGATAAAGATAGAAGAAAATCAAGCAAAGATAGAGGAAAAGATAAAAAAAGTTATGATCGTAAAAGTAGGGAAAGAAGGAGTAAAGATAGAAGAAGCAAAGAAAGAAGTTAAAGAAGAAGCAAAGATAAAAAAAAAAAAAAGCAATGAAAAAAAAGATAACAGAGAAGATATAAAAAGCCAAAATTTATCAGAGTTTGTTGTATATGATAGTATTCTAATACATAATAGATAATAGATAAGGATTAAAGAGAAAAAGAAAGACAGACAAGAGAAAAAGAATACTAGAAAGAAAAAGATTAAAGAGAGCAAAGAGAAAGAGAGAGAGCAAAGGAATAAATAGAATAGAGAGAAAGAGACAGAGAAAAAGAGTAACGTTAATAAAAAGAATAAGAAAAGAGAGATAGAGAAGAAAAGGAAATGTTAGAAAAATTAAAGCTAAAAGAGAAAGAAAAGGAAAAAGAAAAAGATAGAGATAGAGAAAAAGAAAAAGAAAAAGAAAAAGATAGAGAAAAAGAAAAAGAAAAAGAAAGAGAGAGGGAAAGCAACAAAGACAGAGAAAAAGATAGATAAAGAGATAAAGACAAAGATAATAATAGAGATAGAGAAAAATTTGATAAAAGCAAATATGATAAAAAAGATGATCATAGATAAAAAGAGAGGAATGACTCTAAATATGATTATGATAGAAAGCAAAAAGATAAAGATAGAGAAAGAGATAAAAATAGAGAAAAGTCCAAAGAGAAATCTTTTGAGAGATCGGATAGAAAAGATAGAGAGAGAAAGAAAGATAAAGATAGATCGAGAGGTGGTGACAAAGAGAGAGATAGAGATTACAATAATAAGAAACATAAAGATTATAGAAGAGAAACAACAAAAAAGAGAAGCGAGGAGAGATCTAAACCTCGATCTAGAAGTGAAGACAGAAGATAAGGTCATAACTCAAATAAAAATAAGAAGACCTTTGATTTAGCTTCATAAAGCGAATAACCAAGAGAAAACTAGTACCAAAAAATTAATAAAATAGTTCATCTGTGTCATTATCTTCCCATAAATAAGTGTAAGAGCAACAAGATCTTGAATTAGAATAAACATCAATTAGACCAGAATAGAAGGACCAAGTAGATCTTGGAGTTATTTTGAATGTTTTGGATTCCCCAATAAAAAATACCTAATAATTTTAACCTTTGATTTAACCTGTTATAATTACACAAGCTGAATAATTAGTATTAACAAAACAGAGTGAATCACAATAATCAAATATTCTAAATAGTGATTCTAAAAAAAGGATATTATTAGTAAATTAAGAAAAAAGCTAAAGTATGCCAGATAGTGTTGAATAGCAAAAATAATTAAATCCAGGTTCTATGAAGATCATAAAAGATGCTCCATCAAAAAGTATATAATAAATAACTAATCAACAAAGTTAAGCAAAAAAGTCAGTGGTAATTTAAGACTAAAAACAAGTATTCATTATTATATATTCAAAAGGGAAGTGGAAATTAAATTAGGGATAGGATAATACTTAAAAATAAATGAGATTAATTTAACATTCAAGCAATAACTTATTTTTACATATATCTTAATTAGTTATTTATATCATATAATATCAGATTGGTTATCTTGAATGTTTTTAAAGTTTTATTAATTTATATAAACTCTAACTACAACTCAATAATTTAATCAATATGAAGGAAAGCAAACTTACAGAATTCTACTTTGAGGATGATACCAAGTCTAGATAATTACCTCAACCAATTGATCATATTAACAAAAGTTACTCTTTAGAAAATGATATGGTTTTAGGATGGGTTCCTACATAATAACAGGAAGAGATGATAAATGTATAGTTCTATAATGAATTGAATGATCATCTAATTGAGTTTTACAATTAAAATGACCCAAATAAGATAGTTTATTTAGGTTATAGGCCAAATGAAGCAATGCAATTTCATAAATAATTCTCAACATAATCTAATTATAAAATCAAAAATACTAAAAATTATAAAGTCAAATAATCTCAAAATTAATAGTTATTTGTAGGAATGAATCCAAATTTTGAATACGAAATAAAATTTAATTCATAATTTGAAAGTGGGAACTTAGATCTAGCAATTTAGAAATCTGAATTAGAATATGATTTATACATGAGAGTTGATACAAATACTAAAGGTCATACACTTTGGTATTACTTTGAAGTTACAGGTTTGAAAAATATTGAATCAATTAAATTTAACATTTGTAATTTTCGTAAAAAAAGGTGTTTATATGAACGCGGAATGAAACCTTATATTTAAAGAGATTCTTAAGATTGGTAATAAGAGGGAGAAAATGTGAAATATGGGGCATATAAATGTTAATTTAAAGAAATTTAAAAATAATATTATTGTCTGACATTTACTATTATGAATAAAAAAAAGGATGATAAAATAAGGATAGCCTATTGCATTCCATACACATTTAGTAAATTAAATAATTTTTTAAAATCCTTAAATTCTTAGTATATGGAATAATCATTTTTTTGTTACTCTTTAAGTGGAGTGTAAATTCCTAAATTAACATTCTCTAAAGGAAATATTTTAAAGAAAAAAATAGTTGTAATATAAGCACGAATTCATCCTGGAGAATCAAATTCATCATGGGTTATGTAGGGTTTGTTAGAGTATTTGAGTTCAAGTCAAGCAGACAAATTATTAGATTAGTAAGTAATAAAATAATTATAAGATTAATTTTTGTGATAGTCCCTATGATGAATGTTGATGGAGTAATATTTGGTAATTATAGGACAGGTTGTGCAGGGAGAGACTTGAATAGATAATTTAGAGATAGTTGTAAGAAATTATATCCAACAGTTAATGCAATGAAATAATTGATATCTGATTTGTATTAAGTATATGGAGATCAAATTGTTGGTTTTATAGATATTCATGGACACTCAGGTATCATATTTCCATTTTATTAGAGCCAAAAAGAATGCATTTCTTTATGGACCCGAATTTCAATTGTGGAATTGCAATTATTATAAATCAAGATTATTTGCTAAAATTTTATCTCTCAAAACTCAAATTTTTCGTTATTATTCATGTCTATTTAGAATAAATAGATGTAAAGTCAATACTGCAAGAGCTGTCTTTTGTGAGAAATATGATTTTGTTAATTGCTTTACATTAGAAGTATCTAACAGTAGTTATTATTATGAATAAAATACAGAGAATTTCACTGAATAGAAATGGATTTAGTTTGGGTAAATATTTGGAGAATCATTTAATGATTTTATAATTCATTTTTAAGAAATAGATACTTTATTTTGTGATTTTAAGGATAAGAAAGTTTGTAAATAAACAAAAAAAAAATTTAATAATCAAATAAATGAAGAAAAATAATTGAATCTTTAGAGGATTTGTTAAAATTCAAAATATTCTGAATTATTTGATGAAATGAAAAATGATTAACCAAATTTATCATTTTCAGAGGGAGAGTCTGATAGTGAAAGGGAATCTGATGATTTGGATGATGAAATTTTGAATAATGTAATTTTGACTTCAAATAAATAAAAAAAAATTAAAAAATCTAAAAAATCTTTAAAAGTAAATGATTATAAAAAACAATCTATAAGGAGTGAAAATAATTCAGCAATACACAATCATACAGTGTTTTTAAGTAAAAAATAATTTTTAGAAGATCAACCAAATAATATCTTTCAATAAACTTAAAATTAAAACATTTATAGGAGAACAAGTTATAAATAATATAAATAAGATGATAGAATTAAAGATAATTAAACTTTTACTTTAACAAGCAAAAATTCAATGGAATCTAGTAATATAAAAACATTTAGAGCATCATATATTAGTGGATTTTAACCAAAAATTGAATAAATGAGTACTCAGAATAGAAATAAATCTCCTATCAAATTAAAAACATTAATACATGAAGCTAAATTGAGAGGGTAATCTGAATTGAATTGTGAAATTAATGAAGAAAATATGGCTGATTAAATTTTTGAACCTTATATAAAAAGACCATAGTTGAATTAAACAAATAATAAAAATATTAAATTTGGAAATGTCTGCTCTCCTACTAAAGATTTCGTTTTTTTAAATGAATTAAATACAAAAATAATGTAAAATACTCATTTTCCTACAGATTAAGGTTGTACTTATAATGTTACTGCTATCTATCATGGAATAAATAAACATTAAAAAAAACCCAATAATTATAAGTTTAATAAAATGCAAAAATTTTAGAAAACATAAAATCCCTCAATTAATTTAAGAAATACTTTATAAGTATAAAAATTAGGAACAACAGAAGATTCTTTTGGAATTATAATAAAACCTAAGCTTTTTTCATCACCATAGATTGATGAAGCATTAGGTTAAACAGAACAATCTAAAAGTGCAATGAATTAATATTAGAATTCTTCAATAAGTTAAAAACCATAAAAACAATTGGTTCCATCTTCATTTTATTCAATTAAAAAACATTGGACCAACACAAGAGGTATTCAATAATACCTTAATTTTAATAATTGAAAATGAAGTAAAACTTTTTGTTTATAATATAAATTTTGATATATATTAATTGGGTCACACTTTAGAAAAAAACTTTTTTTCCTAATTAATTCTTTCTAAAGAGAGTTTTTGTCCTGAAGCCTTATAAAAATTTGATTTCTAATTTAACATTTAACGAGATCGAGGATTATTTTTAACTGATTAAATCAATGGAATAATATCCTGAGATTTTGCAGATCTATATTAATTTAAATTGATACCTTCCTTAACTATGATATGATGCAACACATGGAGTATTAGGTTATAAATTTGTATGTGAAATCCATTCTTTATAGATAGATTTTGTTTATGCTTCTTAAGGTGATTCATAAAAAAAAGAGGAACCAAATATTACTGGTAAATTCATTGATTTACCTTAAGCAATTTTTTTTCTAAAATCTAATTCTCCTCTTTGAGACTCCTTTTCATCTAAATTCATTTTTAAAGGATCAGGTTTAAATGGAGGTTTAACTTTTTTAAGTGCTAATTATTTAAAATCAATTTAAGAGAAAAAAGGATGTTTTAAAATTTCCTAAACACCTCCATTTGCACCTAATCTCTAGATTGGATCTTTTTCAAGAAGTGCAACCAATAAATTTTTGACTTCTCTAGACAATGTTAACTTAAATAATATAATAAAATTTTACATCATTAGGAAATGTTAATTTAGAATATAAAATATCTTAGTAAATTTGATTAGTATTTGTTGAATAGTAGGGAGGTAATCCTGTAAGCAATTCATATAATAATGCTCCTAAACAATAAAAATCTACTGTTTATGAATGTCCTAGTTTTAACAACATTTCTGGTGCCATGTATTCAGGAGATCCACAAAAACTGTATGCTTTTTCTTCTCTTCCAATTTCAGGTTTACTTAAACCAAAATCTGCTATTCTAACATGACCTTCAATATCCATTAAAATATTTTCTGGTTTTATGTCTCTATATAATATATTTAAAGAATGTATCTCTTATAAACCCTAAGAATAAGAATTAATTTATATACCAAACAAATTTCTGATATGTAAAAACATGCTTAATCTTCACTCATTCTTTTAATCTATTTAAGTTGAAAAAAGAGTTCTCCTCCTTGACAGAATTCCAATACAAAAACAACAAATTATCTTGATTCAAATGCATATGATAAATGTAATAAAAATGGACTATTGAGTAATGTCATTATATTTCTTTCATTTAAAACAATTTACTATTTCTTTTTTGCAATAATAAATTCTTTATCAATTAATTTTAATGCATAGAATTTTCCAGTATCCTTTTTTCTAACAAGATACACTAAAGAAAAGCCTCCTACTCCAATATTTTTTAAAAATATAAAATCTTTAAGACCAACTTTTGGATCAGGTGATGCTTATAACAAGAATGCTTCTAGTTTCAATCCTGAATTCATAAATACATTAAATGATAAGTCTGGTTAAGCGATATAATAATCTATAGAGATTGAATGTTATTAAGATACAAAACTAACTATTTAATTAACTGATGGTTTATCTTTTAAATTAGCATAACATTCTTATGGATTTGCAAATTCTTAATCATGTAATCTTTGTAAAATTTGAAACCAAATTTATTTCATATTAAGACTAAAGAAATATTACTATAGACTTACTGAGATTCAAAATAAAAATAAAAGTCTTAATTTCCAAATTTAACAACAACATTATGATGTTTGACTTATTACATTTATTCATCTGGACCTAAACTTTTAGCTTTGCTTAATACTGATGCAGGATTTCCCATATCAGTTTTGATAGTTCTTTTTACTGATTCCATTGCTTCTATTGTAACAGATTATGCAGAACGCTTTTATTATCCACCTTAATTGTTAACGAAATTTGCATTAATGAAGAACTTATTTTATTAAGCAATAGAGTTCTATGAAGATCTTTGTGTCTATTTGCTCAATTATTATTTCATTCGTATATCATTCTTTTTCTGTTTATATAAGTAAAACTTTTCTAATGCATTATCTGGTATTTAATCTATTGATTGTTATTTATTTTATGAGGTTTTCCGATGACTAGGAGTTGTGTGTAATTGATTCATTTAGCTTTTTCTAGAGAATGAATCTTATGATCCTATTCTTAATACACCTTGATGTTGCATGTTAAATTTTGTAGTTTAATTTAATATAATTTAGGAAATACAATATAATAAAATCGATTGTTTTCAATACTTGTAAAGAGAATTTTCAAATATTTTTATAAAATTTGAGTAATTGTTTTTAATACAATCTCTATTTTAAGAATTGAGTGATTTCTATTTTAAACACATTAATATTTACATTAAATAATGTATCTAAATTTATAAAATTTCATTATGTAATCGAACATTAGGATACTAATAAATATTAATCATAAACACTCCAAAAATTGATAATTTAATTATGAACAAAATACTTAATTTACTTTTGAGGTCTTTCAAAGCATTATTAAAACAATAACAGAGACTTTAATAGTTGTTTGATGAATAGTTTGATATGATGTTTTTTCTATTACTAGTTAATGGGGTATATCTTATTTAATTATAATATAATAACAATTCAGCAATCGGATATCTGCTGTTTATTTGGTAAAGAGGACAAACTTTCCATAGATCTGTTTGTGGAACCTTATGCTAAGAATTCATCAGCCATCTTATTCCAGAAGCAAGCCGATTTTATTACTACTCTATCTACTATTGATATTTTTTTTGGAATAATAAGGATTGAGTTTTGATCTCTAATTGTTGTATGAAGTCGTTGCTACCAGAAGTTTAAAGAATTCTCTATAATATTATCCATAGATTCAATTAATTTCTATATTTATATTATTATTATTAATACCTGATGTGTTAAAACAATATGAGTAATAAAAATTCTAGAAGGGATTAGAATTTTTAAAGAAACTTATAAAACAAAGAATATGATTTAAATCTGATTTTATTTCTATTGGTTGTATACTGTATTTGTCTTTATTATTTCTAATATTTAAATAATAATAAATATTTATTTTTATTATATATTATGCTAATGATGAGACATTTGATTAAGTGAAATTCATGATCTTTGATATAATCTTCTCTCTGAATTTTTAAATGTGTAATTTTTAATATATTATATATATTTATATTATATAATTAACAATGGAATAATAACCCCTAAGCAATAATAGAGTAAAAACTAATGTTAGTTTACAATTAGTAAAATAATGAAGAAGATTAATTAACTTAAAAAAGAGAATTGACATCATATGAGTCTTGCCTTGATTGTTGTGGAAATGTATCTGGATGTTTGAGAGTATTACCAAACAATTGATTTAAGGCTTGGCTTCCTTGTATATTTTGTTGTTGTGAAAATCCATTCTATGCAGTCTAACAGAGTTCTTTGGGATTAGTTGAGAAGTTTGGAAAATATCATAGGAGTTTACCACCAGGTCTAAATTAAATCAATCCTTGCACTGTAATTTTTTGTAATTTATTATGAAAGGATACTGTTATACAAGTAGATTTAAGAACTAGAGTATTGGATTTAGATAGATAGATTATTCTAACAAAGGATAATATTTAAGTTAATATAGATACATGCATGTATTTTAGAATTATTGGTAGGTAACTGATATTCCAACATTTTATATAGATCCAGTAAGAGCAACTTATAGAGTTTCAAGATTGACATAATCTGTTAAAGATATGACATATGCAGCATTGAGGTAAGTTTGTGGAGAACATCAATTACAAGATCTCTTGGAACATCGAGAATTAGTCTAAGATTCAATTGAAGCTTACTTAGATAAATCAACAGAATAATGGGGAATATATATTGAAGAAGTTTTCATTAAAGATATGGTACTAACTCCATAGATGTAATCTGATTTGGCAGCTGCAGCCAAAAATAAAAGAATAGCTTAAGCAAAAGTTATTTCTGCATAGGCTGATGTTGAAAGTGCAAAATTGATGAAAGAAGCTGCTCAAGCCCTTGATAGTAAGGCTGCTATGTAGATAAGATTTTTGGAGACACTTCAACTTTTAGCCAAAGGACCATCATAAAAATTAATGTTCTTACCTTTAAGTCCAGAATCTTAAGGAGCACATAATGGATGAGACTATTTTGTTATTATAATAAGATAGATATATAATTCAAACTTTAAAATCTTGTGGAGATATCCATTTTACTTTTTCAATCATCCTAAATTGATGTTATGGTACTGATTAATTTCTACTGATATATGTTGTAATCAAATTAGATTATGCAGGAGTGCCACAACGAAATTGTTTAGTTCCTATGATTTTTTTGTTTTTCTCTCTTTCCTCTTCTAATTCAAGTTATTTCTATGTTTTATAAATATTATCAAATTATGTTTCAATTTGCAAAGGATTTTAGAATGGTTTTCTTAAATTTAACTTTTAATTCCAACATTCTTTTGGATTATGATTTGATAATTTAATTCCCCTATTTTAAGATAAAAATCCAGGGACCCACATTTATTTATTATTTGATTCAACTAAAGAATCATCAATTGATGGATGAAGTAATTTCATTATTTCACCAGATGTTTTATGAAATTATGGTTTTTATTCAATTTGATCATCAAATTAAGTTAATGTTTAACCTTTTAAAGGGGAATTTAATCCATTTTAAGTATTAGTAAATGAAACAAATTTTCGAGATTGATTATTAGAAGTTCTAGCAGTTTATCTATATGAATTATCATTCTAAATAAAATAATATATATATATACTGATAATATTTTATCTAATTCTTTACTTGGCAATTTTTAAATTTGTTATTTGAATCTTCTCTTTCCTATTGCATTATTTACAACAACATCTAATTTATCAGATTTCTTAGCAGCATAACCAGCATGATGAAATTCAGTAATCACATTAAATTTTATTGTTTTTTAATGAGCTTAATATTTATTTTTACTCATATGTTCAAGAAATATATCCATAGCATTATCATTTTATTTTATAGATGCAATTTCTATTGGTATTGAATGAGCTTAACCTGAACATAATTTAGTTAATTAATATCCCATTAAATTCTTTAATACAACTGTTGTATCTTTATATTTTCTTTTTATAGCAAATTATGTCCCTATAATATTATCAGATATCTATATTATTAATGGTCCTATAAATAGAAATACAAATATATATACCTTTCGTACAATCAGCCAAAGTTTAAAAGGTTTTCTTAGGATTTACAAAATTGAATGGATGCACATCCCATGAATTTTTATAAGGTACAACAAATTCAAATGGTACATCATTAAATAAGAAATGATGCATTTGATTTTTTCTTAAAGAACAAACAATTTCATTCTCTTTAGATACATATAAGGCATCTAATTCTTTCATTCCTTTAACCTTATATTGAGGTGCTTTCATAATATATTTACCAATTGTTTTAAATTCCTCAGCAGCTTTTCTAAAATGAATTCCAGCATTTCCTTTACTCACCCATTCACCTGTATCATAATTAAATCCATATAAATCTCCTGTTACATTGTCAAGAAAGAAATCTGTCTATTTAATATCAGTTAAATCTTTTTTGATCTTTGATAAATCCCCCAATTATCCTCCATTTAATCCATTAATAACGCTTATTTACTAGTAAATAAAATTATTAATACACACTCAACATTTGATGCTATCAAGAAAACTAAACCTTACATGGCAAATGATGATGCAAAAAGGATCTTGTTACTTCTAAGACACATCCTTAAAAAAATTAAATACTAATTGATATTGAATTTAATACTTTATATGCATTTGGAGACCATGGTCTAAGATTTGCATCTCCTTCAAAAAATATAATATCTATTGAATCAAACATTTTGCCACATTCAACTCTCACAAAAGAACTATCTATTTCATACAACAAATCATCAATAGAATCTCTGTCACGAATAATGAAATCAATTTCAGTATCTATCATCTCTTTTTTACTAAGCAAAGCTTCTTTGATTATCAATTTGTATTGCTCAAAGTTTTTCATTCCTTTGTAACTCTTTCCATAACCATTAATGATTAGAATTTTCATTTAATTAATTATATATTTCTATATATATATATATATAGTTTGAGAAATTCTCATATGAATAAATATGAAATACTTATTATATCTATATCAAGTAGACAAATAAATCTTAATTTATTGTTAAAGTCTTTTTGAATATTGGAAAATTATTTATAATAAATTTGATTATGTAATCATTAGATGGTTCTTCGAGAGGTAAATAATACAAATTACTAAGATATCATTAATTCGATCGATTCTGCCAATAAAATCACAGCAAAATAGTTTATGAAGTAAAACTACACTGACACGGAGGCTAGAATCAAAATTAATAAATTACATGATTTACCTCCAGAAGAAATATTGAATCAATCCTAATTAGATTAACAAGGAAAGCAAATTACTATCAAATCTACACTAACTATTAATGCACTCTATGAGAAGTCCAAATTTTAAGTAAACCATAATTTAGAATATTTATAGATCATTATTGAATCATTTCTTTATGGTTTTGCTAATTTCCCTTTACTATATTACATAATTTTACTAATTGCTTCTATTAATTATGAAGTCATTGGTTTTTATAATCAATTATATATGGGATTGTAAATAGTTTTCTGCTTTTTAATATCATTTTATGATACTTTTATGAATAAAATAAATCTTTATAGATCAATAGAATAAGCTGATTAATAATAAATATTTGTCTATATTGAAGATGAATTTAGAGAATGCAGTCTAGGTCAATTACAACCAGGTCATTTAATTAAACTCTTACCAAAATAGAAATGCCCCACAGATGGAATAATAGTAGGGACTAGTGGAGTTTCTGAAAATATACCAATATTAGAAATTGGAGGTTAGACAATCACTCGTAAGGCAGGGGTTGCAAACTTTAGTGTTGGAAGATAACTTGAAGGCAAATTAGAATTCGATTCTGAAGATAAGAAGGTTAGAGTTACTATCAAAATGGAAACAGCCTAATTCAGTCATGATTTCTAGTATGTGAATTTCAACATATTTTTAGACAACAAAATAAAATTAGAATTTTATAAGCCAATAATTCATTTGATGAAATCTATATCCTAGTAACTGGTTAAACTTTGTAAGAACAAAAAGAAATATAGAGTTCTGCCTATGAAAAAACAAAAATTAATCCAAAATTAGGATTTTCTTTACATATTCAAAACATTATCATCATTATATTTACACTTCTATTATCTGTAACTTTATTAGCTGCTCACTTTATACAAACTAAATATATTTATCTAGATGATAAGGTGAATGAAGGATAAATGAAAACTTTCTTATAATTTTTATGCACTTTCAGTTGGGGAATTCCCATCATGTAGATTCCATTAATATTAATAATTAATAGGATTTCTAAATTCTAAGCTGAACATGATCGTCTGATAGAGTAAAAGAAATTATTAATTTTTTTTATAGTGTTGATATTTCTGGAAAGAAAGTTGAAATTATAAATAGTAATTCCTTAGCTAATATGGCCAGAGCCAAATTTATATTAACTGATTTAAATCTATTAACTAGACAAAGTTTAGTAGTCAATAACATCTTATTAAATAAATAATCTGATGAAATCAATCTTAATGATTTAGTAACAGTTACCCCTATTGAAGATATTGATGATTTAATTTTCTGCTAATAAGAAGTTAAATTTGCACTCTTAGCTTTTCAAACTTCCTAAAAAAGTGAAGAGGATATTGCTACTTAAAAAAGAATTTTGGAATATGGGTTATCTTTAGGAATCAATGGAAATCTAAGAATAATTTAAGATTAAGAATAAAATTAGTAATATTTTTTAAAAAAATTTGAAGTAGTGACTTCAAAATATCTTTTAATTGGTTATGAATAAATTCTAAAAGAAGTATATTTATATTTAATATATTTATAGGATAACAAATAGTATCTTGTTGTTTTTAGATAAAAATTTATTGATTGTAAAGAGTTATTAACATCTGAAATATAATTGCAAATTACTAGTTTATTAGATGCTAAAGATAATCTTAATTAAATGAATATAGTGTTTAGAAAGATTGTTTCAATGCAATATATAGATAAAATAACAAATATGGTTAATTAACAAAAAAAAATTGATGATGAAACTTTAAAATAAATTAAATCAGATGTTGAACCTGTTTTATTCATTGAAATCATTGAAGATTTTTATGATTGTTCTTAAGAAATTATGGATATTAAATAATGTGAATATAAAATATGGATTAACTCTCATATCAAAGATGTATATTGATTTTAATAATTATTAGCCATAAATCTTAGAGAATGATCCAACTATGGCAGGATTATTTGAATAAACTGCTCCTTAGATTATGATATGTTAAAATGGAGATGAACTTTAAGTAGCACTTGATTAAATTGAAAAAAACAGTGTATATTGATTATAGTAATTTAGTAAATCAAAAATGTTGGTAAAGAACTTAACTTATATATTAATGATAGACCTATTTTACTTATTATCGATGATGCAACTTTATAAACTGGGTTAAAGAATCAATTACTTAATGAGAAATTTAAAAGTTTCTTTCTAAAAATACCTCTTGTTATAATACTCAATTCTAAACCACATCTAAATTATTTGTTATAATCAATCATAAAATCACACGAATTAATTTGCATTACTAATTATATCACTTCAACTCCATCAATGTAGATTTGTTTAGGAAATCAAACAGAAACAGCATTTGATATTAAAATGCCAACTTTTAGTTTCTTACCCAAAATTTTAATTGTTCATGGAAGATTAAATAATATTCGATAAGGTTCAGCAATCTCGCTGATCAATTATTTATCTTTTATTTTGTTTTTTATTTAATTTGTCTATTCATGTTACAACAGATTTTCCTAAAACTATTTGTTAAATGAATTTATACTCTTTATAATGATGTTCTTTACTATTTGTTATATTTTCATATTCTTTAGCATGGCTCAGGTATACAATTATTTAACAATTATAGGATTTCCCTTTTGAAATCTTAAGAGATCAACCAGTATATCATTTAATGGTGAGAACACCTAAGAATCCATATAAATTATTGATAACTCAATTTATTTAAGGAGGATTTCATGGAACTTTTATTGTCATATCAATAATTTATACATTTTATGGTTCAAATGATTAAAATGGATATGTTCATGGCTACTAATTACAATAATTTATGACATTTACAATAAGTTTATTAGTGATAGCTTTTAAGCCCATAGTAGATTAATATAAAATTGTAAAATCATAAATGTAATAAATTCTTTAATATTTAGATATTTAGCAATGGCATATGTATTTGTTACAGTGATGATCATCTATAAGAATAATGAATAAATAGCTGATTTATTTGAGACAGGTGTAAAGACTAAAGATTTATGTGCTCTTGTTTTTTATCCTATTTGTGCTTTGAGTCCAAATCTAATTGGATAGTTTATTTTAAGATTATTATAGACAAATGATCTAAATTTATGTCTTTACAAGATGGAATAGAAAGTAAAATTCTATTATCTTATAAAAAGCATGAAGAAGAATCTGAGAATCAGAAATTAAGAGATGCTAAAAATTATATAAGATTATATTAAAAAGAAGAATTAGAATAATAAGAAGACATAGTAAATTCGAAGAAAGTACTTTGAATTTATTTTAATATTTTGTTTATTCAGTATTTAAATTTTAAAAGATATATATAATAATATTTGGTTACATAACAAAATTCATAATTCATTAATCATTTTCCTTACATCAGCATGACTTAATTTTTTTGAGCTTGTCAATAATTTGGCTAAAACCATGACATTTTCATAATGAGTAAATGAAAAATCGATACTTTTGTTTTTAACAAATCTATTAGCCCATGTATCAAATAATGTTAATACATCTTATGCATTGTTAGCCATAACAAAAGTCTTTGCATAATGATTTCTATTTTTTGGTTCTCCTGGAAAAGCAATTACTAGATGTAATAAAATTATTCCTATAGCATAAAATTCATCTGCCATGCCATAATGAGAATCCTTAACATAATTAGCAGTTTAATATCCACAAGTGCCTGTTGTAATGGTATTTTAAGATGTAATAGAATTGAGTTCTTCTTAGGGAAGTCTTTCATCAGTCATTGTGGATAGTTTTTCTTCTCTAACATCTTTTCCCTAATCAAAATCTGCTAAAACAACCTAACCAGTTTATTTGTAACATATTTTACTTATAAATCACCTTTAATATTAATAGTCACAAAAATGTTTTCAGGTTTTAAATCTCTATGTATAATACCTCTTTAATGAATGTATTCTAAACCATCTAATATTTGATTTAGAATGGATTTAATTTTATTAATTTTTTCAGCATTTTGCATAACATTTAAATAATAATAAGAAAATGTAAGCAAGTCTGTTGGTTGATATTTATATCCAGGAAATGAACAATATTCAAGTTACATATATAAATAATAACCATCATTTGTTTATTCAATCCACCATGCAAAAAGTCTGAAATTATTAATAAATTAATATACCTCAAGATATTGGGATGAGTTAACTTAGATAGTATTTTAGCTTCTCTAATTTTTCGAATATCTGGTGTTATTGAAGAATTTAATGCAGTTGTAGAAAATACAGAAAAAAAATCAAGTTAAGTTGCTTATAATTTGCTCTAAAATATAAATTAGAATATTTTTTACTCGTTTTAAAGCATATATTTAATCATCTTCAGGTCTATATACAAAAAAGATTGATATTCCACTCCTTAATTCATCCTAATTAGTTTAAGAAAGTATTATATAATCATTAAAAAATTTGTTATTTTTGATAAATGCACTTCTTGGATCATATATTTTTTATGCTGGTATGATTTACTAAAAAGAATCTATTGCAAAGAATGTTAATGTAATTTTAAGTGGGATCTTTTTAAATTATAAATTAATCTTCTTTCTGTTTATTAATTCTATTATAGATTTAAAAATAAAAGCATAGGCTGTTGATTTTATTTATCCAGTTGATGTTATAAATCCAATATTAATATCTTAATAAAATATTTTTATCAATTTATCACAGGCTTCTTTAAATTGTTGTTTATTTTCAAGTTTTTATAGTTGCAATAAGATATTTCGAATTGCCTTTTTTATTGCTTTTTCAACATTCATAAGATGTTTAAGAAATGGATCATCATTTGTAAAATCCATCCTTATTTAAGAAATTATTAACATTTATGAATATTCTTTACAATCATTACTTTAGATAAACTCTTATCTTTTTTGCAAACTATCATCCTATTATAATATTATAATAATAATACAAGCATCTTTTAAATTTATGTTTAATCTGGTTATGGAACTACTTAATCAAAATGTCTGTCCTCTTCTGGTACTTCCTCAATGACTTTAAACCCATAAAATTAATCAATAATTGAGTCAATTTTTGCTTTTTCACTATTACTATTCATTATAATATTAGTTATATTAAATTGAATAATAATAATATATAATAACAAATACATTTCAATACATAATCCATTAATTAAATAGTGGATGATAATAATATAATTGTCTGGATAAAAAGAACATTGTTATTAATCTTGAGATATTCTAATAAACTAAACAAATTTTTGTATAAAAGGTTTCTTAAATTGAATTTAAAATTAAAAACTTTGTTATAAAAAAGCAAATGAAAAAAATTTATTATCTTTTTATAATGAATAATTTTTAGATTAATTTCTTTATTTATTATGAGAAAAATAGAAAATTATACCGGAGAATAAGCCAGAGCTTATAAAAAATTTGCCTAAAAAGCAAAAGGAAGCAGAGCTGATTTTGAAGCAGATTGTATTATTATCATTTTATTTTAAGTAAACTTTAATGAGGCTCCAAGTAAATTTGTTAAATCGAATGAATCAAAATAGACATTGAAATCAATTAAAGATTAAATAGATTATTTTGGATATGAGATTGAACCATTTAATATGAAGAATGAAAGAGATGTTGGTAAGTTTGATGATGGTGGATATTTTGTATTCGATAAAGCTAAAGATAAATCAGTAAAGTATTAATCATTTTACATTAGTGATGCTTGGTTAGATTAATTAGATTAAAGTAATATGTTTTAAGAGTTACAAGAAAAGGCTTAAGCAGAAAACTCAAAAAAAATATAGAAACAATTAAAAGAAGCTAATAAGAATTATGAAAGAAGGATGTAGAAAATAAGGGGAGATGGTTTTTTTAGTTCAACTAAATTTACATCAAAAGCAGAAGCTGAAGAATTCTATAAGAACAAATAATAAAAAAATGAAGAAGAAGAGGTAGAAGTGGAAGTAGAAGCTAATTAAAAAGTAGAAGAAAAAGAAAAAGAATAATAAGTAATTTAACCAGAAGAATAAGAAGTTAAATTAGAACAGTTAAGAATTGATTAATTAAAGGAAATTCTTTATGAACTTCTTGAAGAAAATGAGAATGCAAATTAGGCAATGAAAAGAGTTAGATAAAAATTAGCTAATAATCAAAAAAAAGTGTTTAAAAAAAATGTTAGGAAAGATAATAGTCAATAAAATGATAATTAAAATTAGAAGGTTTAAGAAAATAATAATGAGGCTAAAGATGAAGCAAAATAAACATTAGATATTTTGGTTGATATCTGTACAATAATAGTAAAAAAAAGTAATGATCCTTCTATTTATAACATAAAAAAAGAAGAATTAATACCTTAAAAGGTGTCTCGTTTAGAAGAAGATGATATATTTTGAAGATTAATTTTAGTATAATTTTTTTATATTTTATATAAAATGAGTTAGAATATTGATTAATTTTTGAAATTTTTCGTATTTGAAGGAGCACTAAGTTTAAATAAAATACTAAACTTAAAATAACTTCAGTTCGCAAATCCCAGACTCATTAAAAGATAATAACCAAACCATTTTGAATTAGCTGAATTAAACAAGAAATCTAAATTAATATCAGAAAATGTATAATGATTTTATAATAAGGCTTTTGATATAGTTTCAGAATTTTATATCTTATTAAAGCAATGTAAATTTGAAAATGTGAGTACTAAAATAATATTCAATTATATGTTAAGTTTACAGTTAAAAAGAAATTATATAGATTGTCTTCATTTAAACACAACTGACAAGAATTATATTATATGTGTTGATATTATTCCAGAATACAAAGAATAAATTATTAGATAAATGTATAGTTTTGTTAATTGGGTTGTACTTTATTAAAAAGGATAGACTACTTATGGTGAATTTAAAACAGAATACTAAGATTATGCTCATATTCAAATCTTTGAAAACTAAAAGAAATTAATTTTAGTGATTGGATATAATAAATTAGAAACTGAACTATTTTTATCCATAAACCTAGTAAGAAATTAAAACTATATGAGAAATAATTTATCATTATTAAATATACCTGAATATAGATAAGATACATTTTGTTCAATTTTATATCATTTTGTAACTATTATCAGAAAAATGTTAAGATTTGCTGATACAAAAAGATATGATTCTGAATTAAGATAACTTATTTCTGCTAATGCTTCCATTTTGATAGAACATCCAGAAAAATAAAAACATATTCCATATTTAGGATCATTCAATCATTGTGATTTTGTGCTCTTTGATTTTAAGTTAACAAATTAATATGAATTTGATAAAAGACTTAAAAATTTCTAATATTAAAAAGAATTAATAATATCCATTATTGGAAATCTAAAGACACTTTATGTTAAATCTAAAGATGATATGTCATATTGTTTTGTACTTTCTGGATAATATTTACTTGTAACATTTTAGTATAATATTGATGGAGCAATTTTATTGAAAGAAGAAGAATAAAGAAATAAATTAATTGCAGAATGCTATGAATTTGTGGAATAAGATTTCGATTATGGAATAAAGAAAATTATAATAACAAACCAAGAAAAAAATCAAAAAAAAGAAGAAACTTTGAAATCATAAAGAAATTAAAAGATAGCTGATTTAATTACAACATCTGTTAATACTGCATTCTCATGGTATGATTATGCCAAATCAGTTAATTTAATCAATAAATAACAACAAACAACTAACAAATCCCTTACTCCAAGAAGATAATGAATCATCATTTTATTATAATTTTCTATAAATCTATCCTTATATCAATCAAATAAGAATCTTTTTTTACCAATTTTAGCTTAACATGCAGGGCAGAAATGAACTGCATCTTTGCAATCTTATACAAAACATGGAATCAAACAACATCTAATTATTAAATTTAAAAATTACCCTAACCAAAGACCAACAGCTGCCAAAAGTCCTCCAAGTGCATAAGCTCCAGTTCCGACTTCATAATTAACCTGTGTTTAAACTTATCTCTAACAGTAAGCACATGTAATCATGTGAGGGTATTTAGAATAAACTGGTTGGACTTTAAATAACTTTAAAAAAATACTTTACTATATAGCAGTGGGATTGTAAATAACTTATTATTATTATTATAATTAGGGATGTTGTTATTATTAGTAGGGGATCTATCTAATAAATTATTGAGCTGGAACTATTGGTTAAATAGGCTAACCAATTTACAAGTTCTATTCAGGAAGTTATGGATACACAACTTGTGAAACAGGTCCTTCACAAGGAGTAGGATTAATTTCTTATGCAAGTCTTACATGTTGATTATTCTGCATTAGTATAGTTTAATTATTATTTTTAATAAAATGTCTTTTAAACAAATTTATATAGACTCAGAATTATTAATATATTATCTCTATTAATTCTGAAAATATATTTAAATAATACCTTTACCTATAAATAGTTATTAGAAAATATTTCCAGAATAGGATAATTATCCCTTGAAAATCAATTAATATAATTTATCTATCATATTGATACATTTACAAATTGTTTAATTCTTTTAATAAATAGCCTATTATAATACTATAACTATTGAATTATCAAATTCTAAAATCAGATTATTATTATTTATATTATTTTTATGTCCAGACCTAGATTACCTACAGTTCATAATGACTCATCTTTAAATAAGGAGCCAATAGAAACAGTCTATGCCATAGCAAATAGATACCATACTGATTGGGGGTTGAAAGAAATGCCTGACATGAAAATATATCCAGATGTCTGCAAAGTTAAAAGATTGATCAGTAATAAGACTGAACATAACTTTAGCCAAACCTGTCAAGCCTCCAAAAAGGGGGACTTTTATTGAAGATTTATAAGTTTATCACTCGAAACTTCCTGGCCCCAAATATGAATATTAATCATTTTGGTCAGAGCCTAAAGAATAAAAGAAAACAAAAGAATCAAGCAAATATATTGAGTAAAATCAAAGAAAAACAATAATTTCTGATATAATATCTGATGAAAAAAGACACCCAAGACCTGGTCCTGCAGATTATAATAAAGAGTTCAAATCCAAAAGTATAGAAAATGAACCCATAATTTCTTAGAGATTAAAGTATATATAATACATTAAGCAAATAAGATTACAACATAGGACTAACTATTTTGAAGATCTTATAAGTCAATAGTTAAATGTTCCTGGCCCTGGGGCTTATAATACTCCTTCAAGAGTGGTTAGTGAGCATGTAATAAAAAAAACAAAATCTAAATCTCCAATAGTTCATTATCCTGGTCCAAATAGTTATTCGCCAGATGATCCTACCTATTTTACATTTGATAAAAAATTCAAAGAACAATCAACAAGAAAGCCTGTTAAAAACCTAAAAAAATACAATAGTAGCAGGCCTGGTCCTGTTCTTGGTTAATCTGATTGGAATAAAGGCTGGATGTCTAAAGTTAGCAAAGCTCCTTAGTTTTCTATTTATTACGATCACTGATTATCAATAACTATAATCTAATTTGTTTATGTTCACTTTCATTAATAATAGCACATAGAAGATTTGTAAATTTGTTATTATTTTATTAAACTTAATTAGTAGGTGTTTTAATAATTTTATATAGATGATGAATTATTTTATGTTTAATAATAACATTTCTCTTTTTCATTCAATATTGCTCTAATAACCATTAGCAATTCACTGGTGCTTTAACATATAACAGTTATATTTATGTTCTAGTCTGTTTTAAAAGATGCTTTTTCGTAAGCAATTTATTAAAATTCTATAAGTTGGTTTTCCAAACTTTATTCATTTGATAAATTTAATTTAGTATATCAAGCTGGATAGAGCTAGTTCTATAATTCATTAATTTCTTTTTTTAAATTAAAAGTTAAACTAAATTCATTTAGGATATTTATTTTGAGCTTTTTGAATATTATATGAATTAAAATTGAATATGAATTATATTCTTCATTAATAAATATATATATATAATTATTCTAATGAATTAATTTGAGAAAGAAACAAAACAATTTATAGATGAATTAAAAAATGGTGTTAGTAACATCTTAGTATCATTGTATGCATATTTTTAGGTAGCTATCAGAGTAAGACCGTTGAGTTAGAAAGAGAGAAGTCTATCAGAATTTGAGACAATTAGAATTTTAGATAATAAAATGATTGTTCTTATGGATCCTGAATCAGAAAGAGAGGATGATGTATTGAGATTGATTACAATAGTTATTAAGAAAAAATAGGCTCAAAGAAACGAATTTTGCATTTGATTTTGTGTTTGATTAATGGGTTTCGTAATAAATGATTTATGAAAATACAACAGAATTTCTATTAGAAGGAGTATTGGAGGGCTACAATACTACAGTCTTTTGTTATGGAGCAACAGGTTCAGGAAAAACATTTACGTAATTTTGATCTATAATTTTTAGAATGATAGGTTCTCAATAAGAGGTAGGAATAATGCCAAGAGCCTTATAATAACTCTTTAATTATTCAATATAAGATAGATTTAAAGATACTTAGTTTAAAGTTTGTTATGTGGAAATTTACAATGAAAACATACGAGATCTACTGACATCCGAAGATAAAAATCTAGAAATAAGAGAAGATAAAAATAATGGAATTTAAATAGCAGGAGTGACAGAAATTGAAGTAAGAACAGTTTCAGAAGTTCTGGCACTTCTAAAAGTGGGAAATAAAAACCGTTCTAAAGAGGCAACCGACGCAAACAAAGAATCCTCTAGATCTCATGCAATTTTGTAACTACAAGTTGAAAGCAAAGAAAGAGCAGCTGGAATATAAGAATAAATTATTTAGAGTAAATTTAGTTTAGTAGACTTGGCTGGTAGTGAAAGGGCTGCCAATACTAATAACAAAGGACAAAGAATGATCGAAGGAGCTAACATTAATAAATCTTTATTAGTGTTAGGAAATTGTATTTAATCTCTATCAGAGGCAAATGAAAAAGGTATAAAAAATCCATTTATACCATTTCGTAATTCAAAACTAACTCGCCTTCTTAAAGATTCTTTGGGAGGAAATTGTCGAACAGTCATGATCTCAAATGTGACACCTGCTGTTAGTTGTTTTGAAGAAACCTATAATACTTTAGTTTATGCTAATAGGGCTAAGAATATTAAAACTGTTGCTAATAGAAATGTATTGATGGCATAAAATCATATAAGCAATTATGCATAATTGATTTAAAATTTAAGATAGGAAAATGAAGAATTAAAATTGTTAATTTAATAACAATAATATAGTCAAAATAATCCATAATTAAGTATTATTGAATGATAAATTTTTAGAACTGCCATAAATAAATTAAAAGAATCCTACAGGGGTTTAATAAAATTTAAAATAATAGGTTTCTGAATTAGAATCAATTATTCACTAAAACGTTGAGGATATCATCCAAACAAAAAATTAAATATATGAAATGGAAGAACAACAAAATCATTTCTAATAAAATATTGGATTTCTGTAATTTTAAAAAGGGAGAACACAAGACAAGTTTGAATAGATGAGATTATAAGAAAGAATGGATAATGCAAAAAATTAAAAAGCAATACTAAAAAGAAGCTAAGATGATTTAGAATAGTAATTAATAGAATATGAAGTGCAAAAAGTTGATATTTAAAAATAGGTTTAATAAATTTAAGATTCCAATTACAAAAACTATTTATAAGGAATAATGAAATAGGGTGAATTTAAAATTGTAAAATATAATAAAATCAATTTAGGAAACAGTTGAAATAAAAATTTAAGAAAAGAAAAGGAGATACCAAGAATAAATCTAAGATGAATAAGTCAAATAATTAAGAACATAGATTAATAAATAATAAGCTAAAATTGTCTAGAGTGCTAAATAAAAAACTAATGTCCTTAAAAAAGGTATTAGAATATCTCTAATATTTATTAAGTGCCAAGCCTACCTGGAGTTGATTCTCCTTACTATTAATTATAAAGTGGGTAAACATATGGAATTTAAAGGTAAAGTATGCATACAATTAGATATTAAAAAAATAAATCTCATTTAAAATTACCACCAGTAGTTTAGTTAGCCTAAGTACACAAATCACCAAATACATTAAATACAAGTCTAACCAGTATTTTTTATTTTCAATTAGATAAACTAGATGACCCAATGAAATATAGAATTTCTTAGAAATATTCCTCAAGATTAAATCGTCCTCCTTCCTATCATCCTCCAAGTTCATAAAGAAAATCTGCCAAAGGACGATATATTAATCGATCATTAGATTTAGGATCTGGTAGAGATAGTATAAATAAAAGTTCTGGAGAATTACAAAATGAGATTAGTTTAAAAAAACTTCATCGGCTTCGCTAAGAATACTAACAATAAAGATTTGAAAAGGCTATGAATAATAAAACTAATCAAAAATCATAGCCTTATTTTGGTAGTAAAATTTTGCTTCCAGGAATGATTCACAAATCACCTTATGTGAAAAACTTTCAAAATAATAATGAACCAATTGAATTAAAAAAAGAGAGACTAAAAATGTTTAATTTGAATCAAAAAGTTTAAGGAAGTGATAAATTTTAACTTTATAATTGAATAATTTATAACTAAAATTAAGGTAGATATATCATATAAAAAAATCATCAAATATAATGGATTTTATAAAATTGAATATTCCAATTATTAAATTCTACAAAAAATATAAGGAAATTAATTTCAAAGTCAAATGGGAATGAGTTTAACAAAAATAAGCTTAGATTCTTATGTAAATGTAGTGTTTAGTTAATTTTTGAACATTTAAAATTTTTAATTGTATTCAGAAATATAATTTAACTTTCTTTTTTGGCATTCATAATAAAAATAATGGAAAAACTGATAGCTGGGTATGCTGTGAAAGAAATGTTGAAATAGAAAAAATAGATCATTCCTGCAGATTAGAAATATCTATAATATGGTTGTTGGACAACAGGTATTGCAGTAATTGCATTCATGGGTCATACAGCTTATTTAAAAAATAAATATGAGTCCAATTATCTATAAAGACTTTAAGGGAAGCAATATTTAAGGGCATCATTGTAACTATATCTACCAATTATCTGTAATTAACTGCTAGTTTCGTTTTGTTCTTATCATCAAGAAGTGTTTTTATTTTCTCTCTCCTCCATAGTCTACTTATATCAATACATAATGGGAATACCATACATTTAATACTTAAGTGCTGCTTTTACAATATTAGGATGTATTTTGAAATTTAAAAATTGAGTGACAATAATTATAAATATATATAAAAGCTTATCAAAAAGTAATTTTTATCTTGAATTAAGTCTTCAATTAACATTCTTAAGAAATTAAATTTGAGGAAATTAAACACTAAATTCTGCATTCTAGGACTCCTATTTTTAAGTTTTATTAAAATTTCTTAACCTTAAATAAAAAAATTAATTTTTTGAAGGAAGTCCAGCACCTAATTATGGATAATAAGTTAGAAAAAAATTAAATTTGAATGAGTTCTAGCAAAAGAAATTAATGATAAAAATATTAAAAATGGTTATCCAATAATTTATCTTTTTTTGGGATCAGTTAACAATCTTACAACAATCTATAAAATAGTTTAGCCAATTTTTAGGAAGGTTGGATCTCATATTTTCATAATCAATTTAAGCTAATTATTTTTTTTTCATTTTAAATACTTTATATTTATGTGATTATCATATATTCACTAATATCACCTTATAAAAAATTCTCTAGAATCATTCAATTTAATTCCATGTATATATGTAGATTAATATGCACATTTATTGCTAAGATTATAAAATGATTTACAAGAAGAAGTTTTGATCAAAATCAATACATTTTCCATTTTTTAAACCATTATCATCATAACTACAAGAACCACTAAATTCACATATAAACTTACATCTATTATATTTCATCATAAACTTGCAATTTTAAAACCCATTCGCCCGTTTTCTTACCTGATGAATATTCTCCTTCAGACAAAATGAAACTGGATTAAAGGCAATTCCAACCTAAATCAGTCCATTTTTTATCTTTATTTCCATCATCATCATAAGTACCTCCAGCTCTCATCTATTTTAAGAATTTTTTACATAATATCAGTTGGTTAAGACCATAAATTTTTTGAGATTTACCAAAGACCTTGCTTAACTCCAAATTTATATGATCCAAGCCAATTTAATTGATAGTGTCTGAGATTATTATTATTCAATCTTACTCCCAAAAATATTCATGTGGTTCTAACCATTCTCCATGTTTACTACCTGTAGTATCATATTAACCCTTACCACTATTCTATAATCAAACTTAATACATAACCAAAAAATCATTTGTTTTATGATTTCTAAAAAAAATTTCGGATCTTCCCACTTTTTATCCTAAATTATATTCTAGTTTCTATATTATTTAACGAGATCTACTAGGATAGATCATCTAGTTACCTACAAAATTTATCATCAATCTCAGTCCACTATCCATTTTTAACACCTTTCTCAAAAACACCACCTCCTCTATTGTTATTATAATACTTTACATTTTAACGAAGTCTTGATCAGCGAATTCGCGGAAAAGAATATCCCAATTATCCTACTTTATTCCATTTTAATATGATCCTTTCTTCATTACTTAACAAAAACTTATACTATAGTTAAAATATACTCTCTAAATTTATAATGTAACTCTGTCCAAATTCCATCTTTTTTTCCTTTTTAATTATAATTCCCTTCCCCTCTAAAAACAATCAATATTATATTACATTTAAACAAATTAAGAACCATGAATTTTTCTATATTCAATTTAAGATCTTCCAAACTTTTTACCATTTTGATATTAAACTATTTCAATAACTTAGCATGAACTATTATATTGAGTTGAAGAATACTCTGAAAAGTTTTCGCTTACTTCCTTCGATAACCCAGATTTTAAACCATTTTAGTCATAGTTTTCACATCCTCTAAATTAAATACACTGTAGTTATACATGATTTCAAAGTTATTGCTTTCGCTATATCTATATTTGCTAATCCATTTTCCAGTTTTCTTACAATTTATATAATTACCTTCAAGTACAATTTGCGAATCTCTAAATTTTAAAGTAATTATACTCACTAAAATTGTCAGATAACTCCTTCCAAAGTCCAATTTTTTCACCAGAATCATTATAGATTCCCCCTCCACTAATATTTATATTATACAATACATTTCTTCAAATTTAGATTCTTTATTGTCTCTGAGAAATAATTTTTTTTTAAAAGTAATATTCCACTATCCAAATTTCTTCCCCTTTTTATATTCACCATTTTAAAAAATTTCACATTTTCTTCTATAAATGAGAAAATACTGTCGATAACTTTAACAGGGTTCATTCCATAAACCATCTTTTAGTCCTTTTTGATCATATTTTCCTCCTCCTCTCACTTTTATACTATATTAATTCGCGCTCGTAAAATTAGGAATATCTTTCGTGCTTAATATGATCCATTCGCCTATCCTTACTCCATCTTGATAAGTCCCTTTATATATTAATTAATTCTATCTGATTATTATTTGGCAATAAATACTCACTAAAATCTTCAATTAAATCCTACCAAAGTCCTTATTTAATTCCATTATTATCATAATTTCCACCTCCACTTTGATATATCAACAGAAAAATACATAATTTTATTATTTTTTGTTAAAATTTCAACCCAATTAACAACCCATTGACCTATTTTTATTCCATTTTAATATTCTCCTGTTTCCTTGATCAAAATACATCTAACAAAGCATAAAATTCAATTTACCCTGATAATATATATTGTACTTCTGTCCATTTTCCATTTTTCAGTCCATCAGCATCGTATGATCCTCCTCCTCTAAATCAATAATTTATTAATATACAGTATAGAGTTTTATGAGACTATTTACCATTCTCCTTATCTTTTTCCTAAATCATATTAACCAACAAAAAGTAATTATTATTTTCTCTAAATGATCTTAATCATTACAGAATAAATTCTAGCTTTTAATTTATCCATTTATTTTCTGAAAATTAATAATCATCATATATATAATTATAGCTAATTGATAAACCAGTAATTTTATACATTTGCTTTAAATATCCATTAGATTCCAAAAAATAAATATCCAAATCCAAAATTTATTTACTATTTTTATATAAAATATTGAATTGAAATTCAGAAAAACTTTTATAAGCATAAATTGTTACTTTAATTAATCATATTCCTCAACCCAAGCACCTACTTATCTTCCTTATTTATCATATAATCCCCCTCCACTAAAAATATCAAAACATAACTCTACATTTTTTCCCACATTTCATCAAAATTTTTTCTTATCTCAATAGAAAAATAGTCACATTTAACTCCATAATTAAATTATCCTTTAATAATGATTTAGTTTAATCTATCAAATTTAAGTATAATTCTAAACTTGGAAAAAAATTTTGAAATCTTTATCCATCCTCCATGTTTTTTTCCATTTATTTGATAACTTCCACCTCCACTAATTTGATTTATGCTGAGCTATACATGGTTTAAAATTCTGAGTCAGAATCATTTCTAAATTTAATGAAGAACTCCCCAGTTTTTTTCCCTTCATACTATTAACCAAAACACACTACTTCACTGCCACTTTAATAAAATCTCAATAAAATATACTCTAAATTTATGGTTAGATTTTTAAAATATGGAATAGAAGGAGGATGCATCCTAAAAATACTAATCTTTTATTACTTTGGAAAATAAAAGTCATTTAATATTAAATTTTGGCATAAAAGTTAATGGGTATAATATTCTTCACTATTATCTATTTAGCTAAGAAATTTCAATAATTAATAGATACCATCCCAAAACTCGATCTTTAAATTTAGTAAAAATACTATGTTCAAATTCTATTTAATCTATCTGGGCTTCTTGTTTAAACTTAGAGCTAAATAATTTTTTTTTTAACTAATTGATTAATTTAATTGAAAATTATTTGATTTACCCTTACTCTATTAACAAAGCTATGCCATTCTGTTACAATTCAAGAAAAATTGTTTTAGCTTCAAATTTATTAATTAAGGATGAATCAATATTAATCCTCCAAATTCCGATTGGCTTATCTCCTTCCATTTGTCCAGCCTTAAAAATTATTTTTTGTTACATAATACAATTAGTCTCCCTCCCTCATATAACAATTTTAACAATATTATGTTACTATTGATAAATGTCTAGATCCATTTGTTTATTTTGATAAAATTTATTGGCTTTACTCATTTTAAATTGAAACAAAAGCATATGAATTCCATAAACAATTTTAAATAAGATTATATAAAGCTTACGATCTTTCTGGATTCTATTTTTAGTCTTCAAAACTATTCAATTTGTGATTCATTTCATTTAATAAATGAATATACTAATAAATATATGAAAAAAATTATTTTTTTTTTCTACCTATGATAATTCATATCCAAAATATTAATGGTTATCAAAATTAGACTAGAGATAATCAAAATCTAACAAATATCGAAAAAGACTTGAATGAAATAGATTTAAATAATTAAGAATTCAATAATTTTGTAAGCAATTACTAAATTTACTTTAATAACTCAGGAGATGCTTTGAGATAAAAGGTTTAGTAATATCAAAATAATATAGCACAGTTTGAGAATGATGATAAATTATTTCGATTATTTCAAGAAATTTCGGCATAAATTAAAGAGATTAATAGTAGATTTAATGGATTGAATATTAAAATAAATTTATCCTAATAAAACTCTGTAATGATATTTACTTCTAAAATTATTAGTTAGAAAATAATAAAAATGACAGGCTGCTAACATTATTCAGTTAAGCCAAGGATTTATATACTAAAGAGAAAAAAACAGAAGCTTTTGAAAAATTTACTTAAGTTTTAGAAATGAATCCGAATTTTATTGATGCTAGAATATATAGAGGTATCATTGGTTTTTCTTTTAACAAAGGTAATTTAAGTTTGGATGTTAATAATATTTCTTATGCATAATTTGACTTTGAAGAAGTTTTAAAATAAGACAAATAGAATTTAAAAGCATTAAAAGGATTAAGTAACTCAAATTGCTAAACTTAGCCAAAGCGTGTAAAATGTAATGTAATTATGAACTTGGGCTGAAATATGCATTGAAAGTGATTATGCATGAGCCTAAATCACCCTTAGGAAATTTTAACGCTGGTATTTGAATTGATGATAAAAGCCGACTGTCTGAAGTTTTTGGGTTAATATAATGAGAATACTTTATAATACATTAATTAAGCCATAGACTAAGAGAAAAGAAGATATGAGTAAAGAATATCAATTTATTTTCGAAATAAGGGTAAGATAATATTTTATAAAGGGGAAATATTATTTGGATTAAATAGAGTAAATGAAGCAAGAGAATTTGTTTTAAAAGCACTTGAAATAAATTAAAACTATGAATTGGCTATAAAGACATTAAGTATAATATATCTAGATCTTGGTTTAGAAAGATTTGATGAAATTTTATAACGAAGAACAAATAAATGATTATAAAAATCTAATTCATAATCTTTATAATAATGATAAAAATGGATTATTTTTCTTAATTATAATTAAATCAAGAAAATTAGAATGGAGCAATTTCTTAAGAACTTCACCTGTAAAAATAATCATAATAAATCAATCACTAAGCTTAGATTGAATAAGTAGTTATCTGATTAAGAGAGATTCATGTGTGACTAATGCGAAAAACAGCAATCAAATGAATAGATTTTAGATATATAATTTGTAGAATAAATAATAAATGATTTTAAGAAGAAATAGTAGGAATCAATACAAAACTTTATATAATTTAAATTAGAACAAGTCTTCTAAATTGAAAACACAATTTTGAAATTGAAATCCTTACTTCTTTTATTATTAGAGCAAATAAAGAAATATATAGATGATTGGAGGTATTTTATCTAATCAATTAATAACTAAAAGTTACCTGGAGATTTCAAAACTGATATTGATAATTTAATTTATAATAAATGGGATGATTAATTAAAAGAATATTTTTCAAACATAGAAGAAAAAAATTCAGCTTGGGTTTAAAAAATTGAAATTAACCTAGGTAATTTTCAAAATTTTCAAGAAATCAAAAAATGCCAATAAATTTTAAAGTAATCAATAATTTTAAATGACATTTCTCCTGTTAGAGTGAATGACAATTAAATTTCCTTAGCTTTAATTAACAATTCCACCTATCAAAATGAAACTTGTAATGCTATCTCAATTAATAAGACTGATAAAATGATTGCCACTAGCAAAGAAAACACAATAGTTATTTGGGAATTTGTTGATAGAAAGATGCAGTTTGTAACTCAATTGGACAGACACAAAGATTATATAAGTTGTTTAGTCTTTAGTAAAAAAGTAGATTGCTTGATTTCAGCATCTTATGACAAAACCATTCTTTCTTGGAAAAAATTGGATTAAAATAAGTGGATTTGCTCAGGGTTAAATTTTTAACATACAGGTTAAATAAACTGTATACTTTTAAATAAAATGGAAAATTAACTTATAAGTGGAAGTTCTGATTAAAGAATTCTAGTATGGGATGTTGATTGTAATCAAAACAAATTGAATTATTTATATCCATTATAATTAACAGCTGGGGATGTTGAAGGTTTAACAATGAATGATTCTGAAACAATTTTAGTATCATCATCGAATAATAAATCGATTATAATATGGAGAAAAGGAAATGATGATAAATGGAAATTCTCTACAAATGTTACAAAATTTGTTGAAGAATTTGGATCAAGAATTAGTTTTCTAAATAATAATAAATTTATTTGGGTATCAGGTGAAAGAGATAGTTTAGATTGCATATGTGTTTTTTATGAGCATAAGGAAGAATTTTTGGAAAATAATTAAAAGAGGATAAATTTATAAAAAAATAACAAGGAATTTGATTTTCACTTGTTTCCAATTTGTTATAATCAAGAGAAAAAAATAATAATTGTTAAGCATAAATTAAGAATATATGTACTAAAAGAATATCCAAATGATGAATTGAAAATTGCAGGGACGATAACTTGCAAATCTACTCGAATATTCGGATCATTAACTAATGATGGATAGTTCTTGATTTATTGGGATGCTAATGGAAGTGATGCTGGAGGTGGTTAATACTTTATTTATAAAATTTGAATTTGGTTTATCTACTGAAAATTGTTATTATTAATCAATTTTTATTAATTTTGTTGATTAAATAATAATTTATCTATCTGTTGTTGTCAACATTTTTGACTAAATTTAAGATTTAAAATCTTTTTACCTCTGTTATCGAATTACAAACTCCTTAAGAGTCTTAATATAATCACTTTGCATATTTACTTGTTGGTTACTTCTAATATTGATTTTATTATATTAAGATATATTTCTATATCTTAATTTCTAACTACATACTGAGTTATATTACGATAGAGTTGACTGATTACATATTTATAAAAAAGCGAAACCCTCCTTTTTCTATGGATTTGTTTTAATTATTTGATATTATGAGAACAGTTGGTTGGATGTGGTGCAAAACTTCCCTTATTAAATGCGATTTTCTAAGTTTGGATTTGAAGTTTGGTTCTTGAAAAGACTAAATAGAATAGTAATATGTGTAAAAAAAAGGATTTTAAAGAATCTATTGTAGATTAATAATTGGAAAGAAAAAAAAGAATTAAAGTGCTTTCTTCTCTTCAGAAGAACTAAATGAGTAAGATAAGGCAAAACTTAGAAATTTGACTAATATATTTTAAGATTTTATCTTATTAATTTTTTTCCCTTTTTTAATTGCTTCTTATGGTATATTCCTTACTAATTGATTGCTGCAAAATAAAGGGAAATGATTCCTATATTAACAATTCAACGAATAATAAATGGATCAATAGTTTCTCAACTTTTTTCAAAATCTCATATATTCTAGAGGCATAATGAAATAGCCAAAAAATTAAAATATAATTATTCAGGAATTCACTGAAACAAATTTATCATGTAATTACATTATCATTTTAATTGTTTAACTTTGTTATCAGAATAAGGATTTTAAATTTTTACTCAGATATTGCCATTAAGACTTCTTCTTTCTAAACTTCACTAGCCTTAGAGACTGCTTTATCCATTTTAAAGGTAATAAGGTTAATTTTGAAAATATAATTTTGACAGCATCTTAATTATTAATAATTTTAATTGAACACTATTCTATTTAGTGATTAAGTTTAAAAAATTGTTGTTATGTAAATTTGATTCACAAATAATTATATTTTTATTAATTGACTTATCTGTTATTTTATTAAATTAGAAGATATGAAGATAATTATTGAGCATTCTCAATCAAGAGCAATTAAATTTCTCTGACTTTCAAAGCTTATTCTTTATTTTATCCTATTCCTTTCTGTTTTTGATATATTATTAAACGTCTTTATCAATAGATATGTGCTATTCTAAAACTTGGTTTTAACATGCTCTTCTTTAATTTTTATCACTTTCTTGTCCATTCTTATTTCTAAAAATAATCTAAAAACTATTTGGAATACCTAAAAGTTGTTTTAAAAAGGTTCTTTTTATTCATTTCAATTACAACTTTTAAGTTTCTAATTTTTCACAGTTTTTGCAATATTGAATTACCCAAAATAGATTTTCTTAATTTTTTAGATTATTGCTAAGAAAATAAATCTGTTATAGCTTTAAGCATTTGAATGGATAGCAAATGCTACTTCTATAATTGTTTTATCTGAGCTAAATGCAATTTAATAGTTAATTTGATCTCTTTTCCAAATCTGAAAGGTCTGTAAAATTTCTTTCAATATTTAAGTTGTAATGGCATGAGAAAAGTTAGCTACTTTTTCACATCATTTTCAAATATTGGTAAGGTTAACTGATTTCAGAATACAGCTATTGGCTCAATTGATTTTATTTAAGTGCTGGTTATGGTTTTGTTAGTAAGAATTGTCATATTGTTATTATTCAAAGTATTTTTAATTAAAGATTTTGTATACAATCTAAAAAGAAAATTATCCTCGCTAAGATTAAAAGTGGAATTATTAAGTAAATGAATGAAAAATTTTTTTTTGGTAAATCAGTTTAAATTCAAAAAGCTAAAATTAATAAATTGTAATTTATTGGATAATTATTCTTAAAATTTATTTTCTCAACATATTCAATAAAGTCATTTATTGCGAAATATGATTTAATCTTTTAACAAATATAATTATCTAGCGTATTAATATTTTGCTTTATAACTTATGATTTCTATCATTTTCCTACAAATATTATTTTTGGAATCGTCGTTAAATAAAATTTCTTTCTTCTGTTATTAGGTTCATAACGAAAACTTTCAGATTTATGATCTGACCAATTACATTTACCTTGACAGATTGTTCATTAACCATCGTTCATTACAGAACAATTTATCTTGCTATAGCATGGATAATGGTATTCATGCAAACTATGCAATTTTTAAAATATTCTCCTTCATTTATATTTATCTTAAATATTTTTCATAAGTAATAACTTGTTTTTCATTCTCTGTAGATGATTGAGTTTTGTTTTGTTTATTTTATCTATTTTATTGAGCAGCTTTTCTAATTATTGATACATATTTAATATTTAGTTTTCTAAAAATGGTTGACATTCTGTATTTGTTCATGTAAATTCTGAAAATTATATATGTATTAATGGAAAATAATTTGAATTTCTATGAAAAATGAGAAGTTTTTTTTATAAATATCCTTCATATTATAATAATATATAAATTATTAACTTTTGAATTAAAAATTAATTGAATATAAACTCTAGTTGGATTAAGCTATCATTGTTATCATTTTTATTTAGGAAAAATTGAGCTACCATAATATAAATGATTTCTAAATAACCTCTATTTTTATTTATAACTTAAAAAGCAGATATAATTTTGAAAATAGGTTATGATAAATAATATATAAAGGTCTATCTGTTATTAATTAAGTTAAGTAAGTGTTAACTTCACTCAAAGTATTGAATAAAATTATTCTAAGTATTTTAAGTATGCTGTTAAATTATTTATTCAATCAAACAAATTGATGTAAAGTTACCCATATTAATATTATATAGAAAATTTTTATGCAGAGGAATCATTAATTTATCATTCTTAATATTTACATAATCTTAATAAGGCTGCAGCTAAGGCTTATGATTTAGGTTTGTAGAACCCAGAACTTTATTTTGAAACTCTAGATATTTGATTAAAATTTGATTTTGACAATCATCCAGATTTTGTTACCATCTCATTTCTATTTACTAGAGATTATATTTTGACTTAAAATGATGAATCTAAGGAATATTTTATTTCTTTAAAGTTATAGAAACTCTATTCTATTTTCAGATTAACAGCAGTATTGGGTTAAAATAGATTGGCTGGTGAAGATTTAACAGATGTATTAATTCTAATGTATGATAATGCTTAATTCAATCCAAACCCATAATAAAAATATATTCTTAGAAATCTCACTTTTAAATGCCTATAGAAAAGCAGCAGATATGGTTATTATCGCTAATTTCACAAACTTAATCACAGTATGATTTAGTGAATGAGCTAATATTAGAAACTTTATAGCAAGTTAAATAAAATTAAGAATTTTGTAATCTACATTAGCTAGGATGACATTCTGTTGCTGGAAAGGGTTAAATTGTTGGTCTTAAGGAATTAAAAATTTTATTATAGATTTATATACATATAAGTTTGTAATGAATACTTCTCTTATTATCATTTTTAATTAAAATGGATATTAATTTAGTAATTCTTATATAAATTATTTTTTTTGCATCTAATAAATTATCTTAGTTATTTTAAGATTATTATTATTATTATATATAATCCTGTTATGGAGAAACATATACTATGAATTCATCATTTTTATTTATCAACAAATTGTAAATTTGATAAATATTCAATTTCAAACTTTAAATATCTTTTAAACCATTATTCTATCTTTTTTCTCCCTGTTATTATATCAATAACTTTTTCTGCTGAAATCTTTAAATGTTGAGAAGCAATATGATCTAAAGATCCTAATACATCATTTAGTGGACAAATTTTCCATTAATTCTTAAACAGTGTTTCTAGGTTACTTATAAGATTAACTCTTAAAATATATTTATTTAGATTCACTTAATTTAATAAATTAAATTATTATTAAATGATAATTTATGTTCTAATAGAGAACATTGTCTTTTTAATTATTTATTCTTACGAAAGACAATTGTTAAAGAATTGGGAAAAGTTTAAGGAGCCTGATGAATGGTCTAGCACAAATTTCCATCACTAACAGCAAGCCAATCAACTGAAAATAACCAAAAGCATAAAAATTGAGGTCTAAATGAACTTCTTATAGTGTTTGCAATTCCTTCTATATATGAATCGAATTTTAAAATCTTTATGAAAAAAGGAAGATCAAGATATTTTTGATACACTATCCTAATTCTTAACATTTTATTTTTATTAATAGCTTTGTAATTATTATGAAAATATATGTGTATATGATATTCATTCTTATAATATTAAAACTTTTATTTGAAATTCATTTATTCTAAGGATGCCTTATTTATATTATATTAATATTATCATAAATACTTCATCCACTAATTACACATTTATTGTTGTTTATTAATCTGAAATTTAAATTTATTTTGTTATTTAAATAAGAAATTGTAATATAGTCATTAATTATAAGGAGATGGATATCAACATAGAGGTTTAATTCGCTAATTAATCAATTAATTTTGTCTATCAAAAAAATAACAATGAGATTCTACATTTGATATTAAGTATGTTCAATAAATCAATGAAGCTTCTTATTTGTACTTTAAGAATAAAATTTCAAGCTCATTAATTAATAGTAATGCTGTTCTAATAACAATTTTGTTAATTTAATTTAGAAACAAATCAAAATCAATTACAATTTCTAAATATGGAAGTTCCATTCTTAATATTAATCCTAATTTATAGTTTATTCACAATCAAATAAAAAATCATTTTATCTGGTTTTAGTTACCTACCATTTTACCATAAGCACTAAATTGATTCATCTTTTGGGTAAATTACTTAATGATTATTTTGAATTATTTTAAAGGGTTAGCGATTCTATTGATTCTGCAAGTTGGTTGTGGACTCTTGAATTTGGCATTTTGGTTTCGAACTTATATTTTAGATTTTTTTTTATTTTCCCAAAATACATTTCAATTTTTATATATCTAGATTGAATTAACTCAACACATAACACTATCATTTCAAAAACAACAGCTAAAACTACAAAAGATATATTAATCCATCCAATTATATTCATATTATTTTCAATGAAATTTATATTGTGCTAATAAAACAACAATTAGTATGATATATTTTAAACAGAGATTTGATATAAAATGAGTAAATATATCATTTTATTTAAAAAAGGATTCAAATAAAATAATAATATAAACCCTAATAAACTAGATATTAAGTACAAAGTTGCTTGAATCAAAGGGTAAGAATAAAATTATATCATCAAAATATGTAGAATACATATCGTAAGAACCCTATTAATTTGAAAAAATAATATCCAAATGAAATCTCTGTATTAATTTTTTCGTAATATTGTTAAATTAGAAATTTTAACTGCAAATTTCATATCCTTCTATAAATTGTGAATTTTTAGGCAAAAGCTTATTGATGTTGAGGGTTTGGCATTATAAGTAGAGTTAATAAAAAATTAATCCTATTGAAAAGAAGGCATAATCCATGATTAAAGGTGATAATGAGATTAATTTTCAAATCGCTTAGCCAAAGTTAATTACAATACTATAGCCATTGAATGGCTATTGAATAATATATTTGATAATTTAGAAAATAGTTATTAATTAAAGATTAAAGATAAAACCGAATGTAAAAACAAAAAAAGCATCGGTTAATATCTGATTTAATTCTACATTAAAAATTTTTTGAAAATGATATTAATTTGATAATTATTTATTAATAAATTAGTAATACAAACTTTCTAGGTTTGAGCTTTAGCATTTAAAGCTAAAAATTTTTATAAATTAAATATACTAAAATGTTTTAAGTTGACAACAATCCATTATAAGAAATTTTAATTTAGAATTGAAAATAAAATTAAAACTTAATAAAATAATATTGCTGAACATATCAACATGAGTGATACTTGAACATTGTTAATAAATAAGGGATTAGTTCCTTTATTTTCAAATCGCTAGGGGGCTTAAAAATAATACTCACATCTTGATTGATTCCACCCTTAAAAATTTGGAAAATCAATTATTCAATCACTTATAAAAAAAAAGTATTCAGTAACAAATGTATACTTAACATTTAAACAATAGAAATTATTTATCCTACTTAAAACTTCTAATATATTCCATAAATACTCATATGTTTCTGTTATTATTGATAAAGGAATTAGTATAAGTGTTTTGTACAAATTTCATTATTTTTGTAAAGTTATACCAGAAGCCTTAGAGTTTTTAAAGATCAATTATTATTTTTCGATTGAAAATTTAAATTGAGATCCAAATTCTATTAGTAAACCTAGTAAGAATTCTTTCCTTATATTCCCATCTTCTTTCAAAATTTTTTTCCTTTGATTTTTCAATACCACATTCTGAATTGCATCTATCATTATTATTTAAATTCCATCATCACAAGCCTAAGATTCTTTGATTAGTATTCAATCTCCACATTTTGAAATGAACTTCTTAAGAAAAAGTCAGTTTAAAAACCAGGAAATATTTCGCATAATCAGGAATCATTTTAGTAACAAGAAGTACATAGTTTTGATTGATCTTTGAAAGTAATACAATAAGAATCGCATATAAGACATTCATCATTGAATGGATAATATTGATCTAAACAACTTAAACATTAAAGTTTTTCCTAATTTATTTATTATCATTTAGTACAATTGCTGTCACAAGTAAAGCGAGGAGATATGCCTAATTTAAAACAGATATATCTATTTGCTACTTTACTATTCATGCATCCTTTTTCACTATAGTTATCACATTCTTCTGTCTATTCATATACATAACAGCAATATGAATAAAAATTATCATCTTCTTTGTATTAAATACAAATGCCAAAATAAAATACTGGGCATTTTTACTGATAATTATCTACACCATAATCATATTTATTAAATTTAACTAATTAACCTACCGAACATCCATCATAATTATCTAAATTAAAGTTAGATTAATTATTAGATTAATATTATTAAACTTATAGATCATGCGTAAATAACATTCCTCAAATAACTCTAGATTTCCATCATCGTATTCTTCACTACAAATAGGATTGCAAGGGTTTTATTTAAGTAATAATTATATTAATCAAATAAAAGCCTTTCTGGCATTTAATTGATGTCACTTTAAAGTTTTGAATTCCAAAAAATGCTTGTTTGTCGTAACTATCACAATAAAATAGTATGTTTAATTCATTTTACCTACTTAATTGATGTTAAATCATATAAGTTACAATATATTTTTTTGTCATATAAGTGTTCTCCCAACTATTATCTTCTAAGATATTTAAATTATTTTACAATAATAAATGTTATACATTGTAATTATTATTTTAATGAATTTTATTTATTTTACTTTTTTCCTTAGAAGACTTCAATACTCAATTTTAGAACTAAATCTTAGTCAATTAAATGAAAGTGAAATTTAAATCATGCATTTATCCAAACAAATAGTCCCCCCCCAAGTATTCTTTTCTCAGGAATGTATGAAAAGTAAATACCTTAGCCTTTTTGAAAATTTAAATCATTGTTAAGACCATCCTCAAGTAAAAAATTATCAATTTGTTTTTTAGTTATTGAAATGTCGAAATATTATTTAACCAATATTTTCCAAAATAGATGTTCCTAATCATCTAATTTTTCATCAAATTCAAAATAGCTAATTTATACTTTATTAGTGGATTCAGAACATTTATCCACACATAAGCCATTATATTTTATAGCTTCTTATTAGTGTTACAAATTTAACATTAATTGTAGCTTTTACAAATTAACAAAATTCAATACATTATTATAATTAATTGTCAATTTGAATTTCTTATAATAATTAGATTGTATATTTTTAAACACTATTTTTATAATATTTAAATATCTTAAATTATGATTAATGAACTAATTTCTGAAATTCTTAAATTTAATAATTAAAATGGTTGAATTAATTTTAGAATTTAATTCAATTCGAATATTATCAGTTCCTTAAAAATAAGAGCAACTTTTGTATCATGATCTATATAAATAAATTAATTAATTTAGACTGTTAATATTTATCTCTCATTAAAATATATCTAAGTTTTCTAATTCGTAATGAAATTTATGGTAACTAACATTCTTAATGAGATAGCGGGTTATAGTAATTAAATAATATTTTATTCAATTAAGTATGTCTAAATATTTGATGATAGCGCAATATACTTATTTCATAGGTTTGGATAAGAAACGAGTAAAATTGCACTAATTTGAAAAAAAACATTATTTATATTGAATAATGTAATTTTCTTTTTATCTTTTAAGTCCAAAAGTAGAAATTAGAATGTGTATAATTTGACTTTTATAGATTTTGCCATTCTATAGTTTTATCTTAAGGAATAGATTGATACAAATAAAATGAGAGTCTACAGACTTTAATTGAATTATTGAAAAAAATGCTGTGTTATACTTTTGATAATTCAACTTGATTCAATATTCTTAAGGTTTTTTTATAGAATCCAATCAATTTTTTCTACTTTTTTCATATATCTATAGAGACTTATATCAACAATATGGTTACGATATTCTAAATTTAATTAAGTAATATAACGATAATGAAAGACAAAAGTAAGAGCTATTCAATATTCCAAGTATTGTGGTTACTAGACTACATGTAATTTAGATACCTTCATCGATAAAATTTTATAAAGATTTGGAAATTATAATCATAATATATAGAAATTATATGAGGAGCTGTTAAGAGTATTTACTGCTATATATTTAAATCAACAGCCAAAAATTTTATTGTCAAAAATAAAAAAATGAGGACTACAAATATAATCTAATTAGAGTAATTTTGTTTTGGGGATAATAAATGAGCATATATATGTAAAAATTTAAAAGTTTATAAAATTTAATCAATCATAATTTCGAATAAAAGGAGAAAGGCACGTAAGAGCAGGTATCTTGAAAAACAAAGGAATTCAAATCGACTAATTAAAAAAAGTTACTAATGGCTAAATTTCTTCCATTTAGCTGATTTAATAAAAGAGCATTAGCTCAGTGATTAAATAGAAATAGGATACACCAGTAAAGGAGTGATATTTGATGAATAATAGACATACAGTTTTAATTGTAGAGATGCTCTTTTAATTAATTAAATACTTGTAAAATGTTCTCACAATATTAAGAAAAGTTTTAAATTTATTAAATATTCTGCAAATCCTAATTTTAAATAATAGTAATTTGATTAAAACTTCTTAGAATTCAACAAAAATGAATCAATATTAATATTTTGAATTATGAATTTAATTAAAGCTATGATGATTCAGTGAGTAATATAATTATAAAATAATTCACTATTGCTGCTAGATTGGTTTACATATAAGTTTAATTTATTAAGTTCAATCAGCAATTAATTTATTGAATCTATTCAAATAATAATTTGGGATAATGGTATGCTTCTTATTATTATGTATTATGATATGAAGCAGCATTTGATGCTCAACTTCTCGCTTACGAAAATGGAAGAATCAAACTTTTAAAAAATTTTTGGCTGGAACTAAAATTAATATTTTCAACCGTAATTATGTAATTTAGAGAAGATTAACAAATATTAATTAAAAATAAATCTAGTTAAATATAAACTTAAGATCTGTTATACTCTAAAAATTTAGATGGATTTAAAAAACTCAAGTCTTATTCCTTCTTTGATCGAAAAAGAAGAGAGATATTGATAATTTTACTGATAATCCTGTAGAGATTAGCGCCGAGGAATTTATGAGCTGAATGAATAAATGTTATAACTGTTTACTTATAAATAGCATCAAAAAACTTTCCATCCCTATAACTTTAACTACCTGAATTTTGGTTAATAGAATGAGGATAGTCCGATTGTGTTTGGTTTTTTTGAGATACCAAATATCATCTTTGTTCAATTTTCAACATATGATTATAAAAAAATCTGAATAATTAGACAAATTTACTTCTGCAACTGTAATTTGACTAGAAATTTCACCAAATAGTTGTGAAAATCTTTAAAGTTCTCATTTAACTTGACATTTCTAAGGTATTCATGCTAAAAAATGAATTATCTACATGTATTAGAAATGGAGTGGATTCTTGTTTTACTAAAATTGATTTAAAGAAACAAAAGAGACTTATTTAGCTTATGCATGATTTTGCAAAAATATACATCAGCTACAGAAGCAACTTTATACAAATATAATGTTCAAAGAATGTCGAAGCAGAGGATAATTCAGCATGTGACATGGATTCAAGAATGTATTAGTACTGTGGGTACCTAATCAAAATGTGATCGAGACATAGTATTAAACTTTATGGATTCAGTTCAGGTATGATAACTCGTAAAAAACAATATAATGGTATAATAATTCAACTTCTAAGATTCATATTGTAAAGTAATACATGCTCAAATGCATTAGGATTAGGGGAAAGTTCACGTGATGATTTCTTAAGAGGATGTGTAATTGATGGAAAAAATAGTTGTGTAAATCCAGAAACAACAACTTGCAGTGATTATTATGAAAATGTTAAAGAAATAATATATGTTCAGATAGAGCTTGTGCAGATATCACAAATCCATCTAGTCATTACTATTGTGTCACTCACAAATTGCAGATTCTTGAAAGCAGGATCAACATATTTAAATCACAATCCTCAGATAGAGCTTGCAATTAAATAGTAGGTACTTATACAACTAATAGTCTTATTATACTTTTAGTTTAATTGTATATGCAACATCTACATTCTTTTTACATTCAGTTTCATCATTATGATTTTCAAAATACACTTAAGCTCTTTTGGCATTTGTAATGCGTGATTTTTTTTTTGTCGAATTTTTCAAACTCTAACACTAGAGTTGATTCATTTTTATTTTTTGGTCTACTGTCACATGCACCTATACTTGAACCTTCATAACTAGTTTAACAAATTAATCTCCCCAAATATAATTACACTCTTAATCTGTTGTGTCTTTTAATGAATTGAATGTAATTGCCTTGCTTGTGGCGTCTGTTGCACCATAATCTTTACGAGCTGATCCTCTTGGAGTACAAAAGCCTCCTTAAATGTAAGTATATTTAATACTATTGGATGTTAATAATTACAATAAGTTCTCAAATTTTTTCCTAATTGATGGAACTTTAGCACAACCATCAGTTGGATTATAAAGGTTTCTTAAATATATGTGCATTTCCTATCAGAAGCTCCTAAATCAAATCAAATTTATGATATTGAATTAGAGATATCAAAGTAATTATAATCTCAATAGGCTAATACACCTGATGTATAAGTGCAATTATCAAATTTAGTATCTACTTTGCTATTACAATATGTGAATTTTTATAGCTGCATCGTACATACACTATCACCAGTATCTTTTTATGTAAGGGTTTGGAATATCCTCGCATGTTGCAGGATTACAAGTTGACCATTATCTTCAAGCAACAAATGATGTGACAAATGTATTCCATTATTGTCACAGTCATCTTAAGTGACATTTAGTTTGAAAATAGCATTGTGTCTTAAAACTATTACAACATAATGATTTTCTTTTATGCTTCTGTCTTTGTTGAATCTATTTTCTAGTTAGCGCAAGATTATGATACAACTGTAATTAAACTAGTTGAATCAGTCACTTTTTAATAAAAACCACTATTTGGATAAAAAAAGTAATCACAAGTCTTTCATCTAGTAGACGGAGCACTAGTTATAGAATTATATTTAATCTCTTTATCATTAATATATTTTTATCACTCTGTTATGGGTATAGTCACAATTACCAAAAACTGTAGCTCCAGTAACAGCCAATTTTCAGGTTCTAATAAAACCGATGGAACTAAATTTACCCTCTTTAACATTGCTCAAGTTATACAGAATCTGGATGTTATGGCGAAGCAGATTATACATATAACTTCTCTTACCTTATTGGTTAACTACACAAACCAAATCATGTAGATTAATGTAATTTGAAGTTATAGATGAGAGTATCAATAATTCTGCTTGAGATGATGTTATTCCTGGTGAAAAATGTGTTTGTAGTACAAGAAGCATGTAATGGAGAAAGATTAAATGGTACAAATAAAGTTGCTTGTGCATTCACACCTAATTCAGCTACTGATAAAGTTAACGGAAGTGCTACACTAATTCTTCTTAGTTGAAAAATGTTTAGCTGGCTCTACATAACGAAATAATATAATGATACCCATAATACCACTATTTATCCTAATACCGATGATTATTGTATGATTCTACCAATAAATACAATAAGACTATTTTGAGTTATGGCTTGAAAATATTGTTATGAATTTTCATAGGGAAAATTTGAACAAAAATTCAAAAATTCATGATTAGTCTATTAATATCAGGTTCTTTATTATATAGAAATTAAATTTTAGGATATTTTTGATATTCTCTATTATTAAATTTTTTATCAGAATACTTATGACTTTTCACTTACTCAAACTATTAGATAGTCTTAATTCTAAAAAGAATTGTACTACATTATTCATCATAGCTTAATTAAATAATTTTTAAATAAATTAAGAACTTTTTGAATACTTGTTTTAAAATTTTGAATCTCTGAAATATCAATCAAATTAAAAAAATTCTGGAATTGGAAAAAATATTTTGATTTTTAAAAAATTAATTTTCAAAACTTTTAGAATTTATTAGATATTCCCATTTTACCAAATAATATCCACAAGCTATCTAGTGTATATGTATATTCAACAATTAAATTCACAAATTTGTAGCATACCTTTTTTCAGGAGAAAGAACACCGAGTAAACTTCCACAGTTGGTAATTTTTTTATTAGATAGGAAGGGAATTACAAGGTATCTTTGATTAAAAATGTGTTAATTTATCACAATAAATACATTGAAAATCATATTCTTAACGATTACTTTTTAGTTTCCAATAAAAGTTTTTATCAATCTGGAATTATTTTCAAAGAAAATTGATGAAGAAATTTTGTAATTTCTAAAAGTTACTTGATAATCGCCAAATAATTATAGAAGTACGATGCGTATAAAATATTTTTTTTAATTAATCAATATAATTTGCAATTAAGATATTATTTTCTTAATTTAGTTTAGAACTTGATTGATATTTTAATTAAAAAAAATGTGCCTAATGTAATTTTACTTATTAATACGAGTATATAAAATTTAATAAGTTACATTCTTAAGCTCAATGAGACATTTTTTTTGCATTCTAAATTTCAAAATTATCAAAAAAGTTCTATTAATAAATTTAATAATCAGATTTAGAAATTGTTTAGACAAAAAAAATGAATTGAAATAAGTTTAACTCAGAATTAGTAAGGAAATCGATTGAAAATTAATCATTAAATTGGTGCATTGGTATTTTTGGTTAATTAGAGAGGATTCATATTCATAATATATAAAGTCAATAATAAAATGCATAATAGATGATTCAAGGTGAAAAATTCTTTAGTATAATAATCAACAAAAAGCAAAACAAAAATAAAAATGGGTTTTAGTTATAAAACATTCAAAGAAAGAGATATTAGGATATTTCTAATCTTTAATAATAATAAATGAAAAGTTTGAAATACATAAAATAATCATGTTATGCGAAATGTATAAAAAATGTGAAAAAAAGTGAGAGGCAAAAAGAGTAAAATAAAAACAATTTTCATTTGCATAAACAGGTGTAGAATAGTATCAAAAATAATTATGAATATTTTAAGTATAATTGCGAAAATTCAAATAGAAATGTTTTCTTGCCAAACTTGCTCGATAACTTGATTGATAGCGATTCTTAAAATTTAGAAAATGATTATATAAATGGTAAAAATGAAAAATAGTGTTATAGCTAATGCTTTAAATACTATAAATTAATTTGAATTTGAGTTGGAGTATTATGATTCAGCTAATCAAATAAATCCAGAAATTGCAGATTATTATTATGTCAAAGGTATCATGATCATGAATACAATATAGCTGATAATCTAGAGAATATGAATAGATTTGAAGAAGCATTGGAGTATTATGATTCAGCTATTCAGAAAAACCCTGAAAAAGCAGATTATTTTATTGGTAAAGGTATTTGCAAAACAAAAATTCTAAGCCAATACTTTATACCAATTAAAAAATTTTGATTCAGCACAATAATACTGTAATTATGCAATTTAGAGGGACCTTAATAATACCAATTATAAATTATTCTAAAGTAATATTCTTTGATTATAAATAGATTTATTATAAATTTCGTATCAAATACACAATAATTATTGATCATTCAAAAATTTGATAATAATAATATTAATAAAAATATAAGATATCTTTATATATAAAAATAACTTTACTAATCCCCACAAATCACTAACTTTAAAGTGAAAATGTATTTTTTGTTTGCCTCCATATTTTCATGATAACTAAAAGAGATATATAAATATGGACCTCACCAATATACTAAGAATTTTATGCTCTATCAAATGATGTATGATATATGT